AACTCCTTGCCACCCAGCACTCTCAGGAGACAGAACTAATTTCTGTATGTTCTACACATACCGTAGAGTAACATGCTGTAGCCACCACTAAAATGGAAAACTTTTTGAGTGATACTCTCCATTCTGTTTTGTAGCAGAGCATTAGAAAGGACATGGGAAAGTGTAGAACATGGTGTTTAAGGACAGCTGTAACAATATTCCTAAAAACTCTCCATGAAGAAATGCCCATATACTTATGTTTGTGGATGTATACACTCACTGATGCCCAGACAAATACTGAAGGGGTGACGACTTCAATTCTCCCAGAAATAAGAGAATACAACAACATTCAAACATAGCCTGAGATGGCAGCCCTAACCTTGTCCTAACATGGAGTTGAACAGTCTGGTGGGGCCATGCAGAATCCCACAGGATTGTACTTCCGTAGATCTGCTTGCAAGATGAGATTCATGTTTTTTACAGCTTAGCAAGTGATTATAGAGATAATGGGTACAATTTGTTAGCAAGCTAACCTTTACAGAAACTTCCTGTTATGAAGATCTTCCTTTCACATTGTGCATCTTAACCTGAATAATGATAGTCTCATAGATTTTCTATTTCAGGTTTTCCCCTGCTTACAGTCTTCGTTTCCTCTTTTTCTGCAAAAAATGGAAAGATGCTTCCCAAACACGTTTCCTCACTTGCAGTGCTGACCAGGCAATTAAGAACTTCATTCACAATCAATACACAGAGTTTTCATGACTGTATAATGCAGTAGGTAAGGAGATGAAGACAGATTTTTCCCATGTAGGCGTTCTACAATAAACCTGAGTATTTACTTCTGTTGCAGTAAATCTACTTACCTCCATTTAATCATTATGATGAAATCAATTAAAGATATCTTACTTCTCTGTCCAAAAACTAATGAGGACAAGATTTATAGGCAAGCAGGGTATTCTTGATACTGAATTACTGGACAGAGACTCAAGAGACTTCAGAGAGCCCCTAAATTTGCCAGCCTGAAAAGTCTAGTTAAGACTTTTATAGTGCTGGACAAGTCTGAAAATAACTTCAGACCACCAGTCCCTTAAACCTTACTTTGTTCCTGTAGCAGAACAAAGCAAAACCTGTATGTTTGATTAGACCTATTACCATAGAGGGGAAACCAGTTCATTTGAGGGAGCCAATTTACAGGAACAGCTTCTTTACCTTTGGACAAACCATGATGCCTACGAGAGATCCATCTCAAGCACAGCTCCCGCTGACTTCAGTGGGAAGCCAGTGTGAGTCAAAAGTGGTGGCCCAGTAGTGCACAGAGAAGAACAATCATAATTATAGCAAGGATTATAATTGGAGACTTTCAAAGTCAATCAGACTGCTTCTGTTAATATCAATAGCTGTCTGGTGGCTAAACTGCCCAGACTAATTCTTTTTTAACACCTCAGCCATAAGACTCATCATTAGACAAATTCTATATCCTAATATACACTGCAGCTTAAATACAATGAGAGCTTCAATCTGTTTTTTAATCTCTGTGATATTCTGTCTTGTTGCCCACATACTGGGGAAAAACATTTGTTGTAGATAGAAGACTGCATGGACTGCTCTCCCTCAGATGATTCTTCAAATCTTCTTGTCCCTGAGAAGTGATGAGCTCCTGCAGACGTTTGGTGCCTGCTGACATCTGTAAAAAACAGTGATACACAAACCTTAAACCAAATGTAAGTGGTTTGCTGCAGCTCTCAGTGCTGCAACTCAAAACATTTCCTGAAAGAAAGTAGCATACTAGTGCATATTAGATTCATAAACGGAAGGAAAAAGTCAATAAGCTATTCAAACCCCAAAGCATGCTTCAGCTTACTCATAAAGTTAGCTACTCAGTTCATGCAAGGGTACTTGGACGGGAGAAAAAACAGTCCTCCAGTTTCCTCTTGTACAACATGCGGAGTGTGGATTTGGTGACCCAGTTGAAAAACCTGTCCAGGATCAAGCACATGCACATCCAGTGGAGCTGGCACTTGTACCATGTCTTTGTTCAAGGCTAGGGCCTTCACGTTGTGCTCCTTATTGGCACAGACAGTGTCGATGCTGATGAATATCACCCTGAAGTTGTCACAAATATCTTTATGCTTGTTCATTCTTTGGATGTTTTAAAAGACAAGCATTGTACTCAGAGATGACAGCCCATGTTGTCAGAGCTAGACTCCACCACCAGTTAATTCAAACTGGCCTGATTTTCAGTGCCCCAATTTGAAGCAGTTCTTCAGCTCCTCACAAAATCAAGCCATTTTTAGTTAGAGACGTACCTTTTGGTAACTGATAGGGAACATTATGACCTGCCTTTAAACTGTAATGTGTTACAAAATTAGAGAAACAATTTATGGGACAGCAGATACTTCCTTTTGCAAGTTACTGACTCCCGAGTGCATTATATCCTTATAATGAGTCAATAAAAGAAGTCGCAGCTAGAGCACAATGAATGTCAAGTGGAAGAATGGACAGCGGGTATTTTTAGTGATTTACTCCACCAGCCTCCTGAACAAGCACTTTAGTTTTTGGAAGTTCACTGTACTACACTGTACAAGGTAAATGACTATCGGTACTTCAGCAGCACCTCTTGTACTGCAGTGAGATCAATACAGTGTGCCGGTGTCAGCCTTGCCAGAGCAGAAAGGTCAGGTGAGCAGTTACCTGGCCCGAGGACAAGCACGGAAAACAAGAAGTAGAAAAGTCTTACAGGACTCAAAGGATTGAGGCAACCAAAGCTAGACACAGGCAGCCCCTGCTTTCATGGGGCTTTGCAGCAGCGAAGATTCATCCACTGGTTAGCCGAGCTGTGCTTGGGATATATCAGGGGGCAGGTGCGCATACAGTCTCTCAACAGGCAGAGGGACTGAAAATCCTTCCAGTTCACACAGACTCATTCTCTTTTGAAAGTAGAATAGGGCAAGACAGGGCACAGCTTTGAAGGGCTTAGCTGGAAGCACTAAGCTTTTGTTGTCCTGCAGACCAGTGCCTTTCAGTTATTATTTTTTACTTCATCTATTCTTAGCACTACTCAAAACTGAGTACATATTTCGCTGTGGGGTAAAGACTAAAAACATAGCTATCCTTGCCTTCAGTCCGTCAGAAATAAGCTCAGATCAGCCAGAAATTCAGCATTTCTTTTTTGTAGCTGCCAATGGCTCAGAGAGTGCCTTCGGTTGAGTCTGGCCAGGACACGCATCTGAGCCCCAACTCCCCATGGCTGCCCTTGTCCGCATCCCTGCTCCAAATCCGCTGCTGGGCTAGCACGGAAGCTGCCCGCGGGTAAGGACAGAAGCGGCCCGCTGGTGAGCACGGCAGCAGCCCGCACAGTCCCCCATACTGCCGGACGGGCCGGGACTGGGCCGGGGCAGGCCCAGAGAGATCGCCCTCTAGCGAGCGGTTGAGGCAAGCGCTGCCATGCTTTCATGGGCCGCCGAACCGCCTCTGAGCCGCGTCCCCGCCTTCGCTGCCGCGGCTCGCATTTCGGGCGCCGGGCCCTGCTAGTGCCGGTGCCTGCCTCGGGGAGAAGCCATAGCACCGGGGACTTGGCTGGGGCATCAGCCAGCTGAACTCTGCAGGGGAAACAGCCCTCAGGAACAGGAGTCTAAGGAAAAACATGTTCTGGAGAAGAGAGTGGCACGTCTGGCCCACGGTTTTGGGGAGCCTTATGCTTGTGCCGGGGTCTAAGCTAGTGGTGGAGAGACACTGCTTTATGCCACCGCTCTGAGAGAACAAAATAGATATTGAAAAAATATATCTTGAGTTTCACAGAGAAACACTGAGAGTGCACTCAAGGTGTTTGCCTTGTTTGTATTTTCATGAGACTTGGAAATAACAATATAGGTAGAGGGTGTGAGATGCCTCAGAATGACTACAAACCTGTCACTATTTTCTTTTCAATAACTATAACATTTTAGATTTTTACAGGAGAAAACAGCAGCATCAGGACTACCCAGAAATTTATGGGCCATTTAGTAAGCTAAATACTCTCTTAATTACCTTATTCACAGCGTACATTACCTGTTGGCACTGACACAATTCAAATCTCATTTTAGAAATTCCTCCAGGCAACAACCATCATTATGAATTTTTAAAAGTGACTGAATGACTCAGCCTCCAGATTTGGCTGTCCAGTGTTCTGCATTGCCTCCATAGAACCTGTACTACCTTTGACACAAAAAATGACTGTGGCACAACCTTTCTGTAGGTTTGAGTTTAAAGTCACTTCCAGTTTTATCCGTATTGCTTCCACATCTAGCCACAGGGTGACAGTTTGAAAGCAGCAACGAATCCAGTGGAACCCGTGAAAAAGAATGGAACGAGGAGACTCTGGGTCCTGTTGCATCTGGAAGCAAAGTACTTTACTGGCCTGTCAAGGGTGCTGTCTTACCTGTGTATCCAGCTGGTGAAATCCTGGCCTCCAGCAAAATTCCAGCTGAAATTCACTGGGCAGGGATTCTGTCTTATAAAACATCTTGCACCTGATTTGCAATTATTCTGCACTGCATGCTGGCACTGTTGTACCAGTGCTGACTGTGTGTTAAATTATATAGATGATATACTCAGCACACATCTGCTGATAGATATGTGGAGAAAATAATAGACCTCTAGCTCTTGCTAAGGTCAGTGAGAAGACAGAAAATAGAACAAAATCTCACTTTGACATGCTTTTCTGTGCACCCAATCAGCAAATAAGAGGGAAATACATTCTTACTGTCTTAGCCAGGTTTTCAGGTTTTTTTTTTGTTTATTTTGTTTTGCAGGGAATAAATCAGCCTTTAGGAGAAAGCAGATATGGGTACAGACAAACAACTCAAACATTCAAACTCAAACTCACTTGAATATCTCAGTCTATGCATAAATGGTATTTCAGAGCATCAATTATCGAAACAGTTTGCATCTACAACATCGCAGCTGCAATGTGTTAAGCCACTAATACATTTGGGAGAAAAAAAAGAAAACACTCAAAAAAATCTAAGATGCCAATGAAGTCTTTGGCACTGTTAACACTGAATAGTTTAGGTGAAAACTACTTAAACAAGTCTGAGAAATGTGCTTTTGGGAAACCTACCTTTTGCACTGGAACAACAGACAAACATTCCCTTGTTCTCCTAATGATAACGGCTTTTGATAATGGGAGCGAAGTGCTGTGAGACTCATTCTCCAACGAGCAAGGACAAGGTGAGAGGAAGCAGCATCTTGTTCCTTTATAAGCTGAATCCCACATCACCTCATGCCATTTCTGTGGCATGAGAGAGAAAAGTACAAGCATTGCTTTAGGCACTTGTGACTAATTTTTGGTCTCTTATTCCATAAAAATATGACTCCTGGGAACTGGAGAAAGATACATAAAACCCTCTAACACGTTTTCTTCCCTTTGTCTATGTAGATGGCTGGGAGTGGAGCAGCTTTAGTCTTTCCTACATTTCTAGGTCTATGATTCTACCTTCAGCCAACAGCTGTCTCCAGAGCCAACTCAAGGTTTCTCTGTAGTGCAGGGGGGCTGAAGGGGAAGAGTTGTGTGTTGTGGTCTCTGGCATGGCAGAGTAGAGAAGAGGATGGATGGATTTTGAATTTTTCACTGCCCCTTTGTGTCCCTTTTGGCACTTCCTGCTTTCTGTACGTTGTCTTTCAGGTCCCTTCCAACCCAAACCATCCTAGGATTTTAGGAATTACTTCTGGTTCCTCCTAGCCATGCTACAGCTGAGTGCTTTGACTGCCTCTGTACCATGGCAATAGCTAATGTTGTCTGGTTTCTGCCAGTTGTAGAGTGTTCAGCCATGGAATGGAAATTAAGTCTAGGACACTCTAGGCCACAGAACAGTGGTCTCTTTAGTCAGACACTTCATTTATGTGACTTACTAGCAAGTTAAGCCTTACCAGCATTCCTGGAAGTGCAGCTGCTGTATCCCTCCTCACATGTTCCAGCTTTGCAATGGGTTGGCTTATACACAGAGTCAGGCTGTCTTGCTGTGCTCTGTATTTGGTCTTGTGAGAATGGCACAGTGGTCCCAACTCAAGGGTAGCAGGGAAGGATGTCTGTGATGTCCTGCTAGGTGGGTCACAGACCGACAGCATCCACTTCAGCTCTCTCAGGTACAGAAGCCTGGCTGTTGCTTTCCGTGGGTTGTGCTGCACCCACTGGGTTACCATGTGTAAAGCAAACACATCTTATGTGCCCCTGAAAAGTGAACATTTTGGTACTTGCCCTTAGGGAGAAGTCCACATGTTAGGCAGAGGAACCCAGGTTTCAGAGAGGAGTATGCACTCAGACCTGGCCCAAAGTGACACATCTTGCTCACATTTGTATGTTACCCCATTCTCAGATTAGCCTGACTATCCCTGGACTACTGTCCCTACCCACATTCTTACTGACACAGAAATTAAAGGTCCTGAGTCCTACCTGACCACCCCATCTCTTCTTCCCTGATTTTGGCTAATAGCATCTTCAAAACACCTTGCTTTTATGCTATTGTCTCACTTCATACGATGCAGACTAGTTCCTTCCCTGATTTTCTATTTGCCCCTCATTACAAGAGAGATACTGAGGTGCTGGACTGTGTTCAGAGGAGGGCAACAAAGTGGGTGAATGCTCTAGAGCACACATCCTGTGAGGAACAACTGAGGGAACTGGGGTTTTTTAGGCTGGAAAAGAGAAGGCTCAGGGGAGGTCTTACTGCTCTCAACAACTACCTGAAAGGAGGATGGAGAAAGGAGGTGGCTGGAATCTTCTCCCAAGTAACAAGCAACAGGACAAGAGGTAATGGCCTCAAGCTGCACCAGGGGAAGTTTAGTCTGGATATTAGGAAAAATTTCTTCACCAAAATGATGATCAGGCATTGGAACAGGCTGACCAGGGAAGTGGTGGAGTCACCATCCCTGGAAGCGTTCAAAACCCATGTAGATGAGGCCCTTAGTGATGTGGTTTAGTGGTGGTCTTGGCAGTCCTGGGGTAAAGGTTGGATTTGATGATCTTGAAGGTCTTTTCTAACCTAGTTGAATCTCTGATTCTTTCCTGTCTGTCATCCTTCGGGATGGAGGACAACATCATCTTGTTTCTCTGCAAGTTACAAGGATATTTAAGTTACTGAAACATTACCTGGATATTGAATCTATTAGGGCAGATTCAAGAAATGAATGAGAGAAAAAAGGGCTCTGAATGTGAGATTTCATTCTGCAAACTGCTATGTGATTATGCAAAGCTGTTCTCTTATGTTTTCTGCCAGACAAAATATGTAGACACTTTTCTTGCCTTTTGGAGGGGAAATGCTGTGCATGTGCATAAATGCTGTGTCTCTCCCTTGAATTAAAATGACAGAGCTGGTAAATTGCACATTGCTGGGGTGAGCAGACTGGCAGCTCAGTACTGAGCCTGATTTCACAGCACATTGCTTGTCTCAGCAGCAAGGCATCCTGGAACGGGCTTGATCTGGTTTTTGGTCTGTAACTCATTGTGTAAATGCCAGCCAAATTAAAGCAAAGCAGATGGGACAAGTCATTTGAAGATTAATGAAGCGACTTGCATTAAAAAGTAACTTTAGATATGTATTTTAATGAAAAAGATCTTTTCTAGTTCATAATGGTTGGTCAAAAGAAAAGGATCAAGCAGTGAAAAATCGCTAAAGCTTGGCAGAACATACCTACAAAGAATTATTTGAAGCGATTAACTTTTCACAGAGTTAATCCCCATTAAACTGAATTATCAAGTAAAAGACTTAATTTCTCTCTCAGGTACCTGCACTGCTTGTTGAATACTACCATTTTTTCCTAAAATGCAGAAGTAAAGAAAGCAAACTCTGAGAAATTCTTTAGGGATTACTCATAATGCAGTCTTAATGTGCTCAAGTTTTGATTTTCCTTTGGCATTTGCAGTTTCCATCAAAACTTTGCAAAACTTTTCCTGAACACTGACATTTCCCTTTTTATAACTGATTATACCTCATATGAAAGAGAAATGAGTATCAAGAATCAATACAGTAACCAAGTGATTTTTGTTTTACCACTACAGAATGCAGCTCAGCCTTAAAGATGCTCTGAGAGATGCCCCCCTGCTCTAAAGAATCTCTAAATCTTTATTTAAAATTTCAGCCAATCACAAAGTGTAATTGTAAAGTATTTCCTGTAGTGCCCTAAGCTCTGAGCTCAGTCTCTCAAACTGCATAGGTGGTCCACAGGAAGAAAGCCAGGCTTGCCTCATGTGCTGCTCTGCTGCTTTCTGAAACTGCTGCTTTTTGTGCAAGTCGTTAGCAATGATCACATACTAAGAGACTGTTCAATAGCATTTTAAATGCAGAGATTGGAATTGTGTATGAGCTGTATATGTACATTTGTATATGTATACGAATTGGAGGTACTTAAGATGCGGGGAATCACACAAACACAAATTACTACCAGAGTATTGTAGACTGGTTCTGCAAAAAGCACACAACATTTGCAAGAGACAGATCAGGATTTTTGAGCTGTTGGAGTAACCCATCCTCTTCATTTTTGCACAGAAATTGCAACATTCTTCTTCTGGAGTAAGACTATGCATTTCAGGGGATAAGTATGCAACTGTCCAAGTCACAAGACTACTAAATGGCATAATTTAGAGATCGACAGAGCTATCTGTGCTGCTCTTCATATACAGAGTTTTTCCATGAACAAAAATTAGAGGCTGTATACGTGACTGAAAACTTTCTCAGGGATGATTTTCTATAAGAAATGTTAGAAGGCAACTGTTCAACCCTGCTTCCACTCCCCCAAATCCAAAGCCTCTCTTCTGTGACTTTAAGCACCAGATACCTGGTAAAGTATGCTTTGATGCACAGCCATCCCTCTATTGCACCTCCAAACCAACTATCATCTTAGAAGATCAAGCAATTATCTCTTGACTCAGAAAACCTTTCCCTATCTGTTCTCTTTTGTTCTATAAAGAGCTTGACCCCCATTTCAGTCCTTTGCTGAAGTTCTTTACTGAATAAGAAAGCACATAATTTCAAGCTTGTTCTTATGCCCCTACTAAATCTTAAAATGAGAAAACTATGAAACTTAGAATTGTGTATAATATGAGAACTAGATTTGATAATATGAATCCAAGTACACTGTGTCTGAGTTGATTACATATGGGGATGGGTTGTGATCATGCAGGTTATTAGCTGTATTTCTGACATTTAGATGTCAATTATGCTGGCTTTTGGAATTGGATTGATTTTTACAACAGAATGTCATTATAGTGCTTGCAGTGACATCAAGAACAGAACTTCAACTACTACAGAAGCTCATTAGAGATTCACATAAGAAGACAACTAACACGTGCTGTTGCCATGGAAACAAGATGGAATATTATGAAGCAGTAGAGCCCATATCCAAAATAGAGAGGACAAAGTCAGAGCAATTATAGCACAAGACTGACAGACTTCTTATTTGCCGCCTATATGGGTCAAAGCAAAACTTAGCTCCTACTTTTTGAAATAAAAATTACCAGTGCAGTTGTAGGACTCTGGCTTCAGTTTGTACTTTTCAAACACAATAGCTCAGTTAATTTAGCTTATGTTGTGTGCAAGGAAGGAGGCCAAATGGAGGCAGAGGCACCACAGGAGGTGTGTAGGTGTGGTGATGTACAAAGAACAGACACCACAGAATAGATAGAGGAGTGAGTGAAGTTCAAGCCAGGCAGCAACATACTGACAAAACAGAGGTGAGCAAAACCAGCAGAAGGAAAACATCTGGTATGTCATTAAGGTGCAGAAGAAAAGCTAGTTTCAAATGCACTGGCCAGCCAGTGTCAGCAGCCAGAATGCAAAGGGTAACATTTCTGTGATTTGCATCAAATAGGTGAGTATCCTGGTTTCTCATGTTGCCTAGATAATGAAATGGTTTTGGACACACTGGACACACTGAATGTATACAATATGTAAGCAGTCTAAATTCCCAAGCTTCTGCTTGTGACTGCCTGGTCTGGAGATAGTTTTCATCACTGTAAGACTTTTGCCAATTGTCTCCTAGTACAGAGTGCTAGCTAGTGAGTATGAATGCATATATTTTTGTGTGTTTGATTACTATACCCCAAATACATAAGAATTCTATGCTTAGAGAAGCAAGAATTTCATTCACACACTGGTTCTACCTTTAAGAAACATTTTTAAATTCAAATCGAAGGTCTAGGAACCAAGGGTCTGTTGTAATGCCTTTGAGCAAAGCCACCATGGCAAAACATAACTTAGGAAAGATAAACAAAGAGTAATAGGGTTTTAAGGCGTATTCAACAAGCCTTGAAGGCTGTGCTATGAGTTTGCCGTTGCAGAGTTACTGTGAGATTCAAAAACACTCAGGAGAAGGATGAAAGGGAAAAACATTATAGTACACAAAAGGCTTGTGAGTGCCTACAGAACCAGGCTTTGGGAAGCCTTCCAATGCCCACATATGAAAAATGTGGTATGCCACTATTTAATTATTACAAACTTCATAAACTGTCATCCTCTTAAAGAGCTCATGTTTCTGCCAAGTTAAATGGCTTCAAAACTTACAGGTTACATTCACTGTTTCAACTCTGATTAATTCTTGAGTGGTTCTGTTTTGACTGGAAAAAGACGAGAGACACGGATTTTGGGAGAAGAATCTGAATGGAATATGAATTTCTGCCGCAAAATTTTATTCCAGTAAAACATACAAACTCTAATAGTAGTGAGTACATTTATGAGAAGTAAATTACTGAACACTTTGTCAAAAAGAATAATACTAGATCAATTTTTTCACTAGCACTAGTCAAAGAGATAAAATGTGATATAGTTGACAAAAATACTGGAAAATAACATTATTTCTCAACTTTGCATATAAACTTTCTTTCCTGAATTATTTAATACATTTAAGTAGCAACTACTTCTTTTTCCCTGTATTTTTTTTGTGCTTTTTTTTGAGTACATCTTGCTCTGCTTGCAGGGCTGCTTCCTGAGCTTCCAGCTCTTCTTGTTTTCTGCGCTCAGCCTCTAGCAGCTCATTGCGGTACGCTTCCCGAATGTTGCGAATTCTGTCCCGTCCTTCATCTAAGGATGCCTAGCCAAAAACAAACAGCAATACCCCCCAAGTACATGAATCTTGGTTTCCTCACTAATAACTGCATTCTTCCTGTTGTGTTTCTCTTTGGAACTCTGTAAGTACAGGGAGTACATCTCCCCTTTTATTTTCATGTGTATTTCTATTGATTTGTCACAGTGACACTGCTGTATGTCAGTCTTTTCAACATGAAGGAGAAAATTCATTAAAATATTTTAAAAATTGCTGACATAATAAGCTAATTGTGTGAAAGGAGGATAGGCAACAGATTAGGTACCTATCTGGGTCTAGTCCCTCTTCAGTTACTGGCTTGCTTTTTTATTTTAAACACGTCTCTTAAAAACTTGTTTTCAGAAATGCCTAAATAGCTAAGAAGTTCCAGTCTTTTAAGGGACTAAAGGAGCTAAAATCACATTGACTGTCAATGAGACTTTGGGCAAGTGGGACTTGGATACTTCTGAAAACTTCTTCCTTCACATTTCCATCCTGGAAAATGGGAAAACCTGGTTATCTTTATAGAGTTCTCTGTGGTCTAAGGATGATAAAAAACGTACAAGTGCTAATGAGCACAGTATGCATATTCACAAGTAACTAATTTTAAGTTTGTACTGTGAAACACCTTTAATGGGTATACTTTCTAGGAGACTAGAAACTACTCAATAAAAATTTGTGCTTCTAATATGTGATTATGTTAGTCACCCAAAATCATAGCAGCATCTGAAAACCTGGATATGCATTCCTATTGAGATCAATCAGTCACTGTTAGAGAACTGTGGCTCCTTGCAGACTTGTAGTTAAGTAATATAAATCAGACTGTCTGGGAACTTGTTAAGGATATGTTTTCGAGCGACTTCTGTAGTTAGATTGATTTGATGTAAAATTATTTTTACTGTCTCTTATCCTGTTTTAAGAGCTCTTAATCCAACCGATTGCTGATGGTCATTGTATCACCACTGTGTAAGAATCATTTTGTTCCTGCTGACAATCAAGGGTAAATCTGATTTTGTTAAGATATTTGTACTGATTTCATGTGCAATACATCGCCTGAGTTAATCCTAAGAATGGATCCTATACTAATTTATTATTACCAAATTTATTATTTATCAACTTTTTTTTTAGTTAATTATTCCATATTTTTGTTTGCTGGCATCATGCATATTCCAAGAAAACTCCACTCTCTAACTTTGCTGTAAGATGCATTAGGATCAGCTCAGCCTCCTATGTAAATTAACTTGTTCTCTATTACTTTCCAAAACATTTTATACAATTCTATAACCAAAAAAATAGCCAAACCAAAGATGCTTTATCTAATATGCATCTGGTCATGTATGTCAAATGCCTAATTTATTTCCATTTATAATTGTCCATTTATGGTAATATTCTTAAATAGTGTTTTTGCAAAGAGCTGTATCAAGAAAGTACTAAGAAGATCATATTAAGGAAGTTTTACAGTACTATTTTTTTTTTCCCCTAGAACCTTTAGTTTTCACCTTTGCCCAAGCAACATTTCAAGCATGTTCACTGTTTCTCATTACTGGTACTGAATACAAAAATCTTGAGAATGGTTCATCAAGATATTCACACTAGTGGTGGATGTCACAGTAATAGTTACTTGAGATTAATCTTGAAAACCTACCTGCAGGTTCTCATACATTTCAAGTATATTTTTCTTCAGCAGAGTTCTGTCATTTTGTTCTTGTTTTCTTTGTTCCAAAGCCAGCTCTCGAAGCTCCTTAAAATGCTTGATTTTTTCTGCTTTACTTATCTCTTGCTGTTGAATGATAAACTCATTTCTTAGCACAGGCTTTGCCATTGTTTTTCTGAAGGAAATACAAAGATATTTGTCTCATTTCACGTACAGGTATGGGTGGTGTATATTTTGCTTAACACCTTATGCATATATTTAGTTTATATACTGCAATGTCACCAGTGTATGGTTAGACATGGTTAAGGAGTCACACTTTCTCTGCTTATATATATAACACTGATGAGCAAGTACATTCTGAGGCCAGGTCTTATACTTGAATGCCTACTTTAAAAATATTTGTAAAATCATCCTCACCTTTGAGCATATGAAAAACTCCTACATGTGACCCTTATTTTTAATTTGCAAGAAATATATTACCAGAAGATTTTGATATTAAAATTCAGCATTGAGACAAATGTATTTTGATTTTTCTTTTTTGCCATGGCATAATGGCAGCTAAGTAGATAGCATATTTTTATAGTTTGACTTAAATGACTAGTGTAAAAGTCAAGGAGTTGAAGACAAATGAAATGCTTACAAGACTCAAGCCTATGGAAATATTTTGCCATATTTTCTTCTGTTTTAATGTTATTCACTTCAGTTTCCTGTTCAATTTAAAATTAAATTTGGAGATTTTTCATCACGCTCTAAGGTCTGTTGAAAATCAATGAGCTGCATAAATGCCACATTGAATACAAATGAACTTAAACTGAACTGGTTCTACCTACAGCACAGCAAACATGCAACTGCATGTTTATGAGCTAGGCAAGTTTACATCAACACAAGTAATAAATAGCAGTTTTTTGAATAAATTAATATAATTATTTCAGGTATTAGCTATTATTAACTGAACTTCATTGGTCAAATATATTATTTGAATCTAATATCACATCCTGGCAACCTTCATATGCGCTTCTTTCAAGATGACCACTGAAATTAACGTATTTGCCTGCACATGCATTTTCTTCAAATTTTCATGTCACATACTCATTACATGCAGTGCAATGATTCAGCACCTTTGACCTGTGTTACTTTAAGGAAAGGACATAATCATAAATTGATGTAGGAAAGCACTGATTTTAAAACACATCCATGCCAGGAAATCAAAGCTGAAAGCTGTATCTTGATGCCATCTACACTTCCGCATTCACAAGTGAGTGATTTTGTGTAAACAACATAAAGGGCAGGTAAAACGTGGGCCAGGATTTTCACAGCAACTTTAACACGCGTGTGATAGAATTGTAGCTTACTTCAATGAAACGAGAAGGATAAAGTCTAAATTCACATCTATTATTCTGCATCCAATTACAGATAGGATACACGTGCATAAAATATATTGCATTTAGTAATGTCTACATATGAAAATCTTTAGCCAGTCTTTCATTTTAGTATTTCACTGGGAGTTAATTGTTCTTGCTGCAGTTTACCTTATGTAAGGACTAAGGTCTATAGGCTTCCATTTGTTTTGCTGCATCTGTAAGCTTGAGTCAGTATCAGCCTGTGATGCTTGCATTCCTGTGGCAACAGAATCTACAACGGAACAGATTAAACAGATTAAACTGGTTATTCAGTTATGATAGGAGGCTCCACCTAAATTAATTCTTTTGGCTCAGCAAAATGCATTATTACATGAGAATATGGCTTGGAGATGATATAATATTTCTGCCTTTTTACTTTGAACAGTCATGATAGAATCAAGGACGCTGCAAAAAACCCGCATATGCTAGAATGAAATTAATATGTATATTTTAGCAAAATCCACAGTACTCAAGAAGGTTTGTAAATCTAAGCAAGAACAATCAATTTCAAGTGTCTAAAGAATATAAGAATAACTTCTAATCAGCAAGGAATTCTTTTATTTAAAAAAAAAACAAACAAAACCAAACCACCAAAGAACCAAAACACACACACTCAAATCTGATTGTTCAGCTCTGGCTATAGTTTAAAAAAATTATATTCCCTTTTGGCAGAGATTTATCTTAGGAAATACCAGTCTAAAGAAAAAAAGGTCCCATGACAACCTAAAATTGTCATTCTGAAGTCTTAGAATTTCTTTAACCACACAGACAGTAACCGTGTTATGCTTTAATGTAGCATTCTCACAGTAAGATGACACATCTGGTATTAAGCATGATGCTATACTGTGATTATTCCAATGTTTCCATCTTTCTGTTCATGTGGATGTGCTGAAAATGCTTGTGAAATGTGATGAGATTTAATGGTGACTGCAGTAGTTTGTTTCCATAAAAACTCTCTTATTATACTACTTACAGTAGTAATCAATTGAAACATTGAAAAATATTACTGCAATTTTCTCACAAAAAAATAGGAAAAACAGGTTTTTGAGAATTAAAAGAAATTACTGTCTGTATATTTACTGTCTATGACTGAAGTCCTTACCCATTAACTTAGAGGAAATGGTACTTCTTTAAGTTCCTTTGGAATGCGAAAAGTAACTAATGATGTGCTTGTCTAAGGTGAGGATTAGTTCTACTTTAACTTCTGAAACATTTCCAGACGGATTACTTACCCGACTGGCAAAATATTATAAAATCATAGATTAGTTAGGACTGGAAAGGACCTTAAGATTCTCTAGTTCTAATCCCCCTGCCTTGGCCAGGGACACCTCACACTAAACCATGTCATGTCACCCAAGACTCTATGCAACCTGGCCTTGAACACTGCCAAGGATGGACCGTTCACAACCCCCCTGGGCAAAATATTCCAGTGCCTCACCACCCTCACAGTAATACTAATCTTAAGAATATTAATCACAGTATTAATATTAATCATAGTAATATCAATCTCAACAAATTATGTACTGGTCACAGGTTCTAGTTCCATGTACTGGAGCCATAACCAGATACTGTCACAATCAGACGGGGTACTATACTTTCCTTTTTGTGATGGCCTGATCTCTGCATTATCCTCAGAAGAACAGAAACAACAAGCAGCTTTGCACCCAGTGCAGATTTTCATCAGAGTCCAGTAATTGCCACAGAATATAAAAAGAGACTGCATAGAAGCTGTAACCATTAAATAAAATTAGGCAACACACAGGGAAGCTGCCAGGAAACTGATGCTACTCAGTATGCACATTTTGACACCTCACTTCCAGACACTGTCTATAAACAGTTTCCACAAGCATTAACAACAAATACACCCATTAGAAGTACTAGTGTCTTACTGACATGCTATGTCAGCTCCTAAACAATTTTTTAATATTTCTACATTAATGACATCTGGTAACAAACTTGGAGTTGAGGGAGTAGGTATTTTCCAGTGAACTTCCCAAAATTTCAGGTTATTTTAGGGTTAGAATTCTAGTACAGAAGGACTGCATAAAGTTTGCTTAAGGATAACTTAGCAGCCTCCAAGAACTGTGAAGCTGTATCTGTGTCTGAAAATAGAACAATGCAACAATTAAAACAAAAAGGATGAAAAAGATAAGTGACTAAGCATGCCATTATGCATTTGGACACTTTTTATCGGGGCTGTTCTATCCACTTACTATCAGTATTTAATGCAGAAGTCATTTCTAAGGAGCTAGATGTGATGAACATGATGAATCAAAGACCTGCTTGACAGAAAGTTGTACCCTTACCTCTTTCTCCTGAACTAGGTGTTATACTGGCAGTCTCAGTCCCATCTGTGGGCTCCTCTGAACAACCCACAGCAAACTTATTAATAAACCGCATGCGTTCCTGAAAAGCCTAGAGAACAAAGTTTTAATCCAGATAAGAAAGCTTCTATTGAATACTTTAAATTCTAAAGAATTCTCAAAAGTAGAAATCTGTAAGTAGTTAATAAGACAGTAAATCTTCAAATCCATTGCATTAGAGTTATGATGCTACTTCATATTACTGGTGAGTATATTTCATTGATCTATGAAAATATCACTTCTAACAACAGGAATACTATTAATGAACCACTGGGGTGAAAAAAGCGTATACATAAGAGGACCACATTTCATGTCAGAGACATATTCAAGCCACATCTCCAATAGATTTTTATTTTTTTTTCTGAAATAATAACCTGTCAATATTAAGCATCCAATTTTTCTAGTAACATTTTGGAACCTTTATTTGTTTAGTTTTAATGTGTTGAGTAGAGGAGAAATAAATTAGCATTAGTACTTAAAAGTTCATCTTTAATTTCTATCAAGTGTGTAATGCGTATATGAATAAGAACCCCTAAATAAAGCATTGTGAGATGGTACTTCAGTAAAATGAAAAGTAGGGAGTACACTTTGAATGCTTCATGCGTACTGGCTATATTTAGTACACATCTCAAATGAGGAAATGATGCTGTCAGTAATAAACCTAATAACACCAGAATGCAGTATCCAACTCTGCCTGGGGCTGGAATCAGAAATGATGTTACAGTTCCCATTGAATTAGTCCTGAGAAGTTGAATACTTTACTTATACTGAAGATCATCATACAGTGGAATACTGAAAAAACACTGATCTTTAGGCAGTTTAAAATAATTTTTGGATTAAATAAAAAACCCCAACAAACCACTCCCTCCCAAAAAAAAAACAACCAAACCAAAATGCAACAACAACAAAAAACCCCAACAACCAAATAAACCACCCATCAAAAAAACCCCAACCAAACAAAAAAAAAAACAAAACCCTGAAAAGCTGAGTGCAGGGTCAGAAAACATTCACCAATTGCACCTTCTTAGGGAAATACAATTTTCTCCTAGGAGCTCCTGAATTAGTATTGCTTCTCCGAAACAGTGAGTTCATACAGAGCACCATGTACAAACTCACGGGTAACCTGCAACCCAGAATGCATTTGGGAATCCTGGCTGCAGGGAAGGTTTGACTGATGATATGGCCAAGTGTTAGTTCTTCAAGATAAATCTTTCTGGCATGTTTGCAACAGTGTATGTCTCAGTAGAATCTGTTCATGCTAAACATTAAACACTTCACAAGTAGCAGCTTTGCGATTGCGTAAAGGTAGTGGGATTTCTAAGGTTAAACTTTGTTTTGTAAGGTAGAATCTAAAGTCGCAGTGATCTGCAGAAGTCTAAAGTAGATGGTCTGGATTCCTGTATAGAATTCATGCACAAGATTGGATATAAGGAGGAAATTCTTTCCTGTTAGGGTGGTGAGGCACTGGAATAGGTTGCCGAGAGGGGTTGTGAATGCTCCATCCCTGGCAGTGTTCAAGACCAGGTTGGACGAGGCCTTGGGTTATATGGTTAGTGTGAGGTGTCCCTGCCCATGGCAGGGGGGTTGGAACTAGATGATCTTAAGGTCCTTTCCAACCCTAACTATTCTATGATTCTATGAAAATCACTTTTGATTCTTTAAGCTGTGTCAAATTTCCTGTCTTCCACAGAGTGGTGAAGAGGACAGCCATATGAAGTCAGGTCTCTGTTGTGGCAGCTGCTCTACCACCACAGCAGCTCCTGGAACTTGTGAAGAAACATCACTACAAAGACTGCACTCTGATATTACCTTGATAGCTCTTCCTGGCTCTGCAGACTCCCATGCTTGTTTCATGGCTTTGATCTCATCTGCTCGCTGTGTGTCTTTCTTTACCTCCAGAATGTCTGCCTCTCTCTGTTCACTAACTAGACGTAAAGTCCAGTGTGGTTTGTTTGAAGCAGCTTGCTGAAAGTGAAGTATCATAAACATAATATATTCATTAGTATACATCTAACACCACTATTTAGGATGAAGGTATGTTTCCGTACCCTGGTAATTCTCCCGACTGATACACATTTCCATTGGTAGACTTTGACATGCATTACTACACAATCAGTGGCTGCCAAAGAAAGATTACTTGGCAATGTCTAGAAGCAATTTGAGGTATTTTGTTTACATGCTTCCCTCCACTCTCATGCAGCATGCTCCACACTTCCAGTTCTTCTGAACACTCTGTTTGAACAAGGTATTTTGCAGTGATTTTCTCATCTTATCTTCCTGTCATTTTTCCTTTTTTTCCTGCCTTTTCATTTTTCCTCCCATAAGCTTTTTACTAGAAGTCTTATTATACTTAACTAGGCTTTTTGTGTAGAAATACATCTCTCTGTCTTATGAGGCATCAGGAATTTTCCCAGTCACTTCTCAAACTCTAAATCACCCTAACCGATAGCTTCTCCAAAACTGTGGGGTACAAGTAGTGCCTGAAATCTAGGAGACTATTCTGCTGTTTGACTAATGAACAAGATATTGTGTTGCATATATTTCTGGAAATTCTACCATCTGCAGAAGATTTAAGCCTAGGATATAGAGGTAAAGACAGGAGTTTAGCTTTTATTTGAGACTAAAAGTGAGCATCTTCTTTATCTGTAAGCAGTCCCATCTCTAAACCTGCATCTGTTTTAGTGGCAGCCTGAAGAAATCCCAAGAACCAACACCCCAGAACCCCTAGTATACCCCATAACTGAAGCTGAAATCTGACATAGCCTGAATCTACATTGCATTTCTATGGTCAACAATCTCAACTGCAGCCACTCAGGCACTATTCTGGAGCTCTATATAACTACGTGTGGGTATGAATCATTGGGAAGTTTGCTGAACAGTAGGTTTAGTCAACAAAACAATTCAGTAGAGATTTCTCATGAAAAACTCTTTGGAGATGCTCTCCTCTTGAACTACCTGCCATCAGACAGCAAAATTCCCAGCAAAAGCAATACCATTAAATGAGGAGCTGTCAGTTTCTCCTTTGTCTTCCATTAATCTGTTTGCAATCCATAAAGTCAATTATTCCTTTTAAGGCATACAGGCTGGCAGTAGCCTTTCAGTCAAGCACAGAACACTCAGGTTATCCCACCACAGGTGAGAAGAATTTGTAAGCAGGTAACAATTTTTCTAACACTGCATATCTGCAAGCTAATGGCAACTGCGACATATGAGATGGGAACTGACTATAGTTGAAATACCTACTTCATCTCCTGAAAACCGCTACAGTGGGGGACTAATGGGACACGAAGATGGTGAATTCATGGAATTTAATAAACCTTCAGAAGAGACTGAAATTAGCTCAACAAAAAGAACAATTAATAGCTGCTTTATACATAAACAAAGAAATATGCAATTACATCTCTAAACACAGGATGCATGTCTTTTACATGTGTAGTTCAATCTCGGGTATAAAGCTAAAAAGGTGGCAAAGCAGGGCACAGAGAAATGAAAGGGGATACGCTAGAAGTGCTAGTAATACTGATCTTGGTACAATGACGGCACATTCAACAAATGCAATTTTTGGTTTTGTTCTCACCTGAGATTCAGGTGGAGAAACAAGAGGTAGAATTGATCCTCTTTCCTTATTGGACTTCTCTTTTTCTGTCTTCTCAGATGCCTTATCTTTTGTTTTTCTGGTTGTTTTACGAGCACTTGCAGACTTATGTACATCAGAAAAACTGAGCGTTAGAGGAAAGCTGTGCTCCTCATGCTTTTCCCCACGTACTATTCAGATGTGGTTATGATGCATGATGAATTAGAGAATCCATTGTCATCCATAAATATATTTCCCCGTATAATATCCAGGGTGGAATAACAGCACAAAACAGCCATACAGAAAGACAAAGAGAAGTCAGTTAATTAGTTGGCACTTTGAAGTACTACACTAACATTTGTTGTGTGACCAAGAAAGAGCATGGGTACAAAATAACTTTTAAAGGTGGATATATCGTGACAGCTTTATCTGTCCTAAATAGCACTTTACCCAGGGCTTAAATGCGAGTTTGCCACGGTTCCGGCATACCTGTCACTGCATTTGTTGCCTTGTGCCTGGGTCAGTCCAAAGATGGCAGTGTACAGGATCACAGTCTGACTCTTACTTCTTTTATATAGTCTCATACAATCTCTGTCAGTGTTATGCACTAGACTGGTCAAAAGCTCAAAATAGGTAAAAACTTACTATCTCATATGCTTATACATCTGAAAGTGTGAAGAGCAGAAGGGAAGGTACACCCCACCAGAAATTAAGGAAGTTAAGGCAAAGAACCATATTTGAGATTTGATGAATATTTAAGAAATTCAAAATTATCATTCTCAGAACTGAGAACATTTTGTATTAATTATTTTATCTGTACATGTATATGCTGTATGTATTCCATGTATGTGAATTAAAGATTGTGAGAATTGACATTTGTGACACTTATTTTGCACTGTCTTAGCTGGGGGGAGTTGTTAACAACACTTGTTACATATAATACTCAAGTAAGTAAAAAAGCAAGTAAATAAATAAATAAATAAATGAAGCAAGCTATATTAGTGTATAGCTTTAACAGCATAAGGAATATGTCAACTGAGACAACCTGGAATGAACCCACACCACTATGAGAAAGATTAAAGATCTGAGTCTGAAATCTCTATTTTCGTCCAACTTCATACTGCTTGAAATGTTAAACAAATGCTGAAAACATAGATTTAGTCAATACAGTAAAACAGGGGATTTCTCTTAGAAAAAAAAGAGGAAATGAGCGACTCTTTTACAATTTGATAATAATAAGAAGATACCTTTCCCTTAATGCTATGCTTTTCTAACTTCTTTCCACTAAGGACAAATCATTGTGCTGCATGATTAATGAGCTTTGGACCAGATCTGCAATCTCATGGCCAAAATTATCTGGATATATCAAATTGTAAATATTATAGAAACATATTCATAATACACATATAACTACACAAATATGATATAAAATTGTATTACATCATACATTATACATGTGTTTATATATAAATTGTATTATTCCTTCTGATGCTACTTAAATAATGTAAAATGGCACCAAAGTGCTAAGCTTAAATTGATTCAATGCTACCACAGCATACATTAAAGAATGAAAGCAAAAATTAAAGTGGTCTCCACAAATATTGCAGATACTAAAAGAACTCCAGAGGAAATGCAAGTAAGTTATAATATCATTACATAAATGGCTTTCCATTTAATTTCACATTATCATAACACATTAGCACCATAACTCAGGCTAGCGTACATGCATTATTTAGTGAATTATTAATTTTTAAAGATAAATCATTTACTGTTTATAGAAACACTCAAGAGACATCCAGTGTTATTAGCTAAATGATATCAGACAAAGACTTGTTATGTTATGGGATACTACAAGCTTTGACTGGCTTCTATATTCTACATTTCTGAATTTTAACATTTTGATCCTCTGGACTTATTCATACACTGAGAAGTTAGTAAATAACAAACAAGCATATGACAAGACAGGCCTCTTATGCACACACTGAGAAGTTAGCAAATAACAAACAAACACATGAAATCACCAGGGCTAAAATGAGGTTTCCTGCTTTAACTCCAGAGGTCATGTACTACTACACAAGCACAGCTACAGGCTGCAAGGAGACTGGATTGAGAGTAGGACAATTAGGAGAAGGACATGGGGGTGTTGGTTGACAAAAAGCTCAAGATGATTCAGCACTGTGCACCTGCAGCCCAGAAAACCAGTTGTATGCTGGGCTACATTAAAAGGAGCCTGACCAGCCATTCTCCCCCCTCTGCTCCACCTGGATTAGTCTGTTCAGCTCTGGGACTGCCAACATATGAAGGATGTCAGCTGTTGGAACAGATTCAGAGGAGGGCCACAAAGATGATCAGAGGGCTGGAGCACCTCTCCTACAAAGAAAGACAGGCTGAGAGAGTTGGGCTTGTTCAGCCTGGATAAGAGAAGGCTCCAAGGAAGACCTTGCACTTGTACCCAAAGGGTGCCTTCTAGAAATCTGGAGAGGGACTTTTTACAAGGACATGTACGGATAGGACAAAGGTGAATGGCTTTAAGCTGATGGGGATATTTAGATTAGACATTAGGAAAACACTGTGAGGGTGTGAGGCACTGGAACAGGTTGCCCAGAGAAGCTGTGGACACCCCATTCCTGGAAGTGTTTAAGGCCAGACTGAATGTGGCATTGAGCAACCTGGTCTAATGGAAGATTTCCCTGCAGGGGGGCTGGAACTAGAAGATCTTTTAAGGTCCCTTCAACCCAAACTATTCTGTGACTTATGACTCGATGATATAAAGGCTTAGCTCCTTTAGCTAAAAGTATGCTGCACTGCGCAGGTTCCCCCAGCCCTCCTCCCTCCCTCAGCAGAGCAGGCAGTCTCCCCAGTTTTGCAATCATCCCCCAGATGTTCCTGGAGGACCACTAGCTGCAGGTTGGCACTATATCATGCAGCCCATGAAATGGTTGACTCTGAGGGAGATGTGAATAGCTCCTCAGGGCTTTTCCAATAACAAAGCCAAGCAACTGCTTTGTATGGGATGTGATAAGAAGAACGATTCACTTAGTCTAATGCTGGAAGGGGCCACAGTGATCATCCAGTCTGACGTCCTGTGCATGACAAGCTGAACAATTACATTAAACGATTCTTATCTTAAATATATAACTTCAAATAACAGATTCAGATACCACAATTGTTTTATTTGTTTTTTTTTTTTAGGCAAGATAGACCGCTACTCCTGATTTATGAAATTAAGATTATTGAAAATGTATGTTACTCATAGGTAAAATACAGAGGAGTCTTTTCAAGTTTTCTTTGAGAAGATACTATGCTCTCAGTTATTTGAAATATAGCACTGAATATGAGCATTTAGTGGGATTACCCAGTAGATGGCAGAAATGACTCTTGTCCCATGAAAGACTTTCAGATTTGGTTACGAAATGATTGAGAAATTCAGATGTTGCTTTTCCTGCCTCTAACTGGACCCTCAGTCAGAGATATTCTAAAAAGACACCAATATCAAGAATCTTTCTAATGCTGGGATCATCCAGACATTGAGGTTGCATAAAAATACACCAAGAGAGGAGGAAACTACCACTGTGGTGCAGTAGTAGAGTGGAGTTTTACAGCATGGCTTCAGGGTCTACAGGTCTGTAAACTCTAGCACCATCAAATATCCTCAGTGACCTACTTTTTGACATGTCCTGGGCTCAGCAGTAGCAGTCATTTTTTTCCTTCTTAGTGGCTGGTGCAGTGCTGTGGTTTTGACTTTCAGCCTGGGAACAGCGCTGATAACACTGATGGTTTTAGTTGCTGCACAGTAATGTTTACTCTGACCAAGGACTTTCTGAGCCTCACGCTCGGCTAGGGAGGAGGGGAAGATGGGAGGAAGCAGAGACAGGACACCTGACCCAAACTAACCAAAGGGTTATTCCATACCACAGCATGTCATGCCCAGTATAGAAACTGGGGGCAGTTACCCAGAACGGCTACATCACTGGTCAGGTCAGGCTGGGTATCAGTCGGCAGGTGGTGAGCGGTTGTGTTCTCTTCTCTTGCTGTTTCCCTTATCATTATTATTATTGGTAGCAGTAGTGATTTGTGTTATACCTTAGTTACTGGACTGTTCTTATCCCAACCCATGGGAGTTACATTCTTTCGATTCTCCTCCCCTTCCCTCCAGGAGCAGGGGGAGGAAGGAAGGGGGAGTGAGCGAGTGGCTGCGTGGTTCTGGGTTGCTGACTGGGCTTAAACCACAAGTGGTGAATCGCTACAGACAGGCAAGGTAAGAAAGAGAGAGGGAGAACTGAATACCCTGTTAAACATCTTGTGAAATCCCGCCCTTGGCATGAGCCAGCAAGTTCTCCGGTGGAAAACGAAAACCTGTGGGAGAAAATTTCCCATCTTTGGAGCTAAAAAAGGAATGCTCCAAAGGATATTACCTCTACCTTTTCAAGCCTGCCTCTACTACCTGAGTTGGTCACACTGCCTCCCTCTGCTATTCCAGTTGGATAAACAGCTTTCTTGTATCAACAGCTAATACTCTTGAGTTAGCTGAAGACAACATATGAAATACATGCTGCAGATAGCATTCAGCACACACTGATAATTCAATTCGGGTTTGTGACAGTTGCACGATAAAACTTCTGATCTTACTACAAGAAAAGTAAAACCAAACAAACCCAAAAGGCAATAGCTGGAAGTCATGTATACGAAACAAATCTTAAAATAATTTTAAATAATTTTGTTCACATAGTCAAACAACTTAAAATGCTATAAGCAGTTGCAAGATTCCCTGATATTTTTTCCACTTTCACACAAGAATTATGATCCAGGCCTTAGGGTTTTTCTAACTATTTTTCCATTGAAGTCTTGCCCCATTAACAGCTCCCAATGGAAGTGGAAAAAAAAAAAAAAAAGGGACAAAATAATAAAGACTGTATAAATAATAAAATATCTGGCACTTTCTAATTTCTGTGTACTTCGGTTTTCCTGGTTAATGCCTTTTTAATGTTTTGTTTGTGCAATGAGCTTTTTAATAAAACATTTAATGAGATTTTGTATATCATAAATATGACTAAATATTAGTAATGAAATAACGTTTGCTAACACAGTTCTTTTCAAAATGATTGCCAAACTGCAGTATTAAGGATGTTGAATGAAGAAATACCCCAAACATCCACACATACAGAATTATCACAGCATCTGTATGCCAAAAAGCTTACTTTCTTCAAAAATGCTCTTAATAAATATTTATAGTATTGGTGAATGCTGACAGAATAATAGTATGAGTCTTCATTTAGATGGAGACTAGTCTAAAAGACTTTAGTAAATGCTATCACAAAGCTGAAATACATTTTTGCCATGACAAATTAGCTTTAACGCAAAACTAACTCCAGATGGCACTGTCGTCTTACATGAGATAGTGACAACTGAAATGGTGAAAATTTGTTGGAGAAATTTTCCACCTGGCTCACTGCAGCTTTCCTAAAAATCACACAGTGAGAAGATGCCTTTTTGGTTACACAGCAACACTGCTATTATATGAATTGTGTGTTTGACAGCTGGTGCTGACAGCTTTAAATGATAAAGCTCAGTTTTCAAATCGCTTTAAGACTAGTTCACAATCAGAAAAAAGATTTAAAGATTGAAAGAAAATTTAAAGGTATTAGCAAGTGTGCATATATGGAAGGAGGACAATGCAAATAATTTCTCCTTATTTCATATTTGAAAAATTGATTTACAGAACTTTAATAATTGATGATATTGGTAATTTAATGAATAGCGGAAAGTAGTATTTTAGCTTCTCCAGGAAATTTAGGAGTGAGAGCACAGGGGAATTAGCTGCATACGTGCATGTGTGTGTGATAGTCTGCACCAGCAGCTGGAGTAGGGCTGCAGCCTCAGGAGCTGGTATGGGATCCAGGGGCCAGGTACTGGCAGACTGGGTGTTAAAGTCCAGCTGTTGTTAAGGATCCACCTTATATACACATACACACACATGCATAGATATAAAAACTCTCTACTGGACGTCCATTCTGTCCAGCCAGAGAGGGAAGCAGGATGAAGCCATTGGCACTATCTGCGTTTGTGTGAGTGTTCTAGGTATGTCATCAGCATGGCTGGCAATGTATATATGTATGTATGCAGTGTGTATGTGTTCTGTGTGCATGTGCCTGCTGGGACTACATCTCTAGCATCACTCATGGTTGGACGTGGAATGGCAGCCGACTTGCCTCGGGCTGTTTGATCCAGTGTGATAAATTTTCCTCTAGCATAATTAAGATCATAAGGAGAAACAAATATGAGACATTTATGTAATTTCTAAGATACTGACTAGTATTCTAATGGCTTTTAATGTGTGTTGGTTCGGGTTTTTCTTTTTTTTGTTTGTTGGTTTGGTTTGGGTTTTGTGTCCTTTTATTTTTTTTCCCTTGTCCCTTAACAAAAAATGCTAAGAGAATCTACGAAAAAAAGAAAACCTTTAATTTCTGTGTCCCCTGCCTGGCTTGAATACAAGACTAGGAAAGACCCTGGCCTTAGGGTCTTTCCTAGTCTTGCCTCCTGCCTAAATTCTTCTGCTAGTAGTACAGAAGTAATATATATCCTAAAACAGGCCTTTTTTTATTTTTCTTTTTTTTTCTCTTGTCAGTGCATCTTAAACTATCAGCAAGTGTGTCTGTCTGGTTTCAGGAGAAATTCTGTGTTTGGATGTACTTTGTCAAGGCATTGTGCTTTTACATTACACTTCATCAGTCTATGACTGTAGAAGCAGTCATACTTCTGTAGCTGCTCTAGATCCCTACTTAAAAGTTAAGCCCTAGGAAACTCAGGTGAGTTTTGCAGTGTATTCTTTGATTTCCTTATAAATTGTGAACTAAAGATACAGAATTATGCAATCAAACTTAATTTCTATAAACCACAGAACAAAGAGCTTTATTGCTTAATTATTTCACTCAAGTAGTGAATAAAAGAAAAAAACATATGGTTGTGGCTTGTAGCAATACAACTTTTTTTAATCGTTAACAAGATGTATTTGAATAAATAAATACGTTGACCTACCTTTGCTTTCATTTTTCTCCATTTCTTTCAGTTCCTGAACAAAGAGAGACTCACTCTCTTCAAGTGGCCAACTATTATACAGCACCAATGCTTGTATGATATACTTATGAGACTGAAAGAAAATGCAGCATGTTAACACACTGAAGACATAAAAATTATAGTAAGTATTCAAAAGTTCTGTAGGTTAGTAACCTATCAGCTACTGAGCTCAGCAAATAAAACAAATAATTTACAAGCTTGCACATTATAGTATTGACAAGAATCTTAAAAAAATAGTGCTAATTCCACAGATTTTAATGTAATTCCTGTGACATTAAACAATTACTCATGTTTATCAAGCAAAACTAAACTGGGCTATACAGCCTCAGGCTGCACTGGGGAGATTTAGACTGGATATTAGGCACAATTTCTTTACCAAGAAGGTTGTCAAGCATTAGAACAGGCTGTCCAGGAAAGTGGTGGAGTCACCATTCCTGGAGGTATCTAAAAGACAAGTTATAGGATCATAGAATCATAGAATCGTTAGGGCTGGAAAGGACCTTAAGATCATCTAGTTCCAACCCCCCTGCCGTGGGCACGGACACCTTACGTTAAATCATATCACCCAAGGCCTCTTCCAACCTGGTCTTGAACACTGCCAGGGATGGAGCATTCACAATCTCCCTGGGCAACCCATTCCAGTGCCTCACCACCCTAACAGGAAAGAATTTCCTCCTTATATCCAATCTAAACTTCCCCTGTTTCAGTTTTAACCCACTACCCCTTGTCCTGTCACTATAGTCCCTAATGAAGAGTCCCTCTCCAGCATTCCTATAGGCCCCCTTCAGATACTGGAAGGCTGCTATGAGGTCTCCACGCAGCCTTCTCTTCTCCAGGCTCAACAAACCCAACTTCCTCAGCCTATCTTCATACAGGAGGTGCTCCAGTCCCCTGATCATCCTCGTGGCCCTCCTCTGGACTTGCTCCAACAGTTCCATGTCCTTTTTATGTTGAGGACACCAGAACTGCACACAATGCTCCAGGTGAGGTCTCACAAGAGCAGAGTAGAGGGTCAGGATCACCTCCTTCTACCTGCTGGTCACGCTCCTTTTGATGCAGCCCAGGATATGGTTGGCTTTGTGGGCTGCAAGCGCACACTGCAGCCGGCTCATGTTCATTTTCTCATCAACCAACACCCCCAAGTCCTTCTCTGCAGGGCTGCTCTGAATCTCTTCTCTGCCCAACCTGTAGCTGTGCCTGGGATTGCTCCGACACAGGTGTAGGACCTTGCAGTTGGCATGGTTAAACTTCATGAGGTTGGCATCAGCCCACCTCACAAGCATGTCCCTCTGGATGGCATTCCTTCCCTCCAGCGTATCAACTGAACCACACAGCTTGGTGTCATCGGCAAACTTGCTGAGGGTGCACTCAATTCCACTGTCTGTGTCAGCGACAAAGATGTTAAACAAGATGTTGATGTGGTACTTGGGAACATGGTTTAGTGGTGGCCTTGGCATTGCCGGGTTAATGGTTGGACTTGATAATTTTACAGGTCTTTTACAACCTAAAAATTTCTATTACTGTATTCCTTTAAGATTTCCATGTAACTTCCCTATGTATGCCATGTGCAAAACCCAGAAACTTTTGTCTTTGATTTTAAGACCTACTACAGTCCTTTGAGCCCTAGCACTCAATAATGTCTTAATTTGAAGTAGAGGTGACAGGGTCCATGGGTTTTTTATACTTATTATTTATTATTTATATTTATATTTATCTGCACTGAACAGGAAATGATTCCCTTTAAAATTTGTTTTCCAAATTCTAAAGCCATTTCTGACTCAAAGGAACATTGGAATGTATTTCTCTTTTTTTCTTATTTTTTATTTTTGAATATATTGATTTGAATGCATTGTTGCACTTGAACTCAATTATCAGGCAAATCACAGTAGGGAAACAGTGACAGAGAAACAAGAACTGCTTTAGAAAATAAATGCTGTTTTTTTTTTTTCTAAGATAGACAAATATTACTATATGATGGCAAAAAAAATCCACACTTTTGACATCCCTCTCTGAGAAACTTGGCTCAAGTAGCAGCAATTCTGTGTGTGTTACTAAAGCCTTCAGCTGACTGGCAATAGGCGTTTCTCTATTAAAACTATTAAAGATAGCCTTCTCTTACATCAAATTTCACAGAAAATGCATATTGAAGCATCAGAAGTTTAACTTAATTTCTGGTAGCTTTTGGCCCTTAGCTGAAAATTATGCTATACTTGACTTGGATTTGGCAAATGAAGACCATTTAAAGACTGAATGTATCACCTTGATTTGAAACCAAAAATGACCCCTTCTTATTTGTTTACCCACACATGTACATTATCCCTCAGGATACCAGATCTTCATTTTACCAAAAGAATTATTAATACCCCTTAATTGCTTTTTTGTTTTTGTTTTGTTGTTGTTTTGATTTAGTTTGGTTTTTTTCCCCAAAATCCCAGTAATTTGGAATCTCTTACTTCTTGCGGACTTCCATCCTTGTTTTGAAAGGTTTCCAAGACAGAAGATTCATCTTCTAATGTAGGTGGACCTTCTCGTACATGTCCTGCCTTCAAAGAAGTTTTGGTGTCCTTTGAAGATGAATTATGAACTTTTTTTTTGGATCCTTTCACTTCTGATTCCTTCCTTGTACTACTTTGACTAATCTTGCTTGCTGCAAGATTAAATATGTCAGTGTTAATTTCCAGAAATACTACGAAATGTTGGTATGAGGTAAAAGGATACCACAGCCACTATTCACACAAGTCACACATAGTCAATAATGCTCACAAGGGTCCAATTGGAATTGCTTATTTCAAATACTATCCTGATTTTATTCTGCATGCAAATCACAAATCTCTTCAAAGTAAACGATGAGAAATTTGGAAAACTGCATATATAACTGCTGTTACTGTTTATAAAGTGTACAATTTTACCCCCTTCAAGCCCCACACTACTTTCCTGCACTAACCATGACAGCACTATGCTATATACTACGTAATACAGATACCTTTGTGCTCTCAATGACAGGGTCTCTGTGTAACTAATCTAATTTAATAAGTTGTGTATGCCTGTGGAAGGAGGGGAGAGGTGCATTGGCCACAGTTCTGGCAACTCCTACCCTTACAGAAGTCACTGATGTCAACTTGGCACAAAGATCATAGCTGACTGAAGTTTAGAAAAAGCCAGTCTTGCAAGGAGCTATAGAACTATTTGTGGCCTGTAATTTATAAAGGTATATCAATGTCTCCTAAGGAAAGTATATAGGGAATAACTGAAACCAGGAATGTGCTAAAGAAGGGCTATCATGGAAGTATTAATCCAGAAAGTGTATATTTGTGTTCACTTCTAATGCCACTGAAATCTTTTTGACTTCACTGAGGACAAGAAGCTTTCACTCTTCCCAAGGTATACTGAAGAAGCCAAGGATGATACTGTACCATGACAGGACTTCAAAAGAAAAACGTAGTTTCATGTGTTTTGACAAAGCATCCAGGAGTTAACAGGAGCTGACAGGACCTAGCAGACCAGATTCAGCAAAATTTACTGGTGGTGTGTCAGTGTATAAATGCCAAATAAAATGTAAAGTGTGCCACTAGAAACTCAAAGGGAGTTACAAAATATTGTTTCTTATGGAAGTCAAATGTCACGGATAACTTGCTATCTCATCTTTCCTCTGTATAAGACAGTGCTCCCTTTTTCCTAAGAAAACCAGAAGTCAGCAAATGAAAACAGGAACCTTTGCATAAATGCTTTCTTCAAGATACCTTAAATTCCTAATCCCACGCTATGAGCTGCTCTTCTGCATGACATTCAGAATGTTCTTTTCTATCTCTGTGAAAACGTGCTGCAAAGAAATAATTCGGATTCCAAATGGAAGAATAACGCTACACACAGACATTTTCCAAACAGGTAACTTGCCTTTAGGCAACCATTTGCAATATTTGCATCAAGGTTTCTAGTCAGGAAGGATCTTCAATGCCTGCTTGAGCACTGTTATCAAGGAACAGTGCAAATGATTTACAAAACGGTAGCTTTAGAGAAGTGAATCCAAGTAGATGTACTCCCTCTTGTAGTCAAGAGAGGTGAGCTCCCCTCCAGAAGGTCAGATGTCTGGGCTTTGGGAGCTGTGTGCTGCTGTCTGAAAGAGCCTACCTCTACCTATCAAGGTACGTGGGTTTCAAGGGAGGCTGTATTTCTTCAGCTATGATCAGCCTTCACTGTCCTTTTCCTCTCTCTCTCCTAAACCTGAAGAGCTTAAGAATTAAAAAATTCTACAATGTTTTGCCCAGAGGACGATTTTGCCATGAAGATAGTTCAGAATGGTGAAATCCTCCATAAGGATTCTACTTAACAACCCATCCATAATCATTCTGCTTTCCGTGCTGCAAAGATGACTTGGAGAAGTTCCCATCAAACATTCAAAATAATAGTTCTAGCAATTGTCACCAGGTGGTGCTGTGATACCAAATTACTTTTCTTGCTACATACATAAATATCCATTCCTGTTTTTCCTAAGCAAAGCTCTGATTAGAAGGAACGACCATCTATCTGTGGTTCCAGATTCAAACTCAAGATTTCTGAACATGATTTTTATGCTTCGACACTGGATCGTACCAGATTGCTACTATGGAAAATAAAAGGATTATGAGCATCCTCTTCCCCATCTGTGCTTACAGGACTGCTGCGCTTGTACCAATAAAATGAGTTGTACTTGCAACATGTTAATATGTAACTCCTTTATTGACAAGCGAATGTTACAGGTCCATGTCATTGGCTGCACCTCAGAGAGGTAAATATATTCAAAATCAAGTGGTTTAATGCATTTTTTTTTAGCTATAAAAGAATTTAGAAACCATCTGTGACTGTAGGTGAATTAACAGGTTATGGGTGGGAAAGGGGAATAATGTTTTATTGGTGATACTTGCACAATAAGGTCACTTAATGTCACTTCTGGCAACACAGTGATCAATTCTATGAGAGACAGAACGCGCGATTCTGAATAAATCTCAAATGTGAAGATTGCCTTTCCTAAATAACAATTTTGGTGCTGATGGTATAGCCATTTCTGATTATTCCTGTTCTGTGAAAACACACTTGTTTAGAGAACAACTAGCTGCTAACAGTATCAATCTTGTATTGAGTGTCAGTTTTACAAATCCCCACCTGAACTTGGCATTGGCATTTATGGAGGTCCCTATCTTGTTATTGTACTGGCCATAATTTCCTGCTGCTGTTCACAACAGCAGAGGAACATGAAACATGTTTTTACAACACCATAAATTGCACCTGCAGACATTCAGCAGGCTGGGTAATATGATGCTGTCATATTGGTCATACTGAATACATTCAATCTTTTCATTTAGTTTGGATGCTCTGAAAAATCTGGAATACCTACACAAAATGTCTGCTTTGTAACACACAAGATACCTCATATAGGAAAAGAATTTCAATATTAAGGCCACTTGGTCTAGTATTGTAAAAATAATAGTAATAGTAAAAAAACCAACAAATTGTGATCGCCATTCTTTGCAAATGAAAACTTTCTATACACTCACACTTAAATGGAATCAGAATATTTGTTTCACCTTCAAATACAGTCTAAAACCATAAAACTTATCTTACAGGCTCCACTGCTGAATACAAACCTTAAACAATAACCTTTCTACTTTCAATCAGCTTAATGTAACAGGTATTTCATTGAATGATTCACAGTGGATTAAAGTAACTTTAAATTACCAGAAATTATTTGTATCATAGCACATAAGACTAAGAGATAGAAGTCTAAGTGTATGTCTGATTTCTTAGGATATTTTGTAAAGTTCTTCTTGTCTATGCCCTCTGCTAGTCTGGCAAAGTCAAAATGTCCCTCTTATGTATTCTGACCCATTCTCCCTCTTCCAGCATCTGTTGGAACACATTTATATTCTCTTTCACCTTATCATGTTTCAGACTGTGATCTTTGCCAACAAGTCAGTTTCATGAAAGAAACTTTCTCCACTTGAGTGAGGGTAATGTGGCAATTTATTTCAAGAACTGTGATGCTGACCCTAATCTGAGCTATTTCACAGCCTTCCTGCTGCTATTTCCATCAGTCTACTAATAAGCTTATTAATCCATTCCCACATTCCAAAACCAGTACCCAAACCAGCTATTGATTATCTTGGTAACTAGGACAAAATTATGACAGCTTATCCTTGAGTTCCTTTAAAACCACAACACTGTCATCTAATGAAAGATTTTAAGAGCATGGTCTCCACAGTATTTAATTTTGCATTTCTGGTTATAAGATGCAGTTGAGACAAAACTCAAGATGCTTCATAAACATGATTAGATTATTAGAAATGATACAAAAAATTGGAAATTTAGATGAGACATTTTTTCTAAAGGATGCTAGAAAACTACACAGTTCAAAATAGTGGTGATGAGCACATTAAATATGCTATTTTGGGCTCTACTGAAGCAATACAATGCAGTATTTGAAGAATTTGTCTTTGCCTCCAGTTCTGAATACACTCAAACAGGCAGAAACTCACAGATCTACAAAAGATTTATTGTATAAAAGTCTTCATGAAAGGACTGAAGACTTTAATGTCTTACAACATTGATGTATAGTGGTGTCCATGGAGAGTACAGTAGCTGACTTGTTTGCTTCTAAACAACTGCTTTACTTAAGCAAACTTGTAATGCTGATGAGTAATATAATTTTCAAAATGAAACCCCACAGGTATAGTGAAAAATTAAAAATAGTACACTGTCTTACAAATAAAATGGAAACAGCTTAAGAAGTGTACAGAAAACAGGGAAACAAACTAAAATTATGAAAGAAGTTAAGATGGCATGGCAGTAGCATCTGCAATCTATTACATAAAAGATGGTACTTCACTTTTGTTAAAGATTACTCAAATACCACAGGGACATTTATTGAAAACGTGCCTAAGAATTATGTACCTCATTCAGCTGTATTTATTGGTCCTGAATAGTAAAATTAAACAGCACTTCAAAATCCAGTGCAATCAACTGCCCAAGAGTACTTTCATATGACAAAATTTTCATTCCTGTTTTAGCTTCTTTAAAAAGCAGCAAAAGTTAAGGCTTTTGCTTTAGCCCCAACTTTACCAAACAACAAAAATGCCAGCAGCAAACAGCTTATACTGTCTGATGGTAGCTCCTGAGTACCGAGTTCATTAGAACTAACTTCTGAAAGCCTGAAGTGAAGCACGAAAGAGGATGTCCGGATAACCTAACTCTGCCGTCTGGCGTGCGCAAGAAGTTACCTCACTACATCAGAGGGGGATGATGGCAGAGTATTGCTACAGTCTCAAGCTGAAGGATCTCTCCATGAAGTCCAGTTGTAAACATACCTCCTTAGTTGGACAGATTATCCAAGGAAACTAGATTATTTGTGTATCATGAAATAAAAACCCCAAACTTGAGCCTTCTCTACTAATTGATACCACAGGGTCACAGGAGGCTGAGCAAGGCTGGAAGACACCTCTGGAGATAATTTAATTCAATTCCATTGCTAAAATGCAGGGTCATATAGGGCAGGATGCTCATGGCCATATCCAGATGGGTTTTGATTATCTCCAAAGATGAAGACTCCAAAACCTCTCTGGGCAAACTGTTCCCTGAGAGTAAAAATAAAAACCCTAACAAAACCACAAACCAAGCAACCTCCACCCTCCAAATCAGCTTTTCTCATCCTTAAATTTATTTTCTATTATTCAGGTTTTGCCCATTTCCTCTTGTCATGTCACTGGATTCCACTGAAAAGAGTTTGACTTAATTTTCTTTACCTCCTTGCCCCTTAGCCCAGTATTTACATGCTGTGAGGCTTAGATGTAAAGTAGATTCAGACTGTTAACTTGCTGAACTACAGAGAGTCAGTTTTAATTGGTGCTAGGCTTGATTTTTCTTAGCTACAATCACAAGTTTCAAAGTACATTGAGAAAACACATGAATTTTAGCATACTTATGAAAGGTGACCTTTGAACACACACTGGTTCTCACCTTCAACAAGAGCTGAGCTGACAAGACTGCAATGTAATAAATAGCAATTAAAAAACAAAGAAACAAGAAAAACTTTGAGCAAAAACCTTCTCAGATCCAAATGTTCAGCCAAAAATGATTATTTGCTGTAACTTTCAAATAAATTTGTCTCAAAAGAAATCTTGTTTAATTCAAGTGTTCCCATAACTTTTTCTCAGTATTTCAGTTACTATCACAAAGAACTGACAATAGTATAATAGCAAAATGGGCATTTACGCCCCTTATGCCAACTTTGCAAGTCTAGGGAAAGTAGCTCTTCCTTCAGTGTCTTGTATGAATATCGTTGTGAAACCACAGCGGAGCTACAGTCAAAACAGCAGAGTTTTTCTTAGGGATAATTATTATATAATTTATTAAGTGTATTTTTTCCTTGTACTCTGGGCCTCATATGCTGGATGACAAGCAAATAAAACGTGTGCTGCTGCTAAAAGGAGTGGTGCTCAGGACAGTGCATTTAAACCGTAAGGCTTTAAACCTGTGAATTACCTACCATGTTCCACGGTATGGGCATCTGTTTCCTAAGAGCCAAAAATTTTTGAACCTTAAGATCAAACAAAGGCAAGCTCTTGAAAAATGAAACTTACTTCAATTCTCAAGGACAAGACAAGCATACGCATAAAAATTTAAAAAACTGAGAAGCTACTTCAATTATCCGCAAAGTCTTCAGTCAGTTATAAAAGACGATCAAAAGACAGAGGAAGAAAACAAGGCTGGACACCTTATTTCAGTCAGTCCTTTCAGTACCTTTCCTCATTGCTGAGGACGAAGGACTCCTGTTCATTGCTTAAAAATTAATCTGATTTCACTCAATCACAAAGCAATTAAGGATTCACGGAAAAAGCAGAAAAAAAAGTATTTTCTATGATTATCTAAACATACTGTAACAGTGCATACCCCTCAGTTAATAAAATTATCAAATACAGAATACAATACTTACATTGAGAACTCAAAAGCATTTCATTACTCAAGAAATTAAAAGCAGGGATGACTGCCTGTCCCTTTCCCGTGACACTCAAAATTTCCACTTCATTATCTAGGACTTGTAGTTTAATGAACACATCTGATTTAGAGGTTTGTACCTGCACTGTAGCAATATGTGATGCTGTGGCTTTTACTGAATACCTGAAGAGGAAGAAAAAAATTATAGCAATATAACCAACTATCCAACTATGCCAGAACATTCTTTCTTAGGAAAGTGCCTAAATGTTGTGCTGACCTGGAAGTAAGACTTGAGTTTGTGGTCAATTGTTTTCCCACAATCTGGTGGGCTAAACTTCCTGTAGTAAAGTTGAGTGAAGTGAATTTATGATAAAACTAAGTGCTGCTGCAAAAAAATAGTATGGTCTTGCCATTTCTTTTGTCACTGCCTTACCTAATAACCACATGTATATTTTCCCTCCCGTGGTTTTACTGTTTGTTGAAAAACATGGTTAGCCAGATTAGGGAACTATTCCAATTAAATAATCCATTAATTAGAAATATTAGTACAAATTGTCAGGAGTCAAAGGAAAATATTCTAGAATTAAACTTCAAAATATGTATGTGCAATCAGCTTTAAGCACGGGGCCTGTTTTACTGCAGTGTGCAGTCTTTTATGTAAAAGTAAGTAAATTGATTTCGTCAGAGTCAGTTCTGAACTCAAGCTCAGCCATAAGAAACTGATTTTAATATTTTAATAAACTCTAATAAACTAAAAAAGACTAATAAAAATTAAATCACATTTTTATTAAATACATTCTCCTAAAAGAATTAGCATGCTAAAATAAAATCTATATAAATTTTTCCACCAACACCGCAAGATGGAAATTGGTCTAATATATCAGAAAAGAAAGTGGTTTATTTCTGTATTATTTAAAGCTTTATCTGAACACTGAAAAAAAAATAAAATAATAAATCAAACTCCATGTCTCCTCCACACCTGCAAAATCTTGATTTTAATACATTTAATCCCCCAGAGTACTATGGAGTTTCAGTAATTGACATATGGATAAGATCTCAAGATTGAACTTAGAAAAATGCAAAATACTGTTATTATGATTTTAAAGTTACAGCCTGTGTACTTCATACCTGTTCTTCATTAGGCAGTGGCAATATTTCAGAAAATAAGAAATATTAAATTTCATATTGCACATTGATGGCCCCCAAAATTCTGATATTTGCCTTACAATCCTCCCCTTCTAAGAAAGAGAACATACTTTTCTGACAGGTATGGTCCATATAAAAAGCAGAATTTAATCATTCTTCTCTCAGTATTTACCTGAACATTAAGTGCTTGTTATTGGGTATGTAATACTCTTTAATTTCTTTAATAGAATAGATATTATTTACAGCATCACGAGAGAGAAATGGGAGCGGAGTGTGAGAACCAATGAGCCGGAGCCTCCATCTTCCAGCTGCCACAGGTAGGTCACCAGTCCATGCTTCAGCCATAAATGTGTATCCTTTCTGAAAGGATCGTAAGTATAGCATTAAATATCAGGATATTAATCTCATTTTTATGAAAATGTTGATTTAAGAAAAAAATCTGTATTATTTAAAAATTAAATAGTTAATTAAAAATGAAGCACAATTAATAACCCTGATGCAGATTTGTCTGCTCTTTACAAATCCCAATATGAGGAATATGGGGAACAAGAATACAATTATATTTGATTTTATTTTGTATTTGAAAAAAAGAACAGGCAATGTATTTCATTACTTGAAAGGCAGGGGCATGAAAAAGGGATATGGTGAGTGCAATATCAGTTGCACTATAACAGGGGAACTCCGGATTAAGTCCCTTCCTCAAGTTCTCTAAGTTAGCCATACTAACGTGCTATTTCAAACAGAAAATTTCATATTCCACCCAAGAAATAGTCCAGATGAAAATTCTTCGACAGGTTTTCTCTCTTGGCAGTGTTTGAAATTTCAGTTAAAGGAAATCAGTACTTACCAGTAAAAAAGCTTTGCTGAAAAAAAATTATAATAACTAGTCTATGATTCTATGGTTGTGATTTCAGGAGTATGCAATAATGCAGGGTTGTGGCTTCAGTACTACTGAAAATTTAGAATGAAAGTAAAAGAAATTATTCAAGATTCCAATTTGTGCAGTTGTAACTGCAAGGCACTTCACACCCTTTACTCATTACAAGGTAATGGTAACCATTCAGTTATGAGTCAGAAGAACTCACTTATTTAAATAAGTTAGTTAAGCATACATTTAAGTCCCCCCTGTTCATAACAAGTACACACAAAAATTGAAAGGAATCTAGGCAGATACTAAAATAATTTCTGACAGCAGAGCAAAGTACTTTATGTTGTATACCTGTTTATAAAGATAACATTATGCAATATTAATGTTCACTACAAATAAGCAGAAAAATTTGACTGAAGATAAAAAAAATGTTTGAGTGGGCACTTTCTGAATACTGTAAGGAATAAGCACAGTAACTGAATTTTGCAGGTGTTAGGAACACTGAGTAATCATCAGTCACTACTGTTAAGTTAGGAAACAGATCTAGAGAACACCATCAGATTAAAGTCTCTTTCTCAAAAACCTGTGAAAGGTTTCATTACCTAACGGTAATGAAGATAAAGTTGTTACAATTGGTAAACTTGTTACCAATTGTAGGTAACAAGTAAACTTGTTACAATTCAGTATCTAGAATCAGAAAGGGTTGTTATCTAATGTGCCACTTACAGTAACTTTCTAGTAAAAATTATTTCCATATGTCCTTCTACGACTAATCAAGACAAATAACTGATCAGCGTCCTGATCAGTGTCCAGAATTTGACTTATATTTTCTAGACTAAATACGTTGTTAATGATGATTTCTTAAATTCTTATCCTGTTAGCCAGCTGAAGCTTGAGAAATACTTATCTCTATCCTTTCTACAATCTGTTCAAAAAGCATATATATATGAATAACAAAGAAAATAGAATTAAAAAAAAGAAAACATAACAAAGAAAACACCAAACAAAACCCAACACCCCCCTCCCCAAAATCCCCAACCTCCCCCAAAAAACCCAAACAAACGACTCAAAGCACAAAACCAGAACCAAACAACTGTATCAGCAGTAAATAAAATTACCACGGAAGAAGAAAAAATTAATGCCAAAAATTTCCAAATAATGCAAAGCAAATAGTTCCTGTCTAGATCATAATGTCTGCAGAAAGAAGGTAGACATTATTGCTAGTGTGCAAATTTTATCCTTATTGTCAGTCATTCTGAAATGAACTTATAATGTGTTCCAGGAGCATCTCTGCAGCAGAATAACAATATCTGTTGATAGGATTTTCTCTTAGCTCTGTTGTAAATAGCTGATACACAGTTTTGAAGCAGAACAACTAACTATTCTGTAATAATACTGACGTTTAGGAATTCAAGCATACTGCATAATTTCTTGCTTGATGTACTGTATTGTTGACTATTTTCACAAAATACTGTTAAAAAGACAGGTAAAATAATACCACTGTATTTTTCTTTCATTATAATTTCATAGCGTCATGTCAAAACATCAATAGAGCTCTCAACAGCTTTTGCAGGTTCACTGAAACACTGAAATATTTACAACTAGGAAAACCAAGCTAAATTGTACAGTATAAGGTTATGTTCTTAACGAGAAACTCAGTAGCAGTGGTTAAGAAATGTAATTAGAAGAGTTAAAAAAATACAGCATACCTGCACAATTCTGTTTTAATACTCTTAAACTAAAATCACTTTTTTACTGATATTAACCACATTTAATATTATAAAACATAAATTTAAGTTTAAAGAATAATAACATCTGCTTTAAGAGGGGTATTCCTCAATAAGGAAGGATAGGAATAAAATAAAAGGGGCCATTATCATTAGTTAATGACAGAATGACTGAACCTATCAGCAGTATTCAGGAAAAAAAAAATGGAATGTACCAGGTGGGGTAATGCATAACAAAATAAACATTTCCAATACTAAAACTACTGTACTGCACGAAGAGTTGGTAAGGTCTTATCTGGAATATTGCAATAGTTTTGCCATCTTTAGCCAAGAAAGATATGTGTTAATGGGAGGAGGTCTGAGAAAGAATTAGTAAAATCAGTGAAATTGAAAACCTGTCTTGCAAAGCAGAACTAGACAGTTCTACCCTGCTAAGCAGGACAGATTCTGATTATGAAATCTGAAGTAAATCTGGTTGTGATTGCTCTTTCCATAACCCATCACTTTCTTTAAAAGCAGTAAGTAATGTTCACCACTGAAATTTCTTTAAGCATCCTGCCACTTGCCACTGTCGAATGTTGAATTTTCCTGTCTGGTGGAATCTACACCCCACCTCTAAGGATCCCAAATTAGTTTTGAGAGCAACCCTTCTTATTTAAGTCTATTCCCCCAGCAGTAGCAGACACATTCAGCTAATATTCCCTATAAACACTAGATAAGGCAAGTTCATTCTAGTGAAAAAAAAAGAAATTTCTGATGAAATTGGAAGTGACAAAAGAAAGACAAGAAAACTGCTCCTACAGTGTTAGACTGTAAATGACATCAATTCTTTGTTACTGACAGATGAGACTGAGAAGGCTAAAATGTGAACATGTCTTCGCTAAAAGATCAAACTGCGAAGACGTGGCTAGAATAGTTAATATTAGTGGTAATATTACAGAAGTCAGAGGTAGGCCAGAATAGGAAGAGAAGTAGTAAATGATTATACAGATAAAACAAGGGTTTGGATTAGTTAGCCTCATGAACTTCTGAACTGTCTGAAGGATATTTAATTAACAGATTAAATGAATCACAAATCTCTTAAATTTAGTTATGTTAAATTATGTTTGATATCTGATGGAGGACAGATAAGGCTCTGGAAGAGTACAGAACTGCAGTGCTGTATTTTTTTTAGATGGACAAAGCTGTCTAGAAAATTAACAGCATAGCTCCGATGGCTGAAAACATAACGAAGTAACTAACAAAACTCCTTGCAACCCCCTCAACATAGCAAAAAGTCTGAAAAAGCAAGTTCTATCAAACCAATCAAGCTTCCTTCTGTAGGAAAGCACACTATAGGAAAGGAGGAGACACCTGATCTCTTTGATCATTCATCCAAGCCTACGGAAATGATGTCATAATGAAGAAACTAGGGTGCCTGTTGGAAATCACATCCAGAAAGTACATATTCAAGGCTCCTTTTCAAAGAGCAGGATGCAGTCACTGAGATTTCAAAGATCTAACCTGATTCCATCCAACATTTGTATTAATAATGTGGATGGTGAAATGGAGAACATACATGTTTAATTAGCTGATACCACTAACTAAGGAGGATTGTAACTTTAGATAAGGGAAAATAAGAATTTGAGATTATTTTAAACCAGTGAAATGATCTGAAAAAAACAGCATTAAAATCACTGGTGAAATACACTATATTTAGTCAAGAATAACAAACTACAGGATTCTTCAGGAAAGCACCTAGCATTACATGACTCAACAATGGTGTTGTACAATAAGACAAGCATCATAGCTGGACATATTAGCATAAGTAAAGCCCCAAAACATGTAAGCTTGTCATTCCTTACTCATTTGTATGGCCACAAGTTAATCCTTGAGGCAAAGTTTAGTGTGCTCAGTGTTGGGCATAATAAACAAGAAAAAAGCCAACAGCAATTAGAAAGAGTCCAGAGGAGGGAGTAATCAAGAGTGCAGAATACATAACTCGCAAGGAAAGACTCAGCAAACTATCTTCTTTAGTCTAAACATGAAAAGGCAGGAGGACAGGAAGCTGTGATGACACTTTAAAAATACAGTTATGCTTTTAAAAGCAAACTACACTAATGCATCTGAGGTAACACACAGGTTTTGAGGGGGAGCACATTTATATTGCCAACAGCACAGGGAAGTTGGATGATGTTCCTCCATTTAGCATTAGTAAAAAACATTAAAGAAAATTAAGGTTATTCCTTCACTGTAAAAGGTTTAGCACAGATGCAGATCAGTGACAGTCTCTGTTCAAACTCGATAAAAAATAAGGGCCACTTCTAAGTAGAACATTATGATATAGCTAAAAATGTCCTCAGAATTAGGTTAATTGTTATTATTTTTAAAATTATACTTTTCACAATGACACTTTGTATTTACCTTATTTTTGGGATAAACACAAGGTGCCACTTTGAAAAAGACATGGGGCATTTCCTCCAGTGTGTCATTATCAACAACATGAAGTCTAAAGGAAGGGATAGTGGTATACACCTTTGGCACTATAAGCATGTCTTCTGGAACAAAAAATATTTCTCTAAAAAAAAAAAAAAAAATTATAATTACTTCACAAATAAAATCACTTGTGTAGTGTAACACAAAGTAAAAGCATGTATTTGAAATGGACTTCTGTAAAATTACATTTTGGAAGCAGGTTAGTGAAAAACCACAGTGTATCTCTACTACTTCCTTGTAATAGTTCCATAGGGCTGTATGAAACTCACCTAAAAAGCATAAACCATGTATTTGGTGGCTGATCGGTGTACGATCCATTATAGTCAGCAAAAGACATCTTACACCATTCATCTTCATAACATGGAAACTTTTCGATTGACTTACAGTTTCTTTTAAACATTTCTCTGGAAAGCATAAATCAATATAAATATTTGAATCTAAGCTGGAGGGCATATATATTTTGACTTTAATTTATGCTAAGCATGAAGAACACTGCTTCATGCATGAATGTAAAATAATATAAAATGTGTTACTAAAATTCCTCTAGTAGCTGTTCACTCTCAAAAAATAACTCAGGTAGGAATCAGCACTTTAATATCTAATGGCTCATAATGGCCAATACTTACAAATATTTCTATCAGCCAGTCTAACCATAAATACAACTATATTGAATAGCCCAAAATATTATGGCTCCTAGGAAACTTTACTTTCCTTCTTTTTTAAATTATTTAATAAATATCAGTTAGAACCTCCATTTATGTGTATTAAGCTGTCATCTTAAAGCTGTGGCATCATTAGGAGATCAAAAACCCCTTTATTTAATTTTAAAATTGTTTTGAACAAGAAAGGAATAAAACCAAACTGAAATAAATTTAAAATGGAATAAAAGACACTCCTTTCTCACAGGAAGGAACCTAAGACTGTAAATTCAGAAGTTATTTGTAAGGCAAATAAGCTCAGAGGTGTTATGATGTTCTGCAAAGTTAGAGCTACCCTCACTGGCACCTGACACCATGAATTTTTATTTAGCACATGCAGTATCAAAAATTAATGTTTCTCTGGACAAAGCAATGTGAAGACCAGCTACAGCATTTACTGGCATATGAACAGGTTGCTGGGTGAAGGATAGAAGATGGTTAACAGGTCTCACTCCACCTTTTGGCTCTTTCCAGTGATTTTCTCTGGAGATTGAGTGAAAATATTCCTACACAGAGGTGAAGGAAAGCATATCCTTTTCCCTGCCATTCCTTCTGTCTTGCATTATTCTTTAACTACCTGATTTCTGCACTAAACAGTATTGTTTACTAAATATGTGTTTTGTGCTATCTTTTAATTGCTCTAATTCAAAGTTTGGTTTATATGGTTTATGTAAAAGAGCTTAAAGAAATCTCACAACATCCATTTTTGGTGATAGCTGTCTTTTGTGTCAACTATGAACATATTCAAATTGTTCTATTGCAATTGTTCTAGATTTGGACAATGCTACTTTGATGTTCATTTATACCTATATAGTTATTGGAATTACAGAAACAATCTCCACATTCATGTTTTTAGCAGTGGTAATAGCTGACCTTGATATTTAATTAAGGTGAGTCACACAGTGGATGCAAGTACTGCCAGAAGTCATTTAAAGCAGAAGAGTTTGAAATTTTAGACATGAAGCCTGGCAACGGTTCCTTACATTACTGATAAAGAGCACACAGGCAGAAAAAGCCCCCCAAACACCTCAGATCTTTAATTCATTGAAAATGATAGTGGGAAAAACATGATGAGCTTACATGGGATGCATAATGAGAAACAGTTGGTAACCCTAGCACAAACTGAAGTTTTAGGACTTTTAAACTGGTATCTGTGCTGTAAAATAATATTGCTTCTGGCATCCAGAAAGCCTGGGGTCAGAAAATGGGAAAACTTCCCCTAATAGTGAGCTTCTGAAACTCCTGCATGTGACTTTATTGGCCATGGTACTAGCTTGTTATATCAAATGTAAGTCTGTTGGCAGTTAAAATATGAAAATCACATTAGTATGGTTTTAACACTGAAATGCATCCCCAGGGGCAATGCCTACGAATCAGACCCATAAGTTTTAGAAGTCTGAAGGTAGACTGAAAACAGGATTAGAAAACAGATTAGAAACACTAAAAAGTGAAATAAAATTACACCCCATATGAGTGTTCCTGAAATTGCTGATTATGAGGAGTAAGGATTTATACCCACAGCTAGTAATTATTGCTAGTTCTCACTCCTCACCCCTGGCAGAACTAATCTACTGCTAGATCAGTTGTGCAACACTTGCAGTGAGATTTTTTGAAGGACTTAATGAAAATACATGATTCCTCAAGTGTGTCATGCTTGCAAATGACCTAACAATGTTGAAATCAGACCTGCTATCTTGCAAAAGTTGTAATTAAATACCAATGAAAGCATCTTCCTAGAAATACATCTATCAAGCAAGTACTACAAACAAATCTACTGATCTTATAAACTGTGGTATAATTACACAGTATAGCTACCTCCTTCCTAATGTCAACTAGGACTCCTTAACAGATAGCGTGAATCAAAACGCTTCTTTAAATCAACTGGTTAGCTGTTTAGCTAAGAAATCAGCATCAGATTTATACTTCTGAAACAGCCTTTATGATATTAAAAAATTAAATACTGGAGAAAGGTAACAGTTCAGTTCGAGCTGTAGGAAAAAAGCCTGTAACACACATACTTGTTACAATTAGATTTGCTACAGTTTTACTCATTTAGGCCGCACAGAAGAAAGCACAGGATGTTTCCACTGAAAACAAGAGTTTTGTAATTTTAAAACTAGTAATGCTCTTACCATATTTATTTTGTGAATCAGCAATTTATAGCAATTCTATGGTATTGCTTGCAATAAAATGATTTATTTCATGATTACCTTAACAACATTACAGCACACTGTTCAAAATTTAACTCAATAGCAGTCCACAGGTTTTGCAATGTTTCTTTGACATTAGTGTTTTCTTTAGTACCTGTAAATAATAAAATAAGTTAGAAAATAAAGTATCTAACTTTTTTATTGTTCTAAATATACTCCTACCAAATACTTGTGAAAAATGCCACTCTTACAAGTAAATTGCCTTATGAATCACTATTTTTTATTTGGAATTTTACAGAAGTCTCACAGAGCTGAAAACTAATTTCTCCTTTGACAGAGGAAATGTTATTCATCATCACCTTTGTACTTTTTGGCACTCTTACAGCTGCAAAAATGATGTGGCCAGTATTTTCTCCGATTTACAGTTTTTTCACTGTAACATGTTGTAGTGATATGACATGATCTCTGTCCTTGGAGAAGATACTGTTCACATCCCAGCAGCTTTCATTTGCAGATACTATGAAGAAGTAGGTATGTGCCTAGGCAGTCTGTGTAGATAAAAAGAAAAGAATTGGGCAACTCCAGTAGGTAATCCATCCCACCCAGGTTTGATACCTCTCAGATGACACAATGTGTCATCTCAAGCTGTCTACTTCTATCCACATGACACAAATGAAGACTGGACAACTAATTTAGACCTACTGTTTAACTTTTCAAGACTGAAGTTAGGAGGAATCCTTCTTTATTGCATGACAGAAACTGATGGAGAAAAAAGAAAAAACAGAAAAGAAAAAAAGAAGGGGGTAGAGTAATAACCCTTTACTGCAATAACAAGTAAAAAAATATATACATATAACGGGGAAAAGGGAGAAAAGAATAGACTGACTGAAAAAAAAACCAACACAATAAAGCAGTGTGAAGATAAAATCAGAATTAAAGGATTAAAGGTAATAAAAATATTAAGAAATCAGAAGAAGACAGTCACAGACAATGGAAGAAAAGACTTGTGATGCTCACATAGTGTTTAAATGACAAAAGGCTAAAAACTAAACTTCAAAATAATAGCTTCTGGCCTCTGGGATTTGTAGGAATCAGTACTCCTACTGGAAGTTTACAAAAATTTCTATGTAAGTAAAAATAGAGGGCACTAGACTACTTAGAAGGAAAGCTTAAGCAAGACTGGGCTACAGGTGATAGTTTGGAGAGAGGCAGCATGAGATTTACTAATGAGGAGATGAATTTACAAAAGATAGCTTGAAGAGATCATCTGCTGCAGGTTAAATATATAGGTGAAAGAACTCGAGCAATGATGGTAAATCAAGCAGCATCCAGAATGGGGATGGCTTACTAAAGAGGGAATGTGTATCTCACAATTGAGCAGTTTTCTTGGTCACAATCCTCAGATATTCATATACTGTGAGGCTAGAAGGAAATGCTTATCTAACTTCCTGTGTAACAGTCCCATAACATATCAATTGCTATTTCATCATATATAAATGACTAATCCTCTCCAAATTTGATGAGTAACTGTTTGGTTTTAAAGTTTTCAGTAGTACAACACAAATTCTGGTTTATTCCAATAAATACCTTACCCTCTTTAAAATTTTAGTTTAATACCTACAAAAATCTAGGGAGGGTTGTCTTTCCTCTACTTTTTAGTACCATATGTGCCAACTAAGTCATCAGTTGGCACATATGCACCTAACCCTCTAAGTATAAGAGATCAGTGATTCAATTGTAACATGCGTTATATACATATACATTATATTTCAGTTCATTTTAACTAGACATTAATTAGTAACAAAATCTTTACAGTAAATATCTGAATAAGATGAAGTATGAAACATTTTTTAAAAGGCATTTTTAAAGGACACACCTGGTTTTCTGCTGTTCAATACTTTCCTAACATAGGTCCCTCTCCAGATGGCTTGAATTTTAAGAGCTGCTGCTGCTTCTTCTGAAGTGGGAATTTGGCTCTGCCAACTACCAAGGGTATTCTTCAGATAAGTCTCTGAAAGAAGGAGAGGAGAATGAGCAACATCAATAAAGCTGGAAGTCTTGTAGCTGCCTGCAATGAAGTTAAAAAGGAAAAAAAAACCAAAAGCACAAAACAAGAGCACTATATATCAGAAACAGAGAGGTTTCTGCATAAAACTTTCAGATATGATGAAGACATCAGTTTTGAAATTTTGTGCTTATCATAAAATTAGACGAAATATACTCCGTAATTACACAAAGTCAGAATGCAACTACTGTGCTAATTCCAAATACCAAATCATTGAATTCTTACTTCTCTTTTCAGACAGCTATTGCAGTGCACTTTTTAAAATCAGGTCTCCAAATGTAATTTCAAAATATCCTTTCAAACATGAGCCAACAGGATTTGATACATTAAAGCCTGACTCTGAATACAGTTTAAAAGTTTCACAAGATTTTAAGTCTGTCTAGCAATTTCATTAAGTAATAATTTAAATACCAATGATGAAAACATTGCGTTCAACCTTTGCTAAGGAGCAAAGATAAGATCTATAATGAAGTGAGAGTTCATCTGACTGCAACTTTCTGTTATCAAGGAGTTTTGGAGTAGAACAGAAATTAGTAGGTTCTGACAGGTTAGTAATGAGCTCTTTGAAGGCATCCTGGCCTAGAATTAGCATCCTGGCAGCCATCAGCAACAGGGTTTAGAGGGAGGGTGTGGAAGCACTACAAGAAGCCAGAGTCAGGGAGCCAGTTCGGAACTGCAGAGATACAGAGATACAGAACATGGGCTGTGAGGCAGAGTGAAAGGAACAAAACAGTGCTCCAAAAGTATGCACCAACAAACAAAAGGAGAAAAATGAGAAATCTGCTGGAATAACTCAGACAACATTGCAAACCACCTTAAGAAAAAATATTTCTGTCATTAGCCAGTAGATGACACATTTCAATCTAATCACTTTAATTGACTTTTATTAAATGTGGCTGTGCTCCCAACTATCATTCCTCATTATTGTTTCATTTCCAAACCTCAGAAAACCTATTTAATACTTAGTGACTCTGAAATGTTACACAAGACCACTGTGACAACAGATTAGAACTCAACAATATGAATAGCACAACCACTTTTATAAAATGGAAGCATATAATCACAGAATAATATAGGCTGGAGGGGACTACTGAAGGTCATCTGGTCCAATGCCACATCCAAACCAGGATCAACTTAGACAAGTTGCTCACGTTCTGAAGTAAATATTTACTTAAGTAAATGTTAAATTGTTTCTGAATACACAAATTTAATAATTTTGATGCAGTGTCACACAGAAATGTATTTATTCATAGGAACTGTCAAAAATTATCCCAGATCAGGCTGAAAACCAGAAATGCTGAATGTTTTGTGAAATTTTATGTTCCTAAAGTCTTAGTTCCTTTTTTCTTCTAACTTTTTAAAACAATGCCATAAGAACAAAAAAAATTTTTCTTTGTAACATACAAGTTAAAATAATGAGGTCAAAATTAAATATTCTGATCTTTAAAGGGTTTTTTTGACTTAATGTGTCTTAATATTTTGGCTTATAAACAGAGAAGTACCTTACTGTGGAATGTTTTAGATGAACAAATATTAGAAGATATACTAGAAGATATCTTCATATATATATATATGAATATATTTATATAATATATAAATATATGTGAATATATTATATAATACTAGAAGATGCTTCAAATTTGACATTATAACTGAAAACTTATTCTTCAAAAATTTTTGACATTTGTTACTCATTAAACAGAAGATACCCTGCTAATAATAGTTCTCAAAGCAGCCTAGCAATACTTTGTTCACAATGAAATCAGCCGCAGTTTTTCTTGTAACAGTGTGGATGAATCTGCTGTAGGCAAAGTAACATGATGCTTTTTTTTTCCCCCAGAAAGATCTATTTTGCTGGAGAGGCACTTTAAATATTCAACCAAATAATGGCAAACTTTCCCTCACCCTTTACTGGAACTCAAGTTCAACTACAAAGTGCAAGAAACAAATATCCAGAATTATCTCTCCAGTCACACAAACCAACTATATCATCACTGCTCTTAACCTACATTTCTGGAAGAAAGAGAAATTTGTTCTGGAAAACAAGAGGGCAGGAACAGGAGTTATCAAATACGGTTTACACGGACAAAACAAGCTTAAGAGCTCACAGCTTGACTTTCAGATAACATTAAAGAAGGTTTTAACAGAATTGCACACAAAAGTCACTCTACTTCCAACTTCAAAGTTGGAATTTATCCATGTGTCGTGGTTTAAACCCAGTCAGGTAACTCGTTCGCTCACTTCCCCCCCTTTCTTGTCCTCCCCCTGCTCCCGGAGGGACAGAGAGGAGAATCGAAAAGAATGCAACTCCCACGGGTTGAGATAAGAACAGTTTAGTAACTAAGGTATAACACAAATCACTACTGCTACCACCAATGATAACAATGACAAAGGAAATAACAAGGGAAGAGAATACAACACCTCAGCACCAGCCGACCAATAACTCGCCCCCCTCAGCCCGACCAAGCACCAACCGATACCTCCTCCAACCCTGCAGTCTCCCAGCCCTTCCGGCTAACTCCCCGTTACATCCTGGGCATGACGTGCTGTGGTATGGAATACCTCTTTGGTCAGTTTGGGTCAGGTGTCCTGTCTCTGCTTCCTCCTGGCTTCCCCTCCTCCCTGGCAGAGCATGAGGCTCACAAAGTCCTTGGCCAAACCAAAACATCCTTGTTATCAGCTCTGTTCCCGAGCTGAAAGTCAAAACACTGCACTGCACCAGCTACCAAGAAGGAGAAAAATGACTGCTACTGCTGAACCCAGGACACCATGAGAAAGAAATGTACTCTTTGAATTGTGCCTAAATGACTGTCAAGTGCCCGAGACTCTTCAAAATCACTGCCACAGACCTCCAATGAGTTAATGAACTAAGTTGGCTCACTGTGTAGGTCCAGTGACACCAGGACAAGGTAAACAGAGGAAATGTTCAAAAGAGAAGAGGCAAGCAGTATTGATCTGTCAAGACTGTGTCCCCTCATCTTGTATATGCTTTCTTTCCCAGGAAGCATAACATATATCTGTAAATTCAGCATCTGATGACTGCCCAAAGTTTTGCAGGGTCCCTTTATCTACTCTCTTCCCAGAAGATCATAGATGACCCATGCCATGCAGAAGAACCCAGCTTCAGAAAACTTCCACCTTTTTGTCACGTGTTCACATGGCATGGTCTTCCACTTGCTTCTCATGGTTCATGTGCTAATTACTTCATTGAATGGATGGTATTTGGCAGACAAATAAAGGTGATTACATCATCTTTGGAGTGGTTTCTCAGAAATTCTACCAGGCATGATTCCTAACTGTAGTACATCACAGTATCCTTGCCCTCAGTAAATCCTGAGATGAATTAAGCACACAGTGTAAAATGAATATGCTAGTATAAAATCAAGGTGGCATTTCATGAAAAGCTCGATTTGACCTAATCGACTCTCAGACACAAACAACAAGATTTCATTCATCTGTTACAGCAATCTGATGACTGTTAAGTCCCAAAGGGTTATAATTCAAGTCTTAAAAAGATCTCGGCAACTAACCTGACAATGCAGTACTAACATAGGCCAGGCAAATCAGGTGATGCCAGTCCTTCTAGGCTTTCCTTATAATGCATTTTTAAGCTGTTTTTACCTGCTATCTGTCTAATTTTTTCTTGACACTTCACTTGATTTATGCTGGTTTGAGTGCAGCTGTCTCTATTTCTTTAGAGTTCAGTGATGGGACTTGAACAAAAGCATACATTTATTCCAAAGCAACCTTTATTAAGTAGGGCAAGACATACATCCAAGGTCAATAAAGCCAAAGGAAAAAAATCACAGTCCAGTTTGACAGGAAGCTCTTATAAGATTAAGATTTTTTTTTTAAGTCTGGAAAAGCAACTAAATTAAAAAGAGATACTGGACACTGGAGGAAATTAAACTGAAACAGAACCTTCCTCCTTTATGTATTTATTCCACCTTTTTGATTCATTCCTCAAATTCTGAAAAATATTCTGCCACAGTGGATCTCATAATTCAGTAATATACATGAGGTCTTTGCTACAACTTGTCAAATGTGCTAATTATTCAAATCTAATTAAATAATGTCTTTCCTTCAATTGCTGACAAGTATTTAAGGGTTTTGGGGGGAACACAGAAATCAGTAGCACAGTCATCTTCAAAAATGTGACTGGTGCTGGGGACTTCCAGTGGTGTGACAAATGTCAACATACTGACCCTTATACCCTTGCCATAGGATATAATTCTGTGAAAAATACAATGAGTTCTGCAGTCATTCTGGCTGATCCTTTATCTCCAATATCTCACAGGCAAACAGCCTTCAGAAAAGAGGGGATTTGGAAGAAAGTACTCATTAAAGAGTAAGATACAAGTATACGTGCTTTCTTAAGAAACAAGAGTATTACATCATTTTGTCAGTAAAGCTATTTGTGTAAATTCTAATGAAGTTTTTTTATACTTTTTTTTTTTTAAAGTGGACTAATGAAATGAAATTAGTATCATTCTGATTCACCAAGGAGAAAGACTTCATACTGTAAGTTCATAATGGCAGAAGGAAAAGCTAGGTCACCCTGAATGGACTTTAAATGGTGATGATGTACCTTCCTGCCAATTTTTCAGATAAATTCTTCTGTAATAACATCAAATCATATACATAAACCTTCTATTAATAAATTAAAATATTAATAGATATTAATAGACTAAAAAGTTACTTAAACTGCAAAATAACACTCTTAAAATGGAAAAGAGCTATATATTTGGATGGCAGGGAAATTTAATTTTAAATGCTTACATCTCCAGCCTGCATGCAAAATGAGGCAAAGAACCTATGGGATGAGAATTATGCCTGCTTACAACAAATCTGACTTTCCAGTACCTCCTCCCACAGTGCCTTTGGATATACAGCATACCCTAGTCACAGGCCAGAGAAGAGGCTGATGGTGCTGTAGCTAGTTTCTCACTACGTGTATGTGACTAGCCAGCTAACTAGCTCACAAACATGATTATTGCCAAATAATAGGCTTAAAAAGCAAGCTAATGAGCAAGCAAGCAAAACCCAAAATACCCGTCAAACAACAAAATCCCTCAGCCCATCACCAAGAAACAGTTGCACTTTCAAAGGCACTAATTGGAGTCTTTCTTCACTCTCATTTTGTGAACAATATATGCATGTAAGGTCTTTTCAGCAGGCAATCTGAAGAAAAACCATGATGCGTAGTACATCAGGTGAAAAGAGCATCTGTAGAGATGCTTGTTAGTGCTTGTCAATACAGACAACTGCAAGTAAAGGAAGACAAAGAGCAATTTTATATATTTGAAGTGATTAGCACTACCAATACAGTACCTGAAGACACAAGGTCATCTTCAGAAACCTCAGTGTTTTCAAAATCCAGAGTGAAGGACCTGAAGGCAAATTTACAGCTGTAGGAAGCCTTCTTGCCTAATATATTTTTGATCAAATACCAAAATACACTATTGAAAACCTAAAATCAAAAAGAGGAAAAGCATTCAAAGAATGATTCATTTTTAAAAGCTGATTTATATTGTTTCCCATTTCAAAAACTTCGTAATCTTTTCTTTTTTTTAATGTAAAAACTAAGTCTTTGTATATATAACAAATATACTACTTTCTACTATAACAAATACAGTATCTGAAAAATAGTCCCAACTGTAGAACTATAATACTTCAAGACAGCAATCAAGAGAAAACCAGTTTCATGCCCAGCTTATTAAATACAGGACTGATTCTGCAGCGTAAGTTTTTATTATCCAAAAATATCTTAGTTTTTGTGAAGTGAGTTGATAAGACTCATACCAGAGCACAGAAGAACACACTATAATCACCATCATGACACTAGCATACTAATTAAAGGTTTCAGAACAGAGACCATTAGTTTCTACAGAGAAAAGTAGAAATATATTGATGGTCAAGAGGGGGAAGATTTCTTGTCCTGCTTATATGACTAAACAGATGGCTCTATTTTTATTCTGTATATGTTTATGATCTTTAAAGAGCAGAAAACCAGTGTCTTTGATTCTTCCAATAGATGGAAATTTTAGAGTACGTTTTTCAGACCTTGTTTCGCAATTTGAATTAAAGAACAGTAACAAATTACTGGAAAGACAATTTTTGTCTTTAATTGTCCTTCTTTTGGATTTTTCTGCTTTTGGAAATGTTTTCTCATGAATTACATTTTTTAATATTTATTTTGACAGACTTAAGAATAGCAAAGAAAATATGTACTTTAGTATATTCTTGTGTCCAGAATAATTTTCACTGTTTGTAGTAGATAGGTAATTTCAATATTCTTATTCTTGAATCTCTGCCGGCTCAATGCCTCTCATTTATCTAATTTATGGGGGTTTTTTTAATTTTTTGTAACTATACTTAGTCTTCTTAGAGATGGAGAGAGGAAGAGATATGTATATTCACGCCTACTGAATTTATCATAATATCCCTAAGTTTTACACATATTTCATATGAGCACATACATTTAAAATCTGTATTTTCATAGAATGATTTGGGTTGGAAGGGAACTTAAAGATCATCTAGTTCCAACCATCCTGCAGTGGATCCTGTTGCTCCAGCAGCTTCAACTCCTTCTTATGTTGAGGACACCAGAACTGTACACAATACTTCAAGTGAGGTCTCATGAGAGCGGAGTAGAGGGACGATCACATCCTTCAACCTACTGGTCATGCTTCTTTTGATGCAGCCCAGGATACGGTTGGCTTTCTGGGCTGTGAGCTCACACTGCTGGCTCATGTTAAGTTTCCCATTGATCAACACCCCTAAGTCCTCTGTAGGTCTGCTCTGAACCTCTTTTCTAGCCACCTGTAGCTGTGCATACGATTGCACTGACCCAGGTGTAGGGGGCATTGGCCCACCTCACAAGCGTGTCAAGGTCCCTCTGGATCCCATCCCTTCCCTCCAGAGTATCAACCAAACCACACAGCTTGGTGTCATTGGCAAACTTGTTGAGAGCACACTCAATCCCACCGTCCATGTCACAGTATCACAGTATCACAGTATGCTAGAGATTGGAAGGGACCTCGAAAGATCATCTAGTCCAATCCCCCTGCTGCAGCAGGAACACCTAGATAATGTTACACAGGAATGTGTCCAGGCGGGTTTTGAATGTCTCCAGGGAAGGAGATTCCACAACCTCCCTGGGCAGCCTGTTCCAGTGTTCCATCACCCTCACTGAGAAGAAGTTTCTTCTCAAGTTTAAGTGGAACCTCTTGTGTTCCAGTTTGTACCCATTACCCCTTGTCCTATCATTGTTTGCCACTAAGTAGAGCCTGGCTCCATCCTCGTGACACTCCCCCTTTATATATTTATAGACACTTATAAGGTCACCCCTCAGTCTCCTCTTCTCCAAACTATAGAGACCCAGCTCCCTCAGTCTTTCCTCATAAGGGAGATGCTCCACTCCCTTAATCATCTTCGTTGCCCTGCGCTGGACTCTCTCCAGCAGCTCCCTGTCCTTCTTGAACTGAGGGGCCCAGAACTGGACACAATATTCCAGATGCGGTCTCACCAGGGCAGAGTAGAGGGGAAGGAGGACCTCTCTCGACCTACTAACCACCCCCCTTCTAATACACCCCAGGATGCCATTGGCCTTCTTAGCCACAAGGGCACAGTGTTGGCTCATGGTCATCCTGTCGTCCACTAGGACCCCCAGGTCCGTCTCCCCTACACTGCTCTCTAATGTCAGCGATGAAGATGTTGAACAAGACTGGTCCCAACACCGATCCCTGAGGGACACCACTCGTTATTGGTCTCCAGCCGGACATTGAGCCATTGACAACTCTGCATGTGGCCATCCAGCCAGTTCTTTAACCACTGAGTGCTCCATCTATCAAATTGATGTCTCTCCTATTTAGAGATATGGATGTCATGCGGGACAGTGTCAAATGCTTTGCATAAGTCTGGGTAGATGACATCAGCTGCTCTGACCCTGTCCATCAGTTCTGTAGCTCCATCACAGAAGGCCACCAAATTGGTCAGGCAGGATTTCCCCTTAGTGAAGCCATGCTGGCTGTCACCAACCACCCTGTTGTTTTTCATGTGTCTTAGCATGCCTTCCAGGAGAATCTACTCCAAGATTTTGCCAGGCACAAAGGTGAGACTGACTGGTCTGTCTGTACTTCCCTGGGTCTTCCTTCTTTCCTATTCCCCTCCTTGAAAATGGGTGTTATATTTCCCTTTTTCCAGTTGTCGGGAACTTCACCTGACTGCCATGATTTTTCAAATATGAAGGATAGTGGATCAGCAAATTCATTCTCCAGCTCCTTCAGGACATGTGGATGAATTTTATCAGGTCACATGGACTTGTGTACATTCAGGTTTTTAAGATGGTCTCGAACCTGATCCTTTTCTACAGTGGGCCTAAGGTCTTCATTCTCACAGTCCCTGCAATCTGCCTTCGAAGTCTTGGGCAGTGTGGTCTGAGCACTTGCTGGTGAAGACTGAGGCAAAGAAATCATTGAGAACCTCAGCCTTCTCCAAATCCAGGGTAGCCAGTTCTCCTGATAGCTTCTGGAGTCTACATTATCCCTAGTCTGTCTTTTGTTTGCTACATACCTATAGAAGCCCTTTCTGTTACCTTTCACATTCCTTCTCAGATTTAATTCTAACTGGGCCTTAGCTTTCCTGACCTGGTCCCTAGCTTTCCAGACAGCATCCTAGGCTCCCAGGCAGCATCTTCCCAGGCTGCTTGTGCTTGCTTCCACCTTTTATAAGCTTTTTTTTTTCCCTTCCAAGTTTCCTCAGCAGCTCCTTATCCATCCATGGAGGCCTCCTGGCCCTCCTGCTACACTTCCTTCCAGTTGGGATGCAACACTCCTGAGCTTGGAGCAGGCAATCCTGGAATACCAACCAGCAGTCTTAGGCCAGCCTGCCCTCTAGGGCTATATCACATGGAAAAAGTCTGCTCACTTGAAGTACAGGGCAGTGAGCTTGCTGCATGCCATTCTGTCCTGAGGATCTCAAACTTAATAAAGAATGCCACATTTGGAGCACACAGGAGATCCTTTTTTAAAAGCATAGCCCTTTGTTTGAAGAGGATAACAACAATGTTAAGCTGTAATGCTGCTTCTGTAGCCTTCAGATATGTATTTATTAAAATTGTTCACCTTGAAGTGCTCTTCAGCCATTCCAGTACCATGGATGCTAGGAGGACAGTGAGTTAGTTCTAACTCCTTCAAGGATTTAGAAAGCTCAGGCTTAGTGCTGAAATTATTTATCACATTTCCAATAGCCTTCAGGATAGCTGTTGCCTGTTCTATAAACCGGTAGCTCTCCTGGAGAGAATAAAACCAGCCATTGTTAGAAAATTGCTTTAAGGCTGTGACAGCATACAAGCATTTTTTCTGTGATGAAGTACTTAAGTAATGCAATTGTTATTAAATTTTTAAACAATAAAAATCAATTGGGTCTCTGGTATTCAAAAGCATAAAAAAATTTCACGGACTTTAGCTATTGAAATAAAAACATTATAACACTATAACAGGCACTGTAACATATACCTGCTAAGGATTTTATTTTTTCCTGTATCATTAGCCCTAAGACACTCAATAAAAACCAAAATGCATATAGACACTTTTTACTGCAGTGATAAGAAGAGTCTTATTAGCTGAAATATGCAGCACCTCTTCTATTATAAGAGGACAGACCCGTATTTGTATCCCACTGAAAACAATGTCCAAACAGATGCTGCCTAAGACACCATTAATCTTCATCAGGATTTCTGTGCAAGAATGTGGACACTTCCCTGATACTCTACAGAAAAATTGCTTTCAAAAAGTGCAGAGTAGACCTGAAGATAAAGTTCTGCGTTATTGTCTTGATGAGGAATAGCTTTTCATTCACAACCTGAAGACAAGGGGATAGTACAGCCAGAAGATGTTTTTAATGTCCCAACTTAATATATTTAAACTTCTTTGCTGCAATAAATTTGCACAAGCTGCTTTAATGTCCTATTATTAGGACTCTGAATCTACACTGCTATGTAAATTTGTGTAACACTCACCTTTCAAACTAGGTTTGCACAACTGTGCTCTAGAAGCTACACTCTTCTTCCTCTGAGTGCCCATGACATATACTTGGGCCTACTGCTTGCCATAGAAATCTTGAAAATATGGATGACAGTGATATCTGTCTGGATTGTAGGCAACAAAGAACAAAAGCTATAGTAATTACTCCCCTGGGCCTCTCATCTTAGCTACGAAAAAATGTCTGAAGCAATAGTTCATTTTAGATACAAAAGCTGCTATGGCACGCAGTGAGTAATATGTGATCTCATGGGACAAAACAAACTATACTGCTGTGACAGTTTATTTTCCTAGGTGGGTATTTTTTTATTATTAATTAATAACTGTACAAGTATTTTAATACTTTTACCACATGCCTCAAAAAGAGAGCTTATACGCTACCTCTGACTTGTATTTCATGTAAAAGAGTACTTCTAACGTTCCATTTTATGCTGCTGTTCAATGTAACCGGAATACTACCCAATACTTACTTACATATTTCTATAAGACAGTTGTTGCAATAACCATCTCAGTGCCCACTGTACTGTAAAACACATTACTTTTATGTGCTCACCCATTTCATACTGAAATTAATAGTATAACATTAAAATATAGCAACTATAAATGAAGATCAAAGAGTACTTCACTTTAAAACTAAATAATAGTCAAAAATACCATTATCAAAATGCTTGACTAGTCTGGTCATGCATACCTTTTCAAGACACGGTATCACAGTATCCTCTTCTCCAAACACACATGGCACCATGCTACACAGATGAATATGGTGCCCTATGGGAGAACTTACTGTGAAGAGCAATATGTGTCGCCTACATTCCAGCAAAAACAAACAGAAAAACAAACATAAAGAACCTTAATTAAAAAAAAAAAAAAATCATCACAGCACTTCTTAAGCTTTTATTTTCATACATTTGGTAAAAATGAAATCCTTTCCTAGATGTCTGGCTCTTCAAATCCTGCTTTTCTAACTCTCTGTTCCTCGAGGACCTCCAAACATCACAGTAGGTATGCAAGCAGAGAAGACACTATTATTTTATTTTTAGTTTATTAGTTCAGGGTTTATTTGTATTTTCTTTAGAAAAATAGGTAGCTTCACTATTTCAGATGGATACAAAAATCAAAGATTTTTTGGTCAGGATTATAGTTAGCCGTACTTAAAAATGTATCTACTTTTAGAAAGCTTAAAGAAGTGTTCTGGTCATACATTACTTACATTAGATCATAATTCCCATGTTTGCATTGATAAAGCCAGGAAAAATTAATGCATAATCGTGTCAGGCTAGATGAACACTACCTTTATGGACCATTTTATGTAGCAACTGTGGACCAAACCACACAACTGTTAACTCCTAATGTAGCAAGCAACAGAAATTCAGTATGTCTTACTGCAATACACTCAGCTCAATCTTGTTTGCCTGCTCATATCCTGTAATGGATTCCAATCATAAAAGAAACCATTCCTAACTATAGTTATACAACACTGGGAATTCATGCTTTTCTTTCCGGTGAACAATGTCCTGCAGTCCCAGTAAAACACTTGAGGAGCTTGCTGATATCAAAAAGTGAAGCTCCATGGTCTTTGTCAGAACAGTATTTAGCTGGTCACAGCTTCAAACTGTTAACCAGAGATCCAGCAGTAACAGGAAGAAAGGAGAGTTACCTCTCCCCACACACTCATGCTTTTAAAATTGCATCTTCTTGCAAGCAAAATTTGAAATGCCCCCTGGCCTCCAACAGACAGAGGGAAGAAAGTGCCTTCCCAGCTTAGCAAGTAATTTCTCATTTGGAATGAACTGGGGAAGCAGTCAACAAGCCCATTTGTCTCCCACACCTGCTGCCAATTAGAACTTTCTGAAAGCTGATGGCTCTGCCTGGAGTAGGAAGAATAAAAGGTGAGAAGCTCATCAATTTGAGCTACCTGTATCTCTGGTAGCTTTGAAATTTGCAGGTGCAAAAAAATATGCTTTGGTTTCCATACAGGACAGAGATAAGCAACTCTGGAAAATACACTAAGATAATACATGTAGTGGCAGAACTAATAAACAAATACAATGATAAATTTTCCACTTTTATTCTAAATAAAAACAAATAGAGAGTACTATTAAAGATCTCTGATTTAATATCAACCTGATACTATTGTGGTGTTTTCTTTCTACGACTTTTTATTTGAAACCTTACTTGATAAAAAAAAACCCACCATACATTTTTGTCTCATATCCTTGGGATTAAACTGGTGATTCTCTATTTTTGGAAAAGTAGAAGGGCTCAATGAATTAGTCAGAAACTTTATGCTTATGGCAGGATATGACAATGTCCCCTTCCTTGGTTTACTGGAAGCATTTCCAGAAACTAACAAATATCAAGGACTCTTGCCTTTTATCTATTTCTTTATTTAAACAAACAGTCAATGCTCTACACTGAATACTAGAGTTACATGCAAAAAGAAATAAATCGTATTAAGCGCTATGTGAACATGAAGTAAGATATGCAAACGTTCATGGATAACCTCAGAATTTCTCCTATTATGTTTCGTATACCTTGTTTCACAAAAAACTATGAAACCTCGTATGGTATCATCATGCTTTTACAGTTCCACTAAAAATCTTAATTCTTTAATTTTTGTTGGTACTCCAGGGAACATCTAAAAAAAATTCTAGTTAGAAGCACTTTTAAGTAGAAACTTATATTTTAATCTAACTTTTAGCAAGTCAGTGTGATTTTTCTTGCTAAATGCTCATATTTAAGAGTAAAGAATTCAAAAATCTTTATAAAGCTTTTGGTAGTTACTTCAAACTCATAGAAAATTTGCAGTCTTACCAAATCCTAGCTATCAACCAGTTTGATATTCCAAAAACTTATGTTTTAGGAAATACAACCTTAATAACTGTATAAAGTAAAAAAAATCATCTCAAGCCTGAAGACTAAAACATTAGGACAGAAATGAAGCCTCACACATACCCAACAGGAAGATTTAACACAGTAGCTTTGGCTGCAGATGTATGCATCTTTAACAGAAGTTCTCCAGGAGTCAGGCATTTCCAAGAGAAACGTTCAATTGTCAGCACACCCTTTGAAATACTAGAAGATTCCTTTTTAGTACCTAGATTAAGAAAGAAAAAAATCCAAAAAAGCAAAACAAAACAAAAAACTCCCAAATAAAAGAAAAAACACCCCCCCCCCCCAACTGTGTGGGAATAACAGCAAAATTATGACAAATACACTTATGCAGAATATGTAACTACTTTACATTCACTGACATCTTCATTTAGGCTTTGATAACTCAGAGAAAAGAGACAGTCATTTAAAATGCACAGGTGGTACAGAATATGGCTTATTTGTACTATTTACTAGAAAATAATGGGTAAAAGAATGTCTCAGGAGGAAGTGTAAATCAGGCATCTTCCAAGACACTTAAGGCCACTCTAAAACTATATAAAAATCCATTCTGTCCATATGCAAAGGAAGCAAACAGCCATACAAAGCTTATATTTATATTATAGTTTAATTATTTTAATGGGATGGTCAGTTTGGTTTTTTTTACCTTTCCTGTGTTTCTATCTGCTCTACTCTAGATGCTCTAAGATTATGTTCATACCCAGCGTTTAAACATCTGAATAACTTACGCCAACTGTCACGACATGCATTACCTTTCCTGAATGCCATTCTATTATCTTCATAAAATACAAGTGATTTTTACTTAAATCATCCAAGCTATTGTATCTTCAAATAAGCCAGCTGTACAGTTAAGAGCTTAAAATAAACATACTTAAGTGCTTCAGTTCAAAAATCACTCAAAAAATAAACTTTCGTCATATTGCTGACTTTATTGCCTCTTGATCAGCTAAGGCATAAAGTAGCTTGCAAGAATGTTATCTGTAGGAACAGAAACCCTAGGAAACACAAGAAAATCCATACCACAAATACACTGATTAAAAGCTCACAAGTTGTAATAAACAGTGAAGGAAGTAAAAAAATAAAAAAAAAATCAGTTGTAATAAAAAGTAAAGTAATAAACATTCAAGAAAATATTCATCATCAATATGAAACAACCACAACTCTCAATCTGTGCCAAAATACATCACAGGCAAACACAACAGCACAGACATATTCATGAACGGGAAAACACAACATTAACATGCACTTTTCTGTGTTGAACTTACCTCCAGTACCATACCAGTGTACTAATGCAGAAAAACTAACCAGTATTTCAATGGGCATCAGACTGTCCACAAGTAAGTAATAGAGGACTCGGTCATCAGAAAACTGCGTAGAAAAACAGACATTTCTTCATCCTTCATTTTCACTGAATGCTGTCTGCCTGGCCTTATACAAAGTAGGACTAAGATTTTGGATATTGTGACCCTACCTATGGTACAGGAAGTAAGTAATTAACTGTCATTACTTCCTATAATTTCAGATGTGTCATTTAAGCCCAGAGCCTCTTGCTGCACGTATAATAATATTCAGTTAAGAGACAGATAAAAGGAAAAAGTTTCTTGAATGACAATATTATCTACTTTTAATTTATATTCTTCATATGTACCTCAGTTTAGTAGTTCTTGTCAAACAACATTCAATAGAAGACCAAAAATCTTTTGTGCTGAAACTTTCTGAATCTAATTAATTACAGTAGCTTGAAAGAAGCACTCTTTTAATTTGTAACACATGACTAAGTCTGCCTGTTTTTTTTTCTTTACAAAAATACTATAGGCAGCATTTTTCACTCTTAACTTTAATACATAATTCCTACGCCAATATTAGAAGCTACAGAATGGTTCCCAGGAAGTCTTCAAAATTTGAAGGTCAGTGAGCTTCTTGGCTTCCAAACAGTTTTAAAACCTGTTTTTCTACATTCTCCAGAGTCATATCAATAAATTTTTGGATTTGATCCTAGAATACCACTACTATTATCTTCATAGCATAATATAAAAGTGCTCTTTTGTAAGTCTGGTACAGAATTCACCTAACAGTGCAAACACCTCATTTATATCAATGTAAAAAAAAAAAAAAATAGAATGGTTTTACAGCAAAGGGTTAGGGTTTTGGCACAATAGCACACACAGGGTTATGTAATTTTGATGCTGATTATGGCTTGTACAAGTTATTGTACAGTGACTGGGAAAATTTCTTGTGATGTGATTACAAAGACAGAGAGGTGTGAAATTACAGGTATACTACAATTATGAATCATAATCCATGTAGTTAACCTTCTCAGTACAGGATTTTACATAAGTTCATTTTACATAAAGTTCATGCCTGGAGTTTGTGTTTCAGTACTCTGCAATTACACTTCAGTTACAGTATGAAACTACAGCGGGAACAGGATATTCAAGCATGCTGAATAACCTTCTGATAATATGAACTAATGGTAGGTTTAAAGAAATACAATAATTTCCATGTAACTAAGGGGTATTTCTAATCCTGGCAAGAGAATCTTTTAAATTGCTAAAGGTCTTAGCATGTAAAGAAAAAATGGAGGTCTCTGCTATAGAGACTCCCAGTTCTGATTTTAGGTGACAGGTAAAGATGAAGGAGAGCTGAAGGACAAATTCTGCAGCTGAATCATCATTACATTTAATTTAGTCTCTACACTGTTATAAGGTAGATTTAAATCAAGATAATGAGAGGATGGAGATCTGATCCACTGTAATCTATACTCTCACTAACAACTTTCATGACTAACATGTTCAGTTTTTTATTATTGTGCAATAGCATTCCATAAAATTTTTTCTTGTCTTAAACACAGTTAAATACTCCAGATATTTGCCAGAAACCATTATCTTTGTATTGACTACAGTAATATTAATGCATTATTATTTTTCAGTAACAGCAGTTCTATGTGGTCTAATTCTGTTCATCATATATATATTAATTATGTAACACTGTTAAAAAAGCACATAAAAACTCAATACAGTCAAATACCTTAAAATCCGTCTTCAGATAGTTATAAGCATATGTATGTGGCTTGTGGAAAACATACAGCTTTCTAGGGAGAAAATGAAATCAGGATACTTGTAGGAAAATAACTTTAATATAAATGATCTATTTCAGGTAAATGTCTATTTCATTGCACAAGATACAAATTTTACTTTCATAAATCATACTCCCAGCTATTTTGCAAAAAAAATTTCGATGTTTTTAGTTTCATAAAAGATGAACACAATTCATTTCCAGAGAAAGCAGCTGACACTAATTTCTATGTTTGCTGCATTTCTACAGTTTTCCATTGGAGGTCAGGGCACTAATTTGTTCACTTTGGAGCTATAAATGGTAATAAGCTAATACTACACTAAAACTTCCATGCCTATCTGAAAATTATTGTAAAGCATCACTGTAAGGAAGAACACTTTTGTACAGTTTATTATTGTGTTTTTATAATTCTGCAGTGTTCGCACATCTTCAGAAAGCTCCTTAGATCCTGACAACAATTCTTTCTAACCCTGATTAAACCAAAGGCAATATAAATGACTTTAGCGAGAACTGACAGAATCAGATGTTAACTCCAAAGCTTTATGTAAAATAAAGGGTTTGAGTTCTCAGAAAATTCACAGGGATCCTTATCCATTGCTGACATATCAATTCCTACAACTCAAATTTTCCTGATTTCTTAAAGTTAATAGGAACTCTGGACATTCACCTTACTTTCACTGTGTCTGAGATGTAGACACATCAGACAAGAAAATGCTTTCAACAGAACTGACTGGTAAATGAAAATCTGAGGTGCCTAACTTCTTTTGAGTAATAAATTCTTCTAAGGTCAATCAAGATGTTTTATTAACAGCTACTTTATCAGTTTACTGTGAAAATAAGTAAATTCTCACCTATTTAGTGACAGGAACATCAAACTGACAAATGACCTTAATATTAGTGGTCTACAAAAGGTCAACAGTAGTGTAACATTTGGCTAACAAGTTAAAAAATAATATTTTACATTCTCTCTGTATGACATGTGAGCAAGACTTTGAAAGAAAATTACTTTGATTGTGATGTTTTTTTTCTGAAGGCCCTATCTTTCTGGACCTGGGGCTTCCTAAAAGTATTCAGGAAAACCCTAACAAGGTCTAAAGTGATCTATGATCTTTTACTCCTAAAGTTCCTGTAGTGCTGGCTGGCATATCCTAAAGTTCCTGTAGTGCTGGCTGGCATATCCTAAAGTTCCTGTAGTGCTGGCTGGCATAAAAGTTAGACATTCTTCCTAATAAAGGGAACAGGGTTTAATATCTGCTCAAGAAAACTTGTGAAAATAAAAGCTTAAAAGAAGTCTCAGGTACAAATTCAAATGAAAAGAAAAAAAAAGGTGAAATTTTTTCCTCTGATGAAATTACTCTCCTCAGCAATGTCAGATTCTCTGAAGGATTTCTATTGCACAAGACTTCTTAAATCTGAAAGACAGTAACTTAAGGTATTAATCCTACAACTACACTAGCTTTTTTATTTTTGCTAAAGTATAAATGCCTCGGAATTACACTGAAAAGTAAGTACCTAGTTGATCAAGCTGAGCTATACTCATGGTAATACATGATTTCAACAAGATTTTTTGCCTTAGAATTGTGTTGTTCAGATGTAGGCATATCTGTCCAGTGGCTGATGGCTTGGGTATAGTCCTGGGCTCAGCTGTAACAGTTATTTTTCTCATTCCTGGTAGCTGGTGCAGGGCTGTGTTTTGGCTTTAGTCTGAGAACAATGCTGATAACACATCAGAGTTTTACCTGTTGCTGAGTAACGCTTAACCCCAAGCACAGTCTTTTCAGTCTCTCCTGCTCTGTCAGGGAGGAGGGGCACAGGAAGCCAGGACAGAGCAGACACAGGACACCTGACCCAAACGGGTATTCCATACCACAGCACGGTCATGCCCAGTATATAAACTGGGGGGAGTTGCTCACAAGGCCCAGATCACTGCTCAGGTAGGGCTGGGTGTCTGTCAGTGGGTGGTGAGCAATTAAATTGTTCATCACTTGTGTTTATTGGTTTGTTTTCTTTCCTTTCCCTTTTTAGTTTTATATTCTCTCCCCTTGTTGTTTCCCTTATCATCATTAGTAGTAGTAGTGGCAGTTTTATATTATACTTTGCTTATTGAACTCTTCTTATTTCAGTCCATGGGGTTTACGTTCTTTTGATTCTTCTCCCCATCCTGCCAGGAGTAGGGGGGAAGAAGTGGGGAAGTAAGTGAGCAGCTGTGTGGTTCTGGCTCAGCTTAAACCATTACAGATATGTGAGCACCCTAATAGCTGCACACTCCACAGCCTCCCATCTTCCACTCACATTGGAGTCTAACATATGCTTTATGAAGCTGGTAGCTGTGTTCTTCCAAGTGTGGGTCTCCACCTACAGACTCACTGTCAACAAGGGACAATAAGTCTGTTCTGAAAAGAAGCTTTGGGACTACCCTGAGAGGCAGTACAGCTATGCAACAAAGATGTATTGAGAAGACACAGTTTTTATACAGTCACTTTTCGCATTTTACTACTGTTACACTGTTCATTTTATGGAATAAAACCCAAAACCTCTGTTCCTTACTGGAAACAAACACAGAAGTCTTCAAAACTCATCCAGATTTTCCTGGAAACAGAAGTCCTTTCTGACTCAGTTTCTTCCTTTGATTTATCCCCTGTCTGGATGTTCGTATTGGTATCAGCTCTTTCTAATTTCCGTTTTGCATCAAAACCGATATTCTCATTTAATTCTGCAGAGATAAGGAGACAAACAGAGCCAATACAGTGACAATATGCACATTAAAGTAGTATTGTTCTTCTATTGAAAAATTATCATAAATTACCAGGATATTTTCCATATGTCTCAGAGTTTAAAAATAAAAACTAACCCACTAACCTAAAAAGCTCAAAAGGTAACTGAAACAACTGTATAGATATTTGTTGTTTCCATCTGCAACTGCTTAAATATTCTGCCTCAATATACTATCGCATTTTAAACTGTGCACTAGAACCTTTAATATTAGCATGTTAGGTAAACATATATGAGAATTCTGCAAACCTAAACTCATCTGCATAAAGGAAAATGTAACCCCCTTGTTGAAAGGTCCTATTCAGTGAAAAGCTGATAGGGCAGTATCACAAAATTTTTACAACCAATAGAAAATAAAAAATGCACAGAATTGTGGGGGACACAAAGATCTACCCTTGCCTCTGGTACTTAAGATAATACTTCCTGCGATGCTAGTTTCACAAATCAGTCTACTTTTAAACAGAAATAGATTTGAACTGTATTACATGAATTTTCTTGTAGGAAAATCAGAACTACTGTCAGATTAATGCCAAAATATAAACACAGAAATGTAATCTAGACACATTTTGCAATCATTTAATAATTTTTGAAGTTGTGTTGTAATGTCACTTCCACTGCCTTTACTCTCTGAAATTCATACAAATAGTTTTTGAAGATGTTTAAACTGTCTGTCCCCCCCCCCCCAAGTTTTGAGAATAGCTCAAACCAGCTGAGAATATAAGAACAGAAAAACTCAAACATGAACAGCTATTAATTCAGGATGTTTGCTGAGGAAAAAGATGAAGTAATACCCAAACAGACAAGGTATAACAAATGAGACAGCTAATTAGAAAGATACCTCATGTATATTGTGCTTTGTAATATTTCATTATCAGCAAGACACAGTGATGTGCTGGATAACTAATTTTAAGATACAGGTGGTTCTAACTTAGTATGTAACAAGAACTGAAGAAAATGTAATGAAAGAAAATGTATCAAAGACCTTTTTCTCTTTCTTAAACTATGGAAAAATTGACTGAAAGCTATAAAATCTAGGGTTTTCTTGGATTTAAGTTAACATGGGTTTTAGGCCTCCAGTGAAATAAACACAGTGCTTGGCTTACAACTATGCACATCACAGGCAGGATGAAGAAGGGGCCACAGAATCACAGAATGGTTTGGGTTGGAAGGGGCCTCTGGAGATCATCTAGTCCAACTGCCCTGCTAAACCAGGTTCACCTATAGCCAGTTTTGAATGTCCCCAGGAAAAAAAAAGACTACACAACTTCTCTGGGTAGTCTGTTCCAATGCTCTGTCACCTTCAAAGTAAGGAAGCTCTTCCTCACATTTAGGTGGAACTTCCTGTGTTTCAGTTTGTGCCCATTGCCCCTTATCCCTGTCACTGGTCACCACCGAAAAGAGACTGGTCACCAGAGCAGAACTATGCCCAATGTCATCTTCATGTGCCTCAGTGTTGCTCTTCTTTGTTCATTCTGCACATGGGTATTATCAATATGGATCAATAGGGTCAGTAGATCTCTGCAGCCTTCAAATAGAAAATATGCTCCACCATATTTAACAGCCAATACATAAACATTTCTGTTGATTATGTATGCAGGCTGGGGTCAGAGGGAAGACACCTCTTCCAGGGCCGCTAAAGGAAAGCAAAACCAGTGTCAACAAAATGGCTGAAGTTTCCGCAAGCCTCTTTGAAGAAGTAATGAGGATCACGTGAGAATGTCATTAAAAAGCTATTTTATCCTTTTTGATCTATGCAGTTCAAAGACAGTGCTGTTCAGAGCTTCCGGATACAATTATAAGAGAAAAGCAAATCAAACTTCTAACTATTGTTTATGTTCTATGCAAGAAGTGCCATTTCCAGCTATATGAAAATGCAAACATTGAGTGATATAAGGAAGATATACTTTATGGAATAAAATTATAAATAAATTTGAAGCAAAACTTAAGAGCTGCTCAGTATAAAATAGTATTTTAAAACTGACATACAGAATTTAATTTTAGCAAATAATTTTCTGTAATTATTACATAATTAATTCCTTCAATAAATGCAAATCCTAATCAAACACACAGGGATATAAGCTTATTATAAAGTTAAACACTGCAGGGAGCCTCAGAAAAGGGAACAGCATATCTGAATTCAAGAATTTTATGCTACTTAGAACTCAAGCAACAAAGATTAATGTTACAGTCAAGCCCAAGAGGAAAAAGTAACTTGATGAATAAGGGAAAACATTGAAGTACAGAAGTAATAACAAAACATGAACTGTAAAAAAACCCAGAAGACAAATAAAACCAGATCAATAACTAAGAGCACAGAAGCATACAAACTAGAATAATTAATCCAAAAAGGAGAAAAGAGTAGCAAATGAGCACTGATTAGAACAGTTTATCACAAAAAAATAACTATTTCTATGGTAAGAAAATACTGTATTATAATAAAGCCCCCCAAATGATTAGAAAAAGTAATGTTCTTAACTGAGAAGATACAGTTAAGATAATTTAGCATCAAATTCTGTCTTTGCTTTTGGTAAATGCTCATCATTTTTCAAGCAGTGGCTCTTTACTGAGATGCTTAAATGGCAATCAAACTTTTGGGTAATAACATTTATTCAGTATCTGGATGATCTGTACCTGGCTCTTTATAGTCATGAGCTAGCTCTTTAGGAGAACACAATAAGAAACACATCAAAGAGTTTGCTAGCCAAGTAAATGAAAAAGCACAAGAAAACACTTCCTTGTAAAGAAAACTTTACAAATGGTTCAAAATTGAAGTAAGCTCCTTGTCTCAGTTTTCAGTAAGGAGGGATAGACAGGCTGGCTTACTGGACTAGAGATACAAACCCAGAAATTTTCTGGTTTATAGCAGAAATTGCAAGAACTTAACATGGCTCTGGACAAATACTGAAACAGCAAGATTTCTGTGAGGTAACAGGTAATCGTGAGAATAATGTGATATGAAAAGCAGCTTCCATCAGATCCAGTATCTGCACCAAGAGAAATTGCAAATCATAAAAAAGCACTTCATCTAGAAAATATAACTGCTTTCTTATAAAAACAACTCAGAGTAAGTATAAAGGAACAAATTTTCATTTTACAACAAGGCACAATCAAATTATATGGTTTAAGACAATTTTTTTGTTCTGGTATATAAAACATTTCATTGCATTTGGTGAACCTCAGCTGTGCCATATCTCAATGGACTTTAGCAGTCTCAGTAATTTAATAATATGTAAAAATTTTATTTTTTTATTTTTTCTTTTTTAGCAAACATATTAGGACAGAGATTCCTAAACTGGAAGGTTGAAATATTGAAAAGCAATTATTTCTCCAGGAAAGGATTTGTTTATATGTGTGACTTTACTTTTAAAGTAGCACTATTCTCAATAGGAATGACTGTTCTCAATAGGAATGTTTCAAATCCTCTTCAAGTGAGCAGAAAGAACTATTCATATATTTAACTGTCTAATAACCTGTAACCAAACTCTGAAAATATAAAGTTATTAGCATTCACATGCTTTGCAAAATTTGAACAATTTTTAGCCATATTAAAAAGTGCATCAAAAACCTCCATACTCATGAATAAAACATTTTTAAAAAGATTTCTCCGTTTCTCTCAGTTTTGGATCATGATTCCTGCTCTCAGATACTCTGCGGAGTTGAAACACTCATAGTAGTGATACTATGTGATACTGTAGTGATAGGACAAGGGGTGACAGGTTAAAACTTAAACAGGGGAAGTTTAGATTGGACATAAGGAGGAAATTCTTTCCTGTTAGGGTGGTGAGGCACTGGAATAGGTTGACCAGGGAGACTGGGAATGCTCCATCCCAGGCAGTGCTCAAGACCAGGTTGGACAAGGCCTTGGGTGATATGGTTTAGTGTGAGGTGTCCCTGCCCATGGCAGGGGTGTTGGAATGTGATGATCTTAAGGTCCTTTCCAGCCCTAACTATTCTATGATTCTATTCTACGATTCTACAGTGAAACACTTGGAAGTGATAGTAATAGAAAGTAACTCTTGTAAGTTACAATGCATGGCACAATATGAAAAGCATTCAACCAAGATACATTACTAAGCCTCGTTTCCCAATTATTTTTCTTCCTTAATTATTTTTTTTTTGAAGATGGGTTTAGTTAATAATTAATTGAGATATTAAAAGGAATTGTATCATTCAAAGAAAAGTAATCATACCACCTAACAGGATCATACATCTCCAGTCTTAGAATCTTGTAATGACTAGCAATATTTTCTAAGTAAAGTTGGAATAAATGGATTTTGCGTAGGGAAATGACAACATTTGGGTTGAGATGGCCTGGAGACTGTGAAAACAACCTGAGTACAAAGGTTTTTGTTGCAGTAGTAATCTGAATTATTAGTATTATAGGCCAGGGGATGGAAACATGTCCTTTTCCTTGGTGGTGCTATGGCATCTTTTCTTCGATGATTATTTCTTGAGTATACTTTTGCATAAGCAGAAAGGATAGCAATCAGACTATTAACATACACTAACTTCAGAGTCAATTAATAGTGACAGCTACAAAAATACTCCAAGATCCCAGTGTATTTAAGGTAGGATTAAAGAGTCATCTACTGCAAACTACTGTATTTCCATTAGGTTTCGGCATTGAGCTGTAAGAGAATAAATGAAGCATATATTTCCAGCTCATTAACTTTCAGGATTTCGATACAGTGAGATTTGTCTAATTTATTTTTTTATTTTTAATGGGATGATATTAATAAAAATAGGGATACATAAGAAAAGACATTCAAACACCATAGTACTTGAAAGGCAGAAGTCTGAATATAAACGTCAAACACACTCACCCTTATCAAAGGTCTCTGCATTTTGCTGCCCACTGAGGGTGGTCTCCTGTATAGTGGAAAAAAACACAACAGAACAAACAATAGCACAATGGTTGTTTATAATTCTGCATTATTTTGTTAAATATTTCGGTTTGGGGTAGTTCTTTCTGAGATGGAGAAACAAATTAGTAAGTTATCATTGTAGTATATATTTTCTAAAAAAAGAAAAATAGAAATAATAAAATTCACCGTAATACCTACACATACATCCCCAATAGACAGACTGATGTTTTTCTAGAGATGTACATGTGACCTGGAGTCTGGGATAAAAGCTGTTCATATGCCTACTCCTCTGCTATAAGAAAAAAAAATGTTCTTTGATCTTACTGTTATTTGACAATAAAATAAGTTCTATTCTAAGAACTAATTAGTCCTATTCTGGAACGAATTATGTTCTTTTCTATTCTACATTTCCATTCTTGGAAAGCACATGGAGGGATGCTTTTCCAACAAGCATTTCTTACTGTGAAAGTGTACCCGACTGCTGACAGCAGCATGCCTGACTGCTATAGCTTTTCTTTTTTTTTTTTTTTTCCTATCAGCTGCATAAACAAAAAGTAGCCTGCTCTTTTTTCATATTTTTGGCAAACAGCTTTAGCCTGGTCAATCCCATTTCCAAGCTAGAGCTGCTGACCTATTATGAATGCAATATCCACTTAAATTTAGAGTTGAAACCAGATTATCCAGCCTTTCAGAAAGTCCATTTACTCAATTTCCAAAGTCAGGGTCCTCTAATTTGAGAGATTAAAATCTTTGAAACTGATCAAAATGTGTGTCTTGTCATCCTGCCTTTCGACTGCCCTCTTACCTGCAATATGACATACTCTACACAAGACTCACTTGCACTTCTTTCCCATTTCCACAGTTTCCAGCTTGTTTCCTATTCAAATGTGGTACTATTTATGGGTTAACTGACTAGTTTTGCCTCTGCAAAGACAAACATTAAAGCCTAAAAAACCTATTGCAAACAAATTCAGAAGCTTCTTTTCATCTCAGGACTCCCTTTAACAAGATTTGTCATCCATCCCACCACCCAAAATTCCTCCTATATACCCATCTTTACATGTGTCAAAGGGGCTAATGCTGGAACTCAGTAACATTGAACTGGCCAACATCTGGATACACAGAGTGATCTTCTGTTCTGCATTTCAAAGAGGAGTTGCGGTAGCTCTACTAACTGGACCTGCTTTTATGCTTTCACAATACAATCTAAACATCTTTTGAGGGGTAGAATGACATAATGTAAAGTCTGAGTAAGTTTGACTGGATGGCCTGTCTCAGCAGTACCTAAAGCTTGCACAAGGTCATTGTAGTGCAACTCCAGGTCTGCCTCAACCGTCATATTACACACTACCGTTGCATACACAATATGAAAGGACCTGTAAATGCTTCCTTAGAGGAAAGCCTTATGGCTTTCTCCTTCAGTTCCTAGCTGCAGTAAGTCTTTCTGCAGCATTTATTCTACAGGACTTCCACAGGCCCAGAATGTAAGAATTTTAGGTGTTTGATCTTTTCTAAAGTGAATAAACTACACATTTAAAATTCTCTGTCCCAAAATAGGAAGTACCAAATAATTTAATGTTTATAATTTAACTGCAGTATTGTTTACTGAGAGAATTTTAAAATCCCATTTTTGCACAGTGCAAATCTTAAATTCTATTCCAAATCTGGCATGGTTTTTTACAGAATGTTCATGAATCAAAGCTGAGACAGCTCTAATATAAACAGCAATTAAGAGAAAAATACAGACATTGTTGAAATTGTTAACAGTTGGGTGAACAATTTGGTACTTGAAATATATTATGTCTTACATGTCCATTTTTAAATTAATTTCTTGCTTTTCTAGGGCAAATGAGCTGAAAAAGACACAGTATGATTTTGCAATTTCCCATGTACTTCAGCTCCTGCTTCCAGACTTCTGTACATACAACTGTGCAAAACAAAAGGCAAGCTGTGATCACTTGTCATGTGACACTGACAGTCACACCTCAACATTTGGGTTGGGACTTCAGATATATGCATGCATAGAGCTGTCATATATCTACATGGAGTCTACAACTTGCAAGATTTCAATATTGCCAAATTTCCTGTAGGAGTCACAGTATTTACCAATTAGGTACACGCCAACACTACCAGGCTTCTTCTCAAAATCCTGTGCATGTCCAAAGTATAAAAAGTACCATACCTACTGTACAAGCCTTGGAGACTAATGAGTCTAGCACTTTCTGCTAGGCTTACTGTTCATGCACAGTACGCATGACTTACGTTTCTAGCACAGACATGTGGCAGCTTACTATAGGGCTACTTTGCTGGTTTTAGCAACAGGCAGCAGGAAAGCCCAGAGAGATTTATAAAATCCTCAAAATCTACTTCAATAAAATTTCCAGTAAAGAAGGAGAACGTACCCAGGAAAATCTAGATGATTCAGTAATGTTACTTTAGCTAGTTTGAGCTGTGAAAGCAATCTAATGAAACCTGTGTAGAAAGTCCTGTAGACTCATTTGCTCAAGTTTCTGGAGTGCACAGATAACATAGTCAAAAGCTGTTTGCTTCTCTAATGCTATGGGATGCATCTATTACCTAAACCTCACTGATTCTGAGACAACTGGGAGTATCAGGGAAGTTCTCATTCTGTTATGCTATTGCCTCAGCTACAGCGGCTACGACATTGGCACAGAAAGAAAAACTGAAGGCAATTTTCCTCCTTAATGAACACACATTATCTGAAAGGTCAGCTCTGCTGCCACAGTATCTGATAAAGAAAGAAAGAAAAAAAGACTTGAATCCCGCTATGAAACACGAAAGGCTGCACACAGTTAAGAGTCAGGGAGAATTTATTTACTTATTGTTATTCCTGCAATCAATGGGAAATTTGAATGCCAAATGCGAAAAAAAAAATTACTGGTTGACTTAAAAATCTAATTTATAGTCTATTATGTTTTATAATCATTAATACATAACTTTAAGATAATGACAATTCATAAATTTATAGCTATCTTGTACCTGATATTTTTATAAAACCAGTGTCCTTTTCTATTGTAGAAATTATGCATGGCAAAACTTTTCATACAAGTTTTTCTGTAAAAAACACCAGTCACCTTCCAAAAATAAGTCCTCCGGATATAACTGCAGGTGAAGGAATAAAGCTTCAAATACATTATTAAGATTAAAAATACATCTAAAATCTACCTCCAAAATGACAAAAATGACCAGAATATTTCAGATCCAACTCTGTATTAAATTTCAAGGTTTTAGTTTAACTTTTGCATTGATAGTCACTTACACACAATCTTTGTTATCTACTCCTGAGTCACTGTGTTCACTAAATGGAACATCAGTTCTCTTTGTAGCTGTGATGTGGGAGAAAGTAACAGAGATGGATTTTGAAACAAGGCAGTGAAACAAACAACTGCAAAGCAGTATACAAAGTGAGGTATAGGAATTGCTTAAAAATACTGGAGTACCAACTCTGTTTCTTTTTTATTCAGTCTCTAATGTTGGAACTGTCCCAATCTGTATAAGCAAGTAGACATTTGTAAGAAATATCTACAGAAATGTTCTCTATACCACAAATGTCTAAATGGATGTCCCTCTTCTGAAATCCCTCTTCTAATTCATGTGCCTCATATCTCATGTACACTTTTTTTCCCCATGAAAAAATAAGCAAGGAATTTTTATTTTGTGCAGATTCAATAATTGTCAAAACTATAAAATTTGTACAGAAAATACAACTTTTTATTTTATTCCTAGCCCTCCTGTTGACTCAATATGAATTCACTGGGCTTATGAAATATATCATAAGAAGGATTAGAATAAGAAAATGCTTTTTATGACACAACAGGCTAGAAAGTTTATGGGAAACGCGAAGAAAACCCATGCAAATTAAACAGACTTGATACCAGTTGTAAATCAAAAAGTTAAAACTGACCTTGCATATATAAAAGCATGGCACTGAAGTAAGAAAAATAAAGTAAGCATGAACATTAAAGAACAAGTGTACTGTGTTTATGTCACTCCGAGAGAGTGGCGGTTTTAACCTTTCTGCTCTAGAAAGTAGCATTGGCAACCAGCTTGGCACTGAAGAAGCCACAAACAGAAATCGAGCATGTTCTGCTTAGGATTTCTGAATACAGCAATCAAGGCAGACTATAAAAATATCAAGCAGCCATTGCAAATTCTGACGGTAAACATATTTGGATTAGAATTTTGTTCCTTTGTTACCCTTCAACATTTCCTAAAAACAAACGTAAAGAGCTTTCTTCTCAAGAAAGCTGGAGACAACTTGTATTAAAGAATTCATCACAGTGAAGAATATTCAAGCAGGCTTTTGAATAGCAGAGCTCCAAAGAAACACTCTTCCAGGATAATATTTTTCTCAAAAATTTGCCAGAATTACTGCTCCAGAAGACTGCAAGATACTGTGCAATTTAAATACGATGACCTTTTTGCCTTTTTCCTGACCACAAAGATGGATAAGGAAAAAAAGTGAAATAAAAAATTAAGTTCTGAAAACCTCCTAGTTCGGGAAGCCTTTATTCCACAAATAATTTTCTCCAGCCAAATGGAATAAGCACATTTCAACACGACTTACACATAAAAATTGCTTACCTTCCAACTGAAGAATAAAAGTGAGCTTTTCCATTAAAGAACTGAGCCTATTTTATGGAGTTTCAAAACAACAACAAAAAAAAAACCAACAATAAAACATGTAACAGTGTGATTCAAGATCAATTTAACTACCAAAAATACACACTTTTAAAGATACCTTTCCTAATGCACATCCATAAAGCTTTCAGAACTGTAAAATAACAGGGAATGGGAAATTCAGGGCAAAAATGTTTGAAAAATTCAGTACTAAAGCATTTCTCTTCTTTGGCATGAGCAATTTAGGGACACAAAGGATACCATGTCTTTCAACTTAAGAAAGGACGCCCAGCTCCTCAAATTTTAACTTTTATTTATCACTAGTCTCTGTTTCTGTGACAACAGACCTTTAGGAACTGTGAATCAGATATTCACCGATGTAACTTCATAAAGTTTACATTGGAGTGAACTGAAATATGCCAATTTAAATCTGCTGAGCATCTGGCACAGCAGCTGACTGAATTTCAGTCATCTTAAAGCATACAATTACCATATCCCAAAGATATATCAAATCTGCATTAAAGATTTTAAAGCAGACATCTCCTGAATAGCAGCCACACAGTTTAAATGGAGACAAAGTTATTCACACTTGGTATTCTACAAAACAAAATTATAGCAATTAGCAGTAACTTAGTGATTTGTAGATATCAAAGTTTCTCTTCAGTGCTTGCTTTTTTAATCACTAAATGATTAAAAAAAAAGTATACCTGTATATTGTTATTTCAAGTTTTAAAGCTATTGAAAGAAAGCTCTCCAATAATGAATCTCCCAGAGGTATCCACATAATTTTGTTGATTAAAAGACTTCATATGTGAAAGATTGTTCTGCAAGTTATTTGCTTTTGCATTCCATATAAATGCAGTCCTACTTACATAGTCAACTATTAATCGGCATAGCATTTTTCAGCTGAGATTTAAACTGAGGAAAAAGTAAAGTTCAAGTGTTCATTAGCTGCTTGTGACATCTTACATTTCATGTCTGAATCAGACTGCCCTCCGACCATGTCACATTCATGTCTTCTTCCAATCATTTCAGATTTATCAGTCTCTCTTTTGTATTTTCGTACTTGCCCTTGCCTCTTTTTGACTGCATGTCCTACTGTGACAGACCAACCTTCTACAATCATATATTTGTTACACTCTTGGACTAGAGGAGAGAATCAAAGGGATGCTCCAAATTATTTTATGCTTATAGCACATAAACATCTATTAAGATGTAACTAACTCAATCTGTATTTGTACAGCTAGAGAGACTGAAATTATGCAACCAATAATTATTACATATTGTATGATGCTACTTACAGCTCTTTATTACTTTCCTGTGTTTGTAATGATTTTCATAAGTTGCAATTTTTAAAGACTTTTAAAGACGAAGTACCAATGAAGTACTAATTAGACTATTGTAAAATGTATACAAAATTCAGACTAGTTAAAAATATATTTTATTGCAAAGAATTTTCCTTCACTACAGAATTGGCTTCTTTTAAAATCATAAATACCTAATAACTACACGTCCACACGTACATTTTCTATATACACAGTAGATATAGAACGATTTAAAGCAACTGAATTTAAGAACTGAAATATAAAAATGGCATAACAGCATACTCTGAAGAAGAAACATATAAATAGGCACTCCAAAAATTACACAGAAACTTATTGCCCTTTTACTTCAAAATTTAACAAATTAAATTTTATTTTCCTTGTTCATGAAGATATCTCATAGCATACTATACTTAACAGCATGTCTTTGGTCTTCAAATACATTTTATAACCCAACAGGCAGTCACTATACATGAATCAAATACTACATGTGTAACCCCCAAGTATACTTTTCAGTTAGTCCCAGAAAAGGACAATAATAAGGACAGTAAAGCCACAATATTTCATAGTGTTAGCAACAGGGCTTTTAGAATTTGAGGAATAAATCATTAAAAAATAAGGTTAAAACAAAAAGTGACATGAAAGATATCCCACCCAGCACACATCAATGTAACTATAAATTGGAAAGGGGAGGGAAGTTACTTAAATAGCGGGGAAAAAAGCTCATGAGAAGTCTTTAAATCCCTATATTTCAGTAGTAAGTATTTTCTATTTTGTCTCATTATCCTTTGGAATATAAAACTAGGTCAAGTTAAAATAAAATTAGAAAAATTATTACCTGAGAATCATCTTCTGCATTTGAATGTCTCACACTTTGATTCACAGCCACATTACTGTCTCTCACATTTTCATCACTTTCAGTAACAGAAGGGAGACGGGACAGAGAATCAAATCCTTTTTTGAGGATAGATTGTGGAAAGTTGCTAAATAATAAAAGAAAACTCAAACACTTTAATTCATACATTTACTTTCAAAAAGAAAGTCTTCATAACTAACATGCTTAACATGATTTTGTCAAAGTAATTTGTGACTCCTTTATTTTGCAGCCTAGTAGGGCAGCACAATATCTATATATGCTTATCTTTCTGGCTTGGCACTACACATGTATCTATGCTCAAAAGACCTGAACTAGCCTGCCCTCTTAACTAATCCTCAAAAAAACAAACCCAAGTCAGCTGAGAAAAACTAGATGGTAATGCTAGAAGTAAATAAATTTCCATGTCCTCAAGAAAAAAAAAAAAATTCTAGATATATAATGTGGACCAGTTAAATGGGGGGGGGGAGGAAGTGTCAGAGTAATTTTTCCCTCAAAATGGGTCTCCATAGCTACCAGACAGCTAAAACACACGATAACCAAGGAAACCTGTCCAAGGTCTATTCTGGTTGTAGCAAAAGAAAGCTTTGTTGCTGACTTAGTGAAGGCAGAAGTAAAAACTGATGGAAATACAAATAACTCTGTGCTTGTTAAGGGAACTGGGAGAACAAGATCAAAACAATATTGCACACATGCCAATTAGACATAAATGTGTAATTGTGTTATTGCAGCAATAAAGAACAAAGAAAAATGTAAGGTGTTATCTAGCCCCCTTCCTAAGACTGAGATAATGAAATATCAAGATCTTTAGCAGTAAGGCAGTAACAATTATCTTGCCTTTGAGTGTTTCAAAATATTTTATTAGAATTAAAGCAAGAGTTTCAGTCCCAGTTGTGTATCTAATTCCCTTATCTTATTTAGGCAGCTATATTACTTTAATGAAATGCTAATACGTGCTATATATTTTTGGTTACTACCTGTTAATTAAATCACAAGAGATTAAATTAGCTCATTGTCATGGAAACTTAGCACATTAAACAATCTGTCCTTGACAAAATTCAGTAAGTTGACCATGAAGCAATCTATTAAAGATGAAAAAACTACATAAAATATGGTAACATGCAAATATGGGAACATCTTAATTATTACTCGCTCATTCTTTTAATTACCTATTAATGGATATTGCTTAGAGCATTTTATGTATGTCTACTCCTACTATTTGAAAACAAAAATTAAGTAATTTAATGTATTTTTAACCAACAAAATGCAACTGTATCAGCAAAACAATACACCCAGAATATTCCAAGTTAATTTCTTCCACTGAAAAACGCTGTTCAATAAAAAAAAAAAAAAAAAAATCAACCCAAACTGGTTTCTTATCAACCCATCCAATCATCATGATTAAAATACAGAAACTGCCATGTAATTTGCGCAGTTTACTTAGAGACTTACTTAGAAAAAGGTATACACACCTTAAAAATGATACAACACACATCCAACAGTTTACTAATTGTTGGACTCATTCTCAAGAAAATAAATATCCTCCAAAATAACATAAAACTTTTGGTGCTCACTTGGTATGTCATACATGCAATGCTTCTTATGTCAAGAGTTCAGTCAGAATAAAAGAGAGGATATTAATAATTCTAGCAGTTGTTGACAAAACATTCAACATCGTCACCTGGAGCCTGGCAGAAAAACATTATGCAGTGGGACACAGGAAAAAAATCCAAGGCCCTGATATAATTAATGATAATCCTTCTTTTCTTGTCAGCAAGTATTATGCTGAATATCCAATGCTGACTAAAAGTCATGTGTACAATGATTTCTGAAACTTCGTCTCTAAGACACCCTGTATTTATACAAGGGTTTATATATATATTTATACAAGGTTTATACATATTATACATATAATACACATTTTAAAATATTTTCAAGGGTTTAGACGACTTCCACTCTTTAACACAAGGCACTTATATAAAGGTGTATTTTGAGCATGAGCTTCCTCACCTGAACTCTCAGGTTTCTTGTAATAACTATAATGAACAGAGAACAGCCTGTTTTATTGATAAAAATTGCTCCATGCCAAATATGTGATGCCCATGAAAGTACTGACTGGCCAGTCAATGACTTCCTTGTTACGGGCAAGAACTGAAAGGGACCAGTAGTTTGAGGAAAAAATAGAAAGACATCAGAGAATATTCCTATTTCTGGCGGAAGCAATCTATTGAATATTCACTGGGCCTACTGAGTAGAGAAACTGGCAATGGTTTTGCCCAACAGAGCTCCCTGCCCTGATGTCAGATGCCCTAAGAAGTGTACATCCACCTAGGGGACTGTCCGTACAGGGTGTAACAAGTAGGAACATACTCCTCAGGTGTGTGCATGTCCACCTCGTAGTGGGCTTTCTCACAGGCATAGAGTCATAGAATCATAGAATAGTTAGGGCTGGAAAGGACCTTAAGATCATCTAGTTCCAACCCCCCTGCCATGGGCAGGGACACCTCACACTAAACCATGCCACCCAAGGCTCTGTCCAACCTGGCCTTGAACACTGCCAGGGATGGAACATTCACAAAATGCATGTAGATTAGCAGATCGTAAGGAACAGCATATAAAATTTATAGCACACCAACTTGCATCTCCAAAAGGTGCGTACAAATAGAAGAATCTGCATGCCTAAATAAGGTGAGCTTGCAACCCTCAGTGCCAAGAGAGCATATAATTGCATGTGTATGTCTCTGTGTGCATAACTAAAAATTCTTTGGATTAGTTATACAAAGGTGTTCAGAAGTTTGCATGTGTTTGTCAACATTTTGTAAGCATCTAGAATAGTGGTTTATCTGTTACATAAACGATACTGATCCTAAGTGTAGAGTTCAATGACTGATGATTAATTATGCAACATCAAGAAATCAATAGAGTGCTCTGATCCTAATTTGCTTTCAACTACATAATCTGACCAGTTTTAACCTGTGACAGAAGTAAACATAAGCCATGGCACTTTCACAGTCAAATGGAGGAACAGTACAAAGCTAATGCTGAAACTACACTGAATACTTACATGTGTGTGGGTAGTGTAATAACATTCAATTTGTAATTCAAAAATAGGCTAGCAATCTCAACATGTTCTTCAGGTTTCTTTACCACAGACACTGGAAAAAAGCAACTTGTTAAACATTTATTCCTAAGAAAATTTTAACACTAGAACTTTGACAAACAATTTCCACAGGGGATTCATCAAACCTAAATAATTCTCAAAATATAATAGCATACAATTGAATCAAAGAGAACAACCAAGGGTGGCTTTAGGTGACATATAATGAAAAAAAACTTGCTCAAAGCTCTGATCCTCAGCCTGCAGAGTGTTAAAGTATGCTTAACCTATGTAAGGTTATCCAACTTAGCTTAGAAAAACCATGGCAGTATACTGCTAATTTCCTGTTTATCTCATTACATATTGCTAGCATGTCTGCAAGACTTTCATACTCAAGGTATCTCATATCATGCATTTAATTCCATTGTGCAGTACAGACAAATCCTAGAACAAGTTTACCTCTAAAACTATGAGGTTTTGCAGCAGGACTAGTCACATACTTCAAATGTTTGAAAGGTGTTCAGAAGCTTTCATAGCTCTGCATGAGAGCTTCTGCATTGGTTTGATAACACTCCCTCTTCATTTTCTCAAGTAGAGTGCTTTCTAGCCTGAAATTAAGACACTTCTCAAAGTGTTTAGGAAATAACAGGGCTAAGGGGAAGTAATACAAAACTGGTAAAAGAAAAAAGAAAAAAACAACACCAAAATGAAACAAGTAATCCCTAAGGAAGTTCCATTGAAATTAAGGGATAAAACGATAAATATGGCCCTGGAAATTTAGATATTTGCAATAATTAAAGTGTTACTACACATTTATTTTGGAGGTTTAAGTAGACAAACCTCGGGGTTCAGATGACACAAGAGTTTCCTTTTTCTGACGGAAAAGCTTCCAATGAGGAACTTGTGGTGGTTGTAGTGGCGCTACCAGAGGACAGGACCTTGTTCTAGTGATCAGGACAGGATGGCTATATATGTGGGAAAGTCCATACTGCCTTAGTTTCTCTGAAGAATCAGCCTATGAAACATGAAAAAATAATCCAGCTGTGTCACACCTCCTTTCTCATCACATCTCTGACAGAAAAGAACAGTATGCACACAAAAGTATCTAACAGCTTGAGTAACAAACAAAACAAATATAGCTCACCTGACAAGGCTATCAAAAAACATTCTAATTAGAATTTGATATTCAGCAGAAAAAGTATAATTGAATACTCATACGTGTTTACATATATTTTACTTCTTATAGTAGATTCATCACTCTTTTCAACTTATTTATTTAATTGAATTCTTTTAGGTGCTACAGAAAACACACACGTGAAGCAGAATTACTATGTAAAACAACAGTGACAACACTTTGTTTTAAATAAACATATTTTAAAACTTTTTCTGAGGGAGAAAGTCTTACTTTATGCTGAATTTATAAAGTGGCAGAATTCTAAAAGCAACTGGTCTTTTAGATAACTTGTGAAATCTCCATAATGTGATATCACTTTGAACCAATACATCATTAAACTTTTTATCTGCTAACTTAGAGAACATATTAAAGGCACTGCAGTTGACCTGTATAACAAATCCCTTAGCAACAGACTTAAGAGCAATTTTAGATGTCGACATTGAGTGGTGCTCTTTGAATTAAAATCATAATGGTGTAGAGCTTAACATTTTTCATTACTGAAAGTTCTGTTACAAGATTTGTACATCCTTTGTATATTAAAAATACACCTCCTTTTACTTGCTAAATAAATCACACATAATTTAGTTCCTTAACATGCTCATCAGCAAGGCTTTGATTGCTCTTGCTCATTGTCAAATGTTCCTGAGGTTCTGCATTTATGAACTCTGCAGAGAAGGATGTAGATATAGTTGTGGTTGTCAGTTATTTGAAGGGAGAAGAACAAATTTAACACAGTAAGACTGCCCAGGGAAGTTATGGCTGCCCCATCCCTGGAAGTATTCAACACCAGGTTGGACGGAGCTTTGAGCAATCTGGTTTAGTGGAAGGTCTCCTTGATTGATGCAGGGGGATTGGAATGTTCTTTAAGGTCCCTTCCAACCTAAATTTTTCTATGATTCTATGAAGGTATAAAAGCAATGTAAAAGCCTCATTTGATCTCTGAATTTATAAAGATATATTACAGGAGCGGTGACTGCATACATACATATTCAAGCAACTTAAAAATGTAATTTAAAACATCTGAGATTAGAAAGGATTTTGAAGACTACCAATTAGGTGCCATAAACAAGAATTTGTCAGCTGCTGAGTAGGAGACATACCTGAGTGACTCAATTATGCATTTTTTCCATGTCATTTGAGCAAACTTAAGGCAATTAAGTTCAAGCCACATCAATCCAAGGACATATACAGTAGAAAACAAAGCTAAAAGGGATACTGCAGAAATTCGGGAGGGGAATTCTGGCACAACTGCAGTTAACGATACAATTTTCTAGAAATTTAGAGAACAATGATTATGCCAATGAATCCACTCTTTGAAACTTTAATTATTTCTCTCAACATAGTATATCTCAGCCCTCAAAGAAAGCTTGAAAATGAGATTTTTTAACCCATAAGAAACCCACTACACTTCTATATTTCATTTCTGTCAACTTCCATTTTTCTATCAGTCTTTACTAAAACACTGGTTTAGACACATAGATCCATCTACAATGCCTCTTTTTCAGTATTCTCTATAGCCTCACAGACTGAAGCCAAGTTTGAGACTCAAGGCAGGAAAGATATAACCTTACGTCACTGTTTCTAGTTTGCTGTCTGCTGACTAGCATTACTGTCTGAGACCTTAAATTTAAATAAATAAATAAACTAAATCACAGAGAAAGAGCTAGTCTTCAAAACAGCATAAAATACACAGCACAACTTGCAAAAAGAAAATAGTGCAAGAATTAAGAGCAGTAAAGCATAACACCTGCAAAATATTTCTGGAAATTTCTTTATTCTGTCAAGCCTAGTGGTTTCCTGAGGAGGCAGCTTAAATTTTAATGTTCTAATTATGGTAAATATGATTTAAATGCACAAAAAAACAAATCTAATTAATAATCAACTCAAGAAAGCCAGCTCTGGCATTATAAATAGCTTTCTGTAGAGTGTGAGTGACTAAGTGGAAATTTAAGCATTGTTTTTATCCCAGCTGCATGAAGTGCTGCACTCTCTCCAGCTGCTTTCATCAGCTACAACACTAATGACAGAAATGGATATAAACATGCTATTTCTTATAGAACAACACATGGGAAAGTGTGTATCAGAGAATTCATGTTTTTCAACTAACCCCTAAAATAATTAGTCTTTCCATTCAGAAGTATCTCATTATGATACATTTTTTAGTCCCCATCAAGATTCTCCCAAGAGACTTCAGCTCCTGGGATCCAGAGGAAAGTGGAGTAAAACTGAAAAAATGAGCAGACTGTGGTGGGAAAATGCAGAAAATGCACAATCAGAAGTACCAAAAATATAAATTTAACTGATAATCATTACCTAATAACTATTTCACTATATTGATTTTATTATTTTTGTTACAACATAGTTGCTACAAAATGAAACTCCCTGATACTAAAATAATGCTTTCCTGTCCTGAGAGCACAGACTCTTACCATCTGTTTTAACGAAAAAACATCCTTTTCAAACAAATGTAGTGGTATACAGCCAGCATACACGACCATTTCTGGCTGGGTTGGCACAGATGATTCTACAGAGAAAACATCAACAAGCTTTAGAACAGTATAAACAGTAAATAAATATTGCTATACCTCACCCTAACTTATTCTGCTCACTCTGCCTCTTCTTTGTTATTTTCTTTGTCTGACTATTATCTCATTCAAAACAAGAGCTCATTGTAGAGTACTTGTAAGAGAAGTCCTGGATGGCAAAACCACGCTGTTTTAACCCTTACCTATTTTCAACTATCAATGACTTTTTTAACTTTAACTTCTTTTACACAGATGAATAAGAAAAACTACAACTTGCAAATGCCACAGGTCAGACGTAGCTCTAACCACTGTCCTATTTTTCTTCAGATTTTAATAATACTAGATACTAGCATGAAGAACACAATACGCATCATCTGGGCAGATGAAAAAAAAACATACTGATTGGTCAATACTACCTATAGGCTTCACACCAGTGAAAGCAAAGTTTGATCTTACTAACAAAAGGATCAAAAGCCAGAGCCCTGGTCATTCCTAGCAATGGTTATGAAGAATAAGATTAGTTTGAGAATCAGAGCATTTGTTAACGAGGGTTATTGCTCTTACTTCTGTCAAGGAGATGGAATAATGGAGGTAATGTCAGCTGATTCTGAAAGCATGAGGGGGCGACTACATAGCTCTTACCCCACATGCCTTACAGAAGCTTGTTTTCCTGTAAATCTGCTACAAGCAAGGTATAAAAGCAGAGGCACATTCACTTGTTACTCCTAGAAATCTGTTGCACTGGGCAACTACGCAACCATCTCATACCTGTACTGTGGAAGAAGCTATTATTGATTCCCTAACGATGAAGAGAAATCAAGGCTGTCTGGGTGACAGCCAGCTCACTCATGCTGAAGGGAAATTAAAAGTCTAAAAAATTTATTAGTAGAAATATAGGTCTAAAGGTCAGCTCAAAAAGAAGGATATTTATTTTTCTTTATTGTTCCTTAGTAATCTAAGAAAGTATGTGAAGACAGGATCTCAGCACAGAGGTTGTGAAAAACAACACACCTGCTTTTCATTAGAATGTTTTGTCTTTGTTCCCTTCAGCTCCACCTCAAATATAGGACAATTACTTCCTACATTTACTAAGTATGCAGCTGGAAGCTGCTCTAAGAATAGGTATTTTCTGTGAAACTGAATAAAACAATGCTGCCTGCATAAAAAGAAAAAAGTGAAATGAAAATAAAAGGGCAAAGAAATGAAAGATAGGCAAGTGACTGGAAAATACAATTTATCAGATTTCAAACTGATTTATTTAGAAGGTATGCAATAGTTTTTTTTTCTTGAAAAAGTAAGCTATCTTTGCGTCTTAAATATTCTTCCAAAAATTCAATTAATTAAATATAATGTGGTGGTAGGTCGGTTTCTTTCCAGTGGATTCTTAGTATTTCCCACTGCACATTTGTGATTCCCCTGTTAATCACAGCTGTTGTGTTAGCTGTGGTTTTCAACTTATCCAAAAGCAAGGACATAAGCTAGGTTTGATCTCAGTCCCTGCTGACATGTCTGATCTGTTACAAATACATTAGTAGAAGCTACCATGTCCTACACATTACAGGACAGCATGCCACAAGGTATACCAATACCATTGCTTGTGAGAAGTATTTCTCAATTAAAAGCATTCCATCAAATACCAGGTGGAATGTAAAACTGCCATATTCAGTCCAGATGGGTTGTGAAATACTGCAGGGCAGACAATAAACATCAATGAACAAAATATTAGAGCATGCAAATGATTAACCAGGCACACCATATTCATTTTAATAATACTATTACAATACTAGAAAGATTTGATACATTATGCCAGTACCTTTTAAAAAATAATGTATTCTTTGATCCTTTTTTACTGTACAAAAAATGAGGAGGATGTAGGCTCATCAGCGCTATCTGTGTGGTGCTGTGGTTTAGATATGTGAGCAAAACAGTGTTGATAACATACAAGTGTGTCAGCTATTGCTAAGTAAAGCTCATAGAGCATGAAATCCTTCTGTTTCTCATTCTGCTACATCAGCAAGTATGCTGGGGACAGACAAAGGGTTCAGTCCTGACCCAAACTAGCAAAGGTGTATTCCATATCACAGCACATCATGCTTGGTATAGTAACTGGGGTGTTTTCTGCTCAGGAAGAGCCTGGGCACCAGTCACTTGTTTTGTACATTCTAAGATCATTATTATATTTTATTTTATTTCAATTATTAAACTGCTCTTATCTCAAACCACAGCTTTTATCTTTTTCTAGTTCTCCCCATCCTACCAGAGTGGAGTGAGGTGGGGTGGGGAGAGAGTGAGTGTCGGCATGGTACTTAGTTGTTGGCAGGGGTTAAGCCACAACAACAATGTAATGAATATAAAAGGTTTTGCCATTTTAGAAATAAAATATAAATGATATTAAAAGTAGTTAAAGACCTCTTCAGAAATTATTCAAATTTATCACAGAAAGAAGGCCTCACACTCAAAAGGTAGAGTGCAAACTTACAGTAGGGAGCTAAGCATGTTTATGGCGCTGGAAATTAAATACTTGTCAAGATACTTCCATTTAAAAAAAAAAAACACAAGGGCAGCAAAAGAAATAGAACAAAAGTTGTTGCATCAAGTAAAGTCATTGTTACAAAAATTCCCAAGACCAATTTAGAAAATTTTTACAACTACTGCTTCTGGAGTCTGACTTTAAACCTAGCCTTAGTTTCTGGTTCTACAGTCCCAGGCCATTCTCTGCAGACCATGTGTCTGAAAGCCTGCAAGCTTTTTCTTCAGTGGCTATAATCTCATAACAAAAATACATTTGAATTCAGTATTATTTCAAATTGTAGTTCTCCTTTCAAAAACAAATAAAAGCAAAGCCCTACGTTTTACTTCTTATAATTTGTTTGTAATTTTAGCTTCAAAAGAATAGGACTTACTTTCAGTTAAGGCCTGAAAAGAATATCTGGTTTCAGCAGACTGAAGTGATAACTTGTGCTTTTCTTTATCTCCATCTCTGATTTTCTTCTTTCCAATTTCTTTTTGTTCTGCTTTTTCTATTAAGCAAGACAAAGATTATTTTTCAGGTAAAAACTTTTGGCCAAGAACTAATGTCATTCAGTTAAAAAAAAAATAAATAATAATTCTTAAGAGGCAAAGGCAGATTTACTGAGAAGCACCCAGGAAGACTTTGGTCTCACCTTCTAGTTAGTGCACAACTTTCATGTCCCTACTACAATGTTTGCTACACCTGAATTCCTGGCACTGTGACAAATATTTTCTTCATGTTCTTGCTCCTGTGCATCAATGATTTCCAATAGAATCTAACACAGATGAGGCATAGGTCCCCAATAGACACAGAAGTCAGAACTTTCTTTCAAGCCTTAGAACTTAAGACTATAGGAAAATACATTTCTAATGAAAAAATCCCAAACATTATTAGAGCATCTGACAAGAGCTTACAAGCTCAGAGCTGGAGATTACAGAGCTGCATCATAACAGAATGCCTCCCTAATTCTTAGCTGTTCCAGTTACTAACAGAATTTCTAAGTCTTGGAGAAGGTTAAATTTACAAATATTTTTGGGAATAAATTACAGCAACCTGTTTGATGAATGACAGTGCTGTTCCCAGTGGCTGCATCCCTGTGTGTGTCCATTCCAAACTTTGAAACATCTACTACAATGATAGCAGGAATTCCTAAGAACAAAGAATACCCCCCCAGCCAGGTCTCTTCTAGAATTTTTATAACACTTTCAACATTAGAAATATTATTTGAGATTCAAAGTGAGAAAGGCAGGGATTTTTCTGAAAATCTAAGAACAGACATTTTACTATATTATTTGTACCTTCTAAAGAAATTAAATTGCATCTATACCTTGAAATTATAAACAGCAACTAATAAAACTCAGTCTCAAATATAATAACTGAAGAATAACATACTGGAACAAATAAGTTTCTAACCCTAAGTTTTTTTCATTTAAATGTAAATAGGATTAGCAGCTTTTGAATAAAATTGATACCTGTATCTAGTAGCATAAATAGCAAAGTTGCTAAAAATGAACATGCAGGTAGACATTAGAAAGTACTTGTCAGAACTCTCTGCAGGCAATCACACTTTGTAACAACCATTATGAAATGTATAATTTATTGATGGTCAGAGCAGTATGGCCTTGGGGAAGCTGCAACTTCTCAGATTGTTATTCCTCTGCAAAGAACCGGTCTTTAGAGAAATGTCAATGACATAGGGCTGAACAAATCTTTGCCATAAATTGAAGCTGTTTTCATAAAAGAGACTAGTACTGGTTCTAATAGATCTATATAGTTAAAACAAAAGCTTTTTGAATTTATACCATTGCAATGTATTTAATGAAACAACAACAAACCCACAGAGTTGCATGTGGCACAGCAAAGAAATACAAATTCAAAGCCAGAGGTTATGCTAATTTTATTTATGCTTGATCTACAAAGATAACACTACCTAAAATTACAAACCTTTGCCAATTTTATCAGCTTTCCCTGCTTTCTCAGGCTTCTCTGACTGCTTGTTGGCAGATGAAACTTCATTTTTTAACTCTGAGACTTCGGTCTCTTTACATTTTGTATCTGACTGAGGAGTATCAAGTACGGGAGCTTTTTTATTTGGCAACTTGAATTCTGGCAAAACCTCTTTCAAAAAGCCCCAGACTTTGTCCAAGTATTCAAGCCTTAAAAGTAAACAAAAACAAACAAAAAACCCAAACACATGTATATGTCAATGATAATGATATTTGCAGTAAGAGTGATTTTTATTTAGACAGCACTATACTACAACTAACAGTCCAACTCTTAGAAAAGTTTTAGTAAATAAAACTCTTGCCTGGTTTTGTATATCAGTGAATTTCCTGAGACAGATTATGGACAGACTCATAAAGAAAGAAATGGTTGTTAAGGAAGCATGTACAGAAAGCATCCTTTGTAAAGCTTTTTAGAAGATAAAAGTTGCGGTAGGGAAATTTGCAGACCATCTTGCAACTACACCATGAAGCAACTTCATTCTGGCTCTGTACATTAAAAACCTTCTCAAAGGTACTTCCAAACTAGGTTTTACTAACTATTTCAGCATAGGTAGTTCCACACCTCTTCCACTCATTCCACCAGCTACAGCAATATTTTTTTTCATATGACATGACAGTTGCAGCCATACTGGTTCTCCACAGAAACCCACAGATTCCAGAAATAATCTAAAACTGAATGAATTGTTCAGAGCCATGAATAAGCTTCATTCAAGCTAACTGAATGCAACTTTTTTTTTTTTTAGTAAAATAATTGATTGTACAATGAGCTAATGCCATCTTATACTATGCTTGCAAAGACTCCATGGTATTCACATTTTCTTACTCCAGAATATATTTTCAGTAAGAGCCAGAGTTGTGAATACTGATTTCTGCTGTTGCCACTGTAAAACTAACTACATAAAAAGAACAAAATTTAGGTTACATTACTTTAGTCCACAGGCTACATACATAGTACTGGAAGACACAAATATATTAAAACCCCCTAAACTGCAAGCATGGCCTGGGACATAAAAATTGCTGAACTAAGGACTAAAATAGCCTTTGACTGCATTTATTTAATACTGAACTATATAAATAAGCAATTATAACTAAGTAAATAATATACAGACCCAAACTATTTGTTATCTATGTATTCACTAGAATGTATACATCAAAAGGCAAAAAAACATTATTTGAAAAAAAATGTCTAAAGATTTAGTGCCTGCAACTCAGTCATTCCTACAGTAAAAAGAATATCAAGCTGGAAAATTAGAATGTCTGTTCACAAAACAGACTTAAAACACACAGGAAACAACAAAAATATTATAGGTTGGAAATAATTTTTGATTTGAAATAAATTGGAAAGATGATATATGTTTAAAAGGTGAAATACCATCCTAGCTGAAGTTGACTACTTACAAATCTAGGAAGTATACTTTCTATAGCACATTCATATATACAGTTATTATTATTACTGGCAAACATTTTGTATCTGTGTACTAGATGAAACAGATTCCTCTAAACCTGTTTTCACCACAGTGTTTAATATTAGTTATATTAATTTTATAAAGAATAGGCATCAGCTTTTCATGATAAATAGCTTTACATGCAACTGTATGACCTACAAAGAAAAACACAACAAAATTACATTCCTTGAAGGCACATTTATCAAGTGCCAGAATTGAAAACCATATACTTGCTAAAATTGATTCTGAAGGATGTTTACGGCTTAGCTTTATTTTTCATAATGCCACATAGACTTAAATATTAAACTACTAATATGTAATTATTTAATAGAAGAACTTACTGGAGAGGAATAACTTCTGGTAACCATCCAGTCAGTGTATGTAGAACTGTAAATTCCTCCATCTCTCTATCTGCAGTTTCACATATACTATAAGAGAAAGCAGACATTACACAAAATTATAACCAACTCTCAGTAAACTCTGTATTGCTTTCTGTAGGAGCAAAACCACACACAAACAGAATAGCCTGTTGAAAAACAAGTCCTTACTTGCAATTTTAGTTTTCAGTTTTCCAAACCACTGCTGACTACTAGCCTATAAAGTCAAAAATTACTTCATCAGTATATTGGTACAATGGAATAGTTTCAAAATTGTTAGCAAGCATACTGTGTACACTTGCACACAGTAAAGCCTCTTTCTGCAGGGTTGGAGATGTGGGTTTGAAATCCCTCATGCTAGAAGGGTGATATGAATCTAGAACTTCCATTTCTTGATCAGCTGCTCTAACTCCCAGGTTATTATGCATAAGTAGGCTGTATTTCCAGTGTAGCAAAGTCCACTCTTTCAAACTGATAGTCTCTCCTACTCTCTGGAGAGATCTCTGTCTGTAGATCCTAATAGGACCAAGGCTAAACATGCCAGCACTTGGCCATGACTAACCCTTGTGCTCTGAAGAAATTCAGCATTTCAAACACGTTTCCTGACAGGCAGCTCTAGGCAACTCCTTAGCCTGTGTAGATGTACTTTAGATCACTCTTCTTACAAACATAAATCGATATAAGCAGAACATGGAAGCCTGACTACCCAGATCAGAGTTTTGAATTCTTTTCTGAAGCTTAGTCATTTTAACACCTGGTGTTTATTCTCCAGCTCATAGAAACATGTGGCCATAATTGTCAACCACTGCATCATGAGCCAGCTTCTACTTTCCAGGTCAGATTTAAGGAAATGGATCACCGTGTACAGCCCACAACAGAAGAACTGTAACAGCAGCAGCTTACAAATACTCTAATTTTAGTACTGGTAAAAGCTGATAAAACTTCATTAAAACTTCTTTCCATTTGGCAGAAAACCACATGTGATGCTTTTCAGGAATAATGGCAAACAGATAAAGCAAACAGTACTTCAGCTTCTTTGCAAAGTTTTCTGTGCATAAATTTACGAACACATCTAAAAAAAGGAAAGAGTGCACCTTCTGTAGTTACAGGGGATTTTGATTTACTGATTCCTGGTGTGAGCCTCCAGAAAAGTGTATAGGTGTCATTACAAAATTTTTTAGCAAAATATATTTCCCATGTATACTAAAACAACTTACTTTTTTGCAAATTTCATGTGACTTCACAAACCAAAAGTGAGATGACGAAACATACCTAGTATTGGCCAGCTTAATGATAGCTTTGGACAGCAACATTGGCCAAAGTTCAATTTCATAGGTTGTAGCTGGTAGTAACAAATTATTCTCTTCATTGAAAGGCATAGTGTCATCCACAATGATTTTTCTCCAGCACCCCTATGATAGAGGAAGGAGGAGGAAAGAAGAAAGAAAACCCTGAGTTTGTGGGTTGGAAACCAAATATGTGGGTAAGAGAACTTTTAAGTTTCCCAAGAACCTGATTCTACTGTAATCTGACTTACATTACAGAAGGCTTTAAAAGTTTTCATATATCTGAGAAGCACGGAAACCATATTCTATCTTATTTAAGAGATTAATTAATTTATTCAGAGATTAATTTAATTGTATCTATTTCCAAATATATTTCCTTTCATATGTGTAGTCCATCACGTGCAAGCATTCAGTGCTGTTTATTCACCTACCATGACAGATACCCAAGAAAAAGTGATGGATGAAAAAAAGGCATAACTAAGATACCAGCTTTGCAAATGCCTCTTTAAGTCTTAGTCTAGAAAACACTTGTTATACAAGCAGTCCCTCTTGTTTCCCAAGAACTGCTTGGGAATGCTGGCTGCAGTGGTTACTGTCCTGGAAAGCAGTAAGATTGTATCTTATAAAACATTACAGGAGAAAACACAAAATGACCAAATGTAATCAATACTCATATTTCCAGGATAAGAAACAGGTAAGAAATGATAGTGGTGTTCTCAAGATCAGTTACTTCATTACTTGGTTTAACTAGTATCCCACACAATAATCTTGCCTACCATTCTCCAAAAAAGTCTCTGTCCTACTGATCAATTCATAATACAGAAGCTAAGGAATTAGTGGGACAACATCAAGTACTTCTGTTAATTCACACAGAAAATGACAAAGAATGACCAATAACTCAAATGTTCACCTTACATTATCAGAAAGGGTAAAATTACTGTTGTTTGTAACCGTAACTGTGCCTTCAAGGTGAAATGCCCATCCATTACCTCTATATGAGTTCTATAGGTTTCAGAAGAAAACAAATTTAGGCCATATGGCAAAGACACTCAAAATGCAAAAGAAAGGTTGATTTTTTTTTTAGGGTGAAAACTATTTCCTGACAGCCAAAACTAAATTTTTAAGATTTCCCAAGTTTGCAGAGAACCCAGTAAGGGAAATGATCACATATTTATCTCTTTCAGTAACAGCTAAAGTTTAATAGAGACTAGTACAAGTTGAAAAGGAAAAGATTGAGGAGATATTTGGTTTTCTGTAGCTCAGGACATCTTTTGATTCAGAGTAGTAATTCTGTGCATGTAATTCTGAAAAAGCAATACTGTTTTTTTATATGTAGTGTCAATTGCTTGCTTTTTATACTTAATAAATAATACAGTCCATATCACAATTATTTTGCACCAGTAATAACCCTTTTACAGCATTTTGGTATTAACTCTAAAAAAAATTACACTAGTTTAAGGAAATAAGACACCAAGAGAAAGAAAAATATGAGGGGCAGAAGTTTTCTGGTTAGAAAAATCTGTAGATAAGAAAAAGTGCAAATAAAGGAACAAATTCAAGTAGGATGTGGGGTAGAACTGAAAGAATTTCATGCCAATTATGTGAAAAACTATCCAAGGTTTGATCTGGTGGACAACAATCCCCTCAGGACTCACTACTGCATTTTACTGAAATCAATTCATTAGTCTTCCACTGTGCTTTCTCACCCTTTTCATTTAATTTTTCACTTTATCCTGTGAAATCTGTTTCTCCTCTATCTCTACTGATATTTGACTTCTCTCATTTGCACATTTTCTTTAATCTCCCATCATCTGACCTTCTTTTTCCCCCTGTTGTTCTTTCTGTGAAGTACTGATGTACAGCCAAAGCAAAAGAAATGAAATAAACTCAAAGGACCAAATCAAAACACAAACAAAGCCAAAGTGACAAAGAAACAAAAAAAAAACCCACCCTGATAATGCTTACAGAGACTTTGAAATGCAGTCTTTTACCATGTAAATATGCAACCTCTGCACCATTAAATTCACACATAGAACAATGTCCTCTGCTGAGGAACCCAGTGCAGTTACGACAGTAACATAATTTCTGCCTTCTAAAACTCAGGCAACTCTTAGTCCATATATGAATGTAAGTTATTCTGTATGTAGAGGCAGTAGTAAGGGATGAGGAAAGCACAGGCATGTAAATCATTTAAGTGCTCCCCCTAACAGAAAAATTAAGAGATTCTTCAGTTTTAACTACTTTCCCATTCCTTCCTCAGTTCTGGATAGCTGACATAAATCAATAGCTAACTGCATAAAACTTCCTTTTAAAATATCATTTTTGATCTATACCGTATTAGAACTGCAAGTTTTCCTTAATACATATACATGCTGTAGGATTATTTAAAAATAAAACTAATATGCTCAGGGTTTTGTTCTCTCTCAAGAGACACGTATCAACCTGCAATGTTCGTAAGTGCAGCCATTCAAAAGCTCTCCCCAGTTTTATTTGCATTTATGTTCATTCCAAGAGATGGACAGATTTATAAACAATTGAACAGGGGGATGGAGAAGTAAATGAAATCCCTCCTCACTTTTATTCACATGAAGTTTTTGTAATATAACCACTATTTTTCTGGCAGAAAAATAGAATATGAGCAATTTTCCAAGGGTCATGGAAATGTTTGAATAATTATTTTGTATTTATAGCTGTAGAGATTTCTGAGAGAACTCTGCACTGAGGTGTTTCTAAGTGATGTGCTATATGCAACTGCAAGGCTCTCTCCACACCTCCAATATGAAAGAAACTTGGCCAGATTATCCACCTGAGGCACCAACCTGCTGTCCCTCTTGAGGAACATCTCCTGCTGCATGTGAAGCAAGTTCCTTTATTTTGAAGTTTTAAAAAACTTGTGAGATGGAAAGCTTGTGTCCTCTCCTTTTGTAGAGGAACACTAACTAACTCAAATAATTGTAAACTGGAAACTTGCCACAAAGAGCATTAGGAAAACAAAATCTCCTCTCTCTTCACCAAGTTATATACGTATTCTCTTCCTCTCCTCCTGCATATATTGTCTCCTTTTGTTATGCATTTAAGAGTGCTGTCCTTGAGTATTCTGACTTGCACTCTTACATTCCATCTTCCAAATAACTTCCATTAACCACATCAGCGCTTTTCACAAATACCACCCTCACAAAACCTTTTTCTCCTTATTTTTAAGAGTTCAATTCTCATACTTACTATTCCTCTTTGACTGCTTCCTATGGGCTGAGAACACCTTTGCAAGAGACCTCTATTTCCTGGTTTTTACCATGGCTTAAAACCAAAAAAACACCTCCAGGCTTTTTTCCCCATTTTTTTTTAATTACTCCACCACATTTTAAAGATACCCATTCAGGTAGCACACACATTCGGCGCTTAGTACTGTCATAATATTTTGAGACACAGAGTACAAAAAAAACCCAAACAAAACAACAAAAAGGTATAAGAAAGAAATAAAAGAAAGAAAATATCTGTAAGTGTGATAAATCAAAAACAGTTTAAATTTGATTGTAAGAAGATGTGATATTGTTGTGGTTTAAACCCTAGCCAGACAGCTTGTTCACTCACTCCCAGTGAGTGGTGCCGGGCTGAGAGCAATCGAGGCCCCCCCCCGGGGCTCTCTTCTTCCCCGCTCCTGGAGGAACAGGGAGGAGGATCGAAAGAGTGCAACTCCCACGGGTTGAGACAAGAACAGTCCAGCAACCAATGTACAACACAAATCACCACCGCCACCACCAAGGGCAACAATGATAAGAGAAAATAACAAGGGAAGAGAATACAATACCACCGGCCAAGAAACGAGTCCCACCCGGAAGCCCGTGTCCTTCCAGGTAACTCCCAGTTAACCCCACCCCGGGCATGACATGCTGCAATATGGAATACCTCCCTGGCTAGCCTGGGTCAGGCGCCCCATCTCTGCTTCCTCACGGCTTCCCCTCCTCCCTGGCAGAGCATGAGCCTCACAAAGTCCTCAGTCAGGGTAAACATCACTTAGCAACAACCGAAAACATCGGTATCACCAGCACTGTTCCCAGGCTGGAAGTCAAAACACAGCACTGCACCAGCTACCACGAAGGAGAAACATGACTGCTACTGCTGAACCCAGGACAGATATGAAAATCAAACTCTGTAAAAACAGGATGAAAGCACCACATGCAGCTCAACAAAACTACAAATGGTGAAAATTAATCACTTAAATCGACATTGTTTTAACCACTCTCTATGTGATACAGAATGAACCAATTATTTTCTTTAAAATGTACTGAAATGTGCTTTGGGCTAAAGAATGACATTGAAAATTGCTGTTTGACACACACACGAAAAAAGTCACAGGTATCAGAAAAGTTGTTCCAATAGTTTGAACATATGCAACACTAGCAACTGCCATTATTGGATCCTCTTTCTGCAATGCAATAAGCAAATGAACTCAAATGCAGTATTTTGTTGCAATGAAGAAAAAAAAAAAAAATCTCCTAATAATCAGCAAAATTTTACATCATCTACAAAAAAAGAATATCGCCTTTTCAAGAAAAACTCTGTTTTATCAAGTTCTGAGTTGTACAAAAACCACATGAACTTAAAAGGCATTTTTACTAACATTCAGCAACAATTTGTCAACACTTCTATTCCTAAAAAACCTGAAAAACTATATCCATTCAATAATAATAAACACTTACCCTAAGCATTGTACTCACCATCCAATAAAGTCTCACTACATATTTTCCATAGTTATTATACAGTGGCATGTGTCCCTTGGTAGCTTTACATAATGCATAAATGTGTTCCCATGGTTTCCAAAAAAGTGTGGATGTTCCATTAGTTAGGGTCTTTTCATTATATATCCTCCAGACTACATAAATTTCACTTACAATCCATCTCATCAGCTGAAAAAAGACACAAATAGCAAAAAAAGTTTCTTAGCTAACATCTGTTAGAAAAAATAAAATCAAGTCACATTATAATGATCCAAAAATAGAAAAGATTCTGTTTCAAATTAATCAATTATATTAAAGTATAGCTATGGTTTCATGCAAAAATTAATTTCACTGGTAAACCCTTTATTAAAACCACTATAATATCTACCCGCAATAACACAAAACTTCATGAAACCAAGGAAAAGAACAATATCAATTATGCTGTTCATCATTTACCAAAGGAAAGCGAGGACATATGATTTCAAAACAAATTATGTTACAGGAGCTCTGAACTGTCACTTGTTTAACTGTTTATTACTAGATATAGATACCAAAAATCAGTATTGGCTTTAATACTTGTTATTTGTACTCAGTAAGAAACAATTCTAAATCATTAGAAGTATTTAGTAGTTTAAAAAAAAAAAATAAATAGAAGCTTTAACTAATCATGCTTTAGCACGTGTTTTTCTAACATGCAAATTTCTGATGTGTGCTATAGTTTCAGAAGTATTACCAGACTGTTACAGTGATTTATTCAAACAAGAATGAGAATAAGCTTTTACAAGAATCTTTCCTTATAACTAATTAGTGGTTCTGTGGACAGCAAAATTTACATCCTCTATTGCTTGATGGCTGCCTCCCATACAGTTTGTCTGGTGCTGAATTTTGAATTCAATTTGAATGAAATAGAAATTATGAAGAACTACTATATCACGAAGGCATTCAGAAGCCTTGGTTCGATCTATTTTCTATTTTTCCCTGATCTATAGGAATTCAGTAAACATGTATTCAACTCTGGAGAGAAGGAAAAGATTGGCTAGGTGACAGACATTTGCACATACATGCAGGCACACCAAGAACATGACCAGGAAAGCTTGAATGAAAAGCATAAAAGATACATTAGAAAGGATGCATTTGCTCTAGGAAGGGAGGAAGGAAGGAAAGGAAGGAAAGGAAGGAAAGGAAGGAAAGGAAGGAAAGGAAGGAAAGGAAGGAAAGGAAGGAAAGGAAGGAAAGGAAGGAAAGGAAGGAAAGGAAGGGAGGGGGAGAGGAAGGGGGAAAGGAAGGGAGGGGAGGGGAAGGGAGGGGAGGGGAGGGGAGGGGAAGGGAGAAGGAAAGAGGGGAGGAGAGGAGAGGAGAGGAGAGGAGAGGAGAGGAGAGGAGAGGAGAGGAGAGGAGAGGAGAGGAGAGGAGAGGAGAGGAGAGGAGAGGAGAGGAGAGGAGAGGGAAAAGAAAGGGGGAAAAGAAAGAGGGAAAAGAAAGAGGGAAAAGAAAGAGGGAAAAGAAAGAGGGAAAAGAAAGAGGGAAAAGAAAGAGGGAAAAGAAAGAGGGAAAAGAAAGAGGGAAAAGAAAGAGAAGGAAAAGGGAAGGGGAAGGGAAAAGAGAAAGGAAAACCAAAACCAAAAAAAATCCCACCCCACATTTTTGTAAAATCCCTTACCATCCTTGATATAATTTTCAAATTCTGAAAAAGGTAAACAGTAATTATACAAATCCACATGATTCTTTACCATTTTATTCCTATCATTCTTTTTTTTTGGACACAACTTGTTTCTTGATGTAGAAATTTGGAGTAAAATTCAAAAAGTTAAAAAAATGAAAATGAAAGAATTTTTTTTTTAAGAGGGACATAAATGTATTTCTACCTACCTCACTACAAAATATATGCTCATTTTCTGAAAGAAGGTCAAATGAGGCTTCATTTTTGACAATCACAGGTATCTAGGAGAAAGTAAATTAGTTAATTCCAGAGCTAAATTATCTGAAAAAAATTAAATAAACACTAATGTTTACCAGTAGTGACATTCAAATGTTAGACATTCAACAAATATTTATTAGACATTTGCAAACTAAAGGGCATCGATTTTCAAATCTTGTCATTGCTCTATTATTTCTTTATAAAAATATTTTAAAATGTAAATGTTCAGAATTAAAAAAAAAAAAAATAATTCATTATTCTTACCAGGAAATTAAAAAAAATAACAAATGAAATAATTACATAAGTAAATTGAGATTTCTCCAATTTATTCACAATATTTGCAGGTCTGTATTTAAATCATGACCATAACACTGTCTCATACATTGAGATTTCCTTGGCCCCCCACCAAGACTCAAAGGTACTTGTTTGCTCATGGTCAGCTCGATAAAGGTATTGTCAGTATGAACACAGTCTTTATCAAACCTTTGACTGTATTACATATTTTTGGTGACATTACTTGTTCATTCAGTCCATTTTCTTTTTTATGCACCTTAGAAATAACATACTAGGATTGTAGTTTATTGAACTAAATATAGCTGTACATCTCATCCCTTATTGGTGATCATTTCTTGATTCTCTGCTTACCACACTAAATAAACTTGTTTATGCTTTCTTTTATGGTTATTAACAGATTAGGTAGCAACATGCATCATCTTAATAGCCTTTCATCACTTGACCTTTACGTTAATCTTTAACAACTTAAAAATTTCTACTAATCATAGCTTCCTGATTCAAAATATACTAGACCAAAACAAGCATCAAAATTTCAATCAGGTCTTAAAGAAAGCAAATGCTTTCTTCATAGTGCTATAGATTTTAAAAGCTATTTTTAATGCAGATACACATTTCCATGGTTTTCTGGGCTGCCAGCTGTGTTGTCCTCATCCTTCAGATACCTCTACTCAGTTTATGCATTTTGGCAGCATTTCTCATCCAACCTTCTGGTCTTGTCAATTACTCCCCTGACCTCCTCTCCTTCCTCTATTAAAATTAAACTTAGACCTGTTTAGTGTCTAGTTAATAACAAATGGAACTGACAAGCTGACAAAATGAAAACTGACAAGCCTAAAAAATTTGAAAGGATGGTCAAAGTGCTTTAAAATTTTAAGCATTTAGTCTGAAGTAAAAATGCTTTAAAACTTAGATTAGCAACAGCATTGAACACTAACCTTTGAAATGGTAGGCTGTTTATTTTCTTTGCATTTTAAAAATAAACTGAATAAGAGCTTTTCATCATTTTAAAATGTTATGGTTACCTTCCAGACAAGTACTGTCAAAGATGTGGACAAGCTCTGTATGCAGACTGGCAAAATGCAATAGATGAAGTAAGAAAAAAATACTATACTTCTGGTATAGCTAATTCATGGTTAGAAGATAGCTATTTACCTCAGATACCTGCTCAATAGAAGCCTTAATTTGGAAGAAACAGAACTTGTCATGGAGTCAAGAAGCAGAGGAGGCTTGGAAGGTTACCCTACAGTAATGTTTTGCACCAGGAAGTGCTGGCCCATTGTCATCCCAGTAAGAAAGGCACTCAGACTCCATACAGTGTCATTTAAAATGCTGTTATTAGAGCTAACTATAAGGCAAGAGATTAGTACAGATAACGTTAGGTCCTTTTAGACACTGGGAACCCAAGTTGTGCAGCATCAAACAGGCCTCTCATCCAGCATTCTGTGCAGATCTCACCCATGGAAAAGGTTACCCCATTTTGGTATTACTGAGCTATGATAGGATTTGAGCTGTTACAAGACATTCTTACAATAAAATATCTCTGTTCATCACTTCTACTATAAAACACAAAGAATGTTCACCGAAGAACTTGCAATTAGATAAAGGCAAGGAGATGCAGGTGGTGTAACCGCCAGTAAGAAGTGGGAGCTGCCTGCTGGCTCCTCCCTTGAGCTCCCTGAGTTTATCCAGCAACCACGGATTTCACCCAGCACCATGCAGGTCTCAGGGCCAAGCTGTATATGCAGTATGGGTTGACTGTTACATGGGTCAGCGACTCTTATGTGTACAGTGGTCTCCTGGACAGGATGACTATGCATGATCAAGTGGGTTTTATCTATTGAAATAATTTCCTCTATCAGTTTTCCTCTGCTTGTGATATAGCTAGGCAAGCATAATTTTTTCATTACAACTTTGCTTGTTTCTTACCTTATGTGCTAAAAACTCATGCGGACGTTTCCATGAATGTACTTTTAAAGATGCTGGCAACTCTATTTTCCCTTCAGGATCCTCAAAGAAATGCTACATAAAATAGGCATGAACAAAATGGAACATATTTCATTAATTACAGTATTGTATCTTCCACAAGATTGAAAATAATATATTGCTCACATGATAATTCACTGAAGGGAAAAAAATAGTACTAATGGAACTAATAGTATCTATAACTGAACTAAAAACAGTGCAATGCCCAAAATGAAGATTCAGTACAAAAGCTGCTTGTATTGTTCTGAAAAGTCCATGTGATCTGCACTGTCTAAATAGATCTATATGAAATGTTTTCTTTCTTTTACACCTTTCAGAAAAACCTCCCAAAAAAACTATTTAAGCTTTTAAGTCAGGCACTCTTGTACAGAGTTCTCCCTGAGTACTTCTTGCAACTCACTTATTTCTAAAGCTTTCTAAATTGAAGACTGAAAGTAAATACCTACCACCACACAAACAAAGCAGGTTCCATGCATTTAAAACTGCTATAGAAACCAAACAGAACAGTAATTATACAGTACTATGAATTAGACCATTAAAGAGAGAGAGTCTCTTATAATTTTCAAACTTTCATTTCCAAAGTGATACTTATCCTCCGTGTGAACAGAAGACATCAGGATATATGATAACTTATTTACTTAATAGCACAATGTAGGATGAGGAGATGCCTCTCATACTGCTGACTGAGAAACTAATTGGTTACATGGTTAGTGCCTTTTATTTGTGCCTGGAATTTTAAATAGCTTTTAGGCATACTGTACACTGCTGTGTATTTCACAGTCCACAATGTACTCTATCTTCTACAGACCAAACATGAGAGTTTCTGGGAAGAAAAAAGTATGATAATTTGAGTACTTACTGATTAAAGGAAGGCAGAAGAAAAATCAGTACAAAAACATAAAAACCAAACACATCCTAAAGACACGAAAATAGTATTTTCCCTGCCATTTTTTCTTATTTGTTTCATTGTGTAAGTTCCTTTAACATATCAATCTGCAACAAACTATTGCAAGTACATAAAGGAAAAAGCTAAGTTGAGGGGGAAAAAGAATCTTTTAGGAATACTTACTTTTCTGAAAACTTAAAGGAAGCCTTGTAGCCTAGATCATAGAGAACTGTATTAACAAAGTTTATATTCCGCTTTCACAGGCATCCAACCCTGACTATGCGGTATAACAAGAAAGTTTAGCACTTAAACACTACACATACCAGAAAAAGAAAGCAGAGGACCACGGTGGGGGGGGGGGGGGGGGGGGGGAAGAGACACCTTTCTTTACCTTACAAGTGAAAAAATACTTTAAAGAAAGGATACTGTAGGTTTAGCTGACTGACAAAATCAGGCTTATCTGTTATTTAAGGTGGCTATAAGAGACAATTGCAAGGTCTCAGAAGTTCATGGTTTAATGGCAGGAGCCTTAACCACAAGTTATACAGGAGCACAGGCAAGAAACAGGCACAAAAACCAGACAAGGTGAAATGTACAATCTCAACAGCACACTGCTCTGCTCTAAGAGAGGCTATCAATCATGTAGAGATACTTGGTAAAAGGGCTTTAGTATTACAAGGAAAGAAATCACTTCCAATCAATTCCTCTTCCCACTCAAGAAAATAGGATTGTTTATATTCATGTTCTAAGTGTAATCAAAGGTACTGGAGGCCATCACTAATTCTGTTTCTAACTGAAATACCCTATACAATGTTGAATTCTGGCTAGCTGCTTGGATCAAAAGAGGCCACATTAGAATATTCTTTAGATCTGTAACTTTATCTGCTGTGCCTGACAAATTTAAAAACTCTTTTAAACATGTAAAAAGAGCAATGTTTCATACAGCTTGTGACTGAAGAACTGAATGATCCAGTAGCACCTCAGAATGCCTCTTATGCTAAAAAAGAAATATTGCAGTTACAATTATTTTTAAATTTTATCCATTATAATAATGTCTGGCAGACCTAACAGATCAGTGCTAGATAAATGTTTAGAGCACAGACCAAACACACCAAATGTGGTAATGGAACAGAAGAAAGACACATAGGAAAATTATTTACTTGTCAAATTAATGGCAGCATTCAGTATAGAACCTACACCTTGCCTCTAAACAGTACTTTGGTCCCACAGGAGTACAACAAATTTATGCTTTGGATAAGAAAAAAAATAAAATCTAGAAACATATGCTAACGTACACATAGCACACAAGAATACATATTCTCTATGTTCACACATGAGCACATGAACAATGCAGAATTTATATGTAGATGATCAAGCATGGTATTAAATTGATTTTAAATATCACTTTAAAATGAATTAAGAAGCTCTTTAAGAAATAATTTTATTACTATTCTGCACAAAATGCAGATACATTAGAATCACAGAATCATAGAACAGTTAGGGTTGGAAAGGACCTTAAGATCATCTAGTTCCAACCCCCCTGCCATGATAACAAGTTTGAAGGAGTAAAAATCCAGATGAAACTTAAAAGTCATTCCAACTGAAATCATTCTATGATTCCATGATGAAAAAAAAAAACAGGTTAAAAGGACCTCAAGAATCATGTGGGCCAACCTTTCTAGGCAAAGCATGACCGCGACTAGATGTCCTAGCACCCTGCCCAGCCAAATCTTGAGTGTCCAACACTGCGGAATCCACCACTTCCCAGGGGAGATTATTCCAATGGCTGATTGTTCTCATTGTGAAAAATTTTCCTCATGTCAAGTTGGGATCTCCCCAGGAGTTCCGTGTGCCCATTACCCCTTGTTTTTATCATTTGACCCCTTGTGAAAAAGGAGTCTCTATCTTCTCTGTACCCACCCTTTTAATACCGGAACATGGTGATAAGGTCTCCACTGAGACTTCTTTTCTCTAGGCTGAACAAACTGAGGTCTCTCAGCTGTTCATCATATGCCAGACTTCCCAGTCCTTTTATCATCAAAGTTGTGACAAATACTCTATTAAATACAGGTACAAAAAATAAAGTCAAAATAATATATATATGTCACACAGCTTACTGAAGTAGGACTTTTCCCAGTTTTATCTTTCTCTTTTCCAGCTTTTCCAGTATCCCATTTTTCAGCATTGATATCTGCTTCGTTCCATTCTGGCCAAATAGGAAATCTCCACTTCTCACTGGAAGACACAGTTACACTGGGAAACAAACAGAGGCATGAATAAAAATAAACAGTATATTAGGCAAGGGCAGTAGGAAGATTTTTATTTTTTAATGTACTGTAATAAAAATGTTAGTGTAAGTAACTACAATAACTTTTTGTCACTAAGATAAGCAAGCCTATAGAAGTGCTAGATGGTTTTATTAGGTATAAACCAACAAAATATGTAAATACATTTATATGAGAATTTCTCATATTGCTGTAATAAATGGACAACTGAAGTACGAAAGCAGAATCCAAGGGCAGTATCCTCCCTCTTCCTTTTCCCCTGCTTCAAGCCACGGGGTTCTCCTTCCTTTCCTGTGCCACTCCTAGCATTCATGACCCAATTCAACTCAATCGCCCATCCGAAGACTTTCCTTTTCACCCCCCCACCCCAACTTCTTTTCTTTAACCAACCAGAAGGAGCTTGACATGGATAAAAATTTATTGGGGAAAAAGGAATCCCACTTCTAGGCACCTGTGAACTGTTAGACCAGTCTGTCTGTCCCCAGTCATCTTCATTATCAGGACCTCTTGTGCTACTTGCACTTTCACTACCCTCTTCCTGGGATGCACAGCTCAGAGAAAAACTTTGCTGAGACTGAAGGGATTTTCACAAGACACAACATGTTCATAGCTACCAACCAGCACTTGTAGTACCTGTGCACATCATTTGTCCAGTATGAAGGGCTGAAAAACTGAATTAGCTAGAATTAGAATACAGTAGCCCCTTCCTCCTTAACTAACAAACCTGGAAGCAGGCAAAGTATATGCAGGTCACATCTTAATTATATTCACTCAAGCCCACTAGCAATAAAATGTACATGTTGTCCACTCAAAATAAGAAAGGGAAGAAGCTGCTGGGACCCAAGAAGCAATCTGGCACCAAAAACTGAGAAAAAGGGTTTAAATAAATTGTACTGCATTAAAAACATATGGACTTCAACCGACTGGAAAAAAGGACTAAGGTCAGAATTTCGTCAGTGATACTCAGCAGTGTCCTACAGCAGAAATACAGTATTAAACAGAGACTTTTTTACTACTGGAGCCTTAACAATATACTTACCTTATACTTCTATTACATTATTTATATCAGCTATAAAAAGCTTTTTTTTTTTTTAATAAGAAACAGTAGAATTCCTACAAATATGTCGAAGAGACCAAGAAGATAACAGTGGTTTTGGGCTACAGCTGGAGAGTGTTCTTACAAACTGGTGCTAAAAAGTACTTATTTTAAAAAATAAAGCTTTGTTTCTGTAGAAACCGACATCTTCAGGAGATCTGAATGGGACAGCTTCCACTATTTCTTATATTTCAGAACAGTTTTTTTTCTTTAACTCCTGGCCAAGTATTGCATATCGTGTGGATATTTATACTGATCATCGGTATACAGATCATCAGTGATAAAACCATACTCACATTTTAATCTCAGAATTCTAGCTTTCTCTTGAAATTCTGGTAACTCCACAGAAAAGCATAAACCCTGATTCTGATTTACAGCATCACTTTGCACAAAGCACTTGACATTTCAGATAAACAGTCACCGTGTCACAAATCACATGCTCTTTGTTTTAGCTGCTGTACACAATATTCCTTCATTGCTCCTATACAGGTGCAACATTAATTACAGCTATATTATACAGACAAACACAGATTACAGGAGTAGTCTGGCTAGGGGAAAATGGTCCGTATCAACTGACACCAGAAAATACTATCATGCCTTACTTCCCAGAAACAGGGACAAGGCATTGTTCAAGTGTAGAGCAATGAAATTACGAAAGAAAAGGTTCATCTGGAGTCAAAATAACCAAAGGACATTAAAAACAAGGGAAAAAAGCTTCTGTAAGCATGCTGGCAGCAAAAGGAAGACTACATAGTCCACTGCTCAGTGAAGCAGGGAATTTAGTGACAAAGTACATGGGAAAGGCCGTTACTCAGTGCCATTTAGCGTCTTGGTTTTTCTTGGCAAATTTGGCACTTAGGCTTCCCAGCCCATGAGTCTACTAACAGGGTCTGTGGGAGTGAAGCATTATGTACAATTAGAGGAAGGCAGCTAGGATGCATTTTAATCCAACAGGATACACACAGCTCCGTGGGACTAGTTGGAATGTGAGAAAAGGTACTGAGGAAGCTGACTGGAGTCACTCTGAGGCTCCTGTCAATCACACTCAAAAGACCATGGCAATGGGGTGAAGTTTCTGATGACTGAAAATAGACATCACACTCAAAAAAACAAATGGCAAGAAGGAGAATCTGGGGAACTACGGTGCTTCAAGATATTTCAGACTCAAACGGACAAGGGACTAAGCACCCTAATCTAAGCTGGCCCTGCTTTGAGCAGAGTTCTTCTAGATGGCTTTCAGAGGTACCCTTCTATCTTGCGTGATTATTATGTGATAATGCGTTGTTAGCAATAATAAGGGCAAAGACATGGTTAGTCATTAGCTAGACAATAACTACATCCACTCTACCAGTAACTCTTACTGGAAGACAGCTGTGAAAATTCAATGCCATTTGTGCCTTCTGCTGTGCAAATAAAAAAATACAGCTTCTGCCACCCTAAGTGTAAGGAAGATGAATTCTCTGGAGTGATACTTTGCTCTGCTTTTCCATCTTTGTAACCTCAGTCATCTGTAAATGGCCTCCAGCCTCCCACTATTATGTGTGACCTTTCATTAATGGTATCATCTTTTCTCCAGCATTTTCTGGAAGGCTCAAATGATGCTTCATTCCACATATACAATAATACTTAACAAGCAATTGAAAACCCTGAAGTGTTTCTCAGTTTCTTTTGATTACTAGGAATGCCTGTAACATTTCCAGTTGTTTTAAGGTATCTGCTATATTTGTCTTAACAGCAACCATAAAGATCAATAAAAACTAGAATGTTAACTGTACTGACAGTTCCAATATCTGTGATATTTGAAGTTCTGCCTCTTTCAACATTGATTTAAATACAACTCCTGGCAGATTCTTACACATACTTACAAGCAAAACATGACAAGTTAATTTTTTTACTTTTTCTACTTTTTCCTTATTTCAGATGAAATATGAGTGACACATGTAGTGATTTTAAAAATTCTAGAAATACTTCTATATTTTTTTATCTCTTTTTCTCCCTCTAGGTCTGCATTTGCTCTTTTAAATATTTATAGAGAAGCATGGAAGTTTCACTCAATAATAATAATGATAAAGGTGTTCTGAAACCATTCCCAAATAAAATCAAATAGTAATTCTAGTAACTGCTGTAAGATTTGCTTTGGGATGATAATGGAATAATAAAAAATCTGTATTTTTTAAAAAAGTGAGATATGAAAAGACTTGCCTAGATTACTATCACACCAAGACAGAAAATTACTTTCCAGTACATTCTAACATAATAGAATACCCTCAACACTAATGTGAGAAACATGAAAACAGCGCTATCTATGACAGATGTCTAAATTAATTTGGGGAAGCCCAACGCTCCTACTTCTCAAAAAGGATTCAATAATATTTTGGGAAAATTCTTAAAGAACTGCAATTTAATTGGACTCCAAATATAAATAAATTAAAAAGACATCTGAATTTATTAAAATACTGTATTTCAGTAAGGCTATTAGGTTTCTGCATTACAAGAACTGAATAATATAATTCATTGAGAATTCTCTGAAGCAAACTAACAGACACAAGGACAATGCAAACCATTACTGATATTTTATGCTCACACTGGATGGCTTCATTGTGCAATAGTATTTTAAACACTAATTTACTGGCAGACTTCTTTTTAATCCTGTGCTAAACCCTAAAGGAGAAAAAGGAAGAATAAATTGCCAAATGAGGGAAACACTACAAAGTTAGCACTAATTCACCTCTTAGCCTCTAAGCAGCTTCTCCAAGAATACTGGTACAATTGACATGGTCCCAACAGGGGAAATAGGGAACACCAGGATACACAAACACAACAGGTAGAAAAATTGCAGGCATATTGCAATCTAAGTTTTTCAGAGCCTTAAGATTTAATAAAGAGAAAGGAAGCAAGCCCACATGGTACCAGAAATGTGTTCTCTCAAGTTAAACATAGTCAGTCTGCACACATACACATTTTGGCTGATCACCCACTCTGTAAGCAAGATCTTATCAGCATGGTCAATGGAGGCTAGGGAGCAAACATTTTCTTCTTAAAGTAGGTAAATCTACCTGTAAACTATTTATGACCATTCCTCCCAGAGAACCCAGCAACACCGAAGGGAGTCTTCTCAAGAAAATTACAGAAGTATGGGTATTTAGTTTCAGAACAGTTTAGCTACTTTACCTTCCTTTCCCTGTACTCCTTTAATTTTGGTTCAGCAGACAATAATAACTCTGTGACACTATGCAGGTTTTTTAGAATTAAGGAAGACACCTTTCTCTCCTTTTTATTCTTTCCTCCAGATAAAGGTTTAATGCTCTCTTTCCTAACACTCCCTTGCAAAAGTTAGATGCACCTTTAATCAATAAAACAAAACAAAACTCCAAAGAAGGAAATGAGACATCTTCACACAGTAATTTTGATTGGGAATATCTGAAACAGATAAAATTGTTCTGTAGTTCTATAACAATGCCAGTACTGCTTCCACAATGACTCCAAGGCTTTATGCAGAAATCTGGTTGGAGACTTGACAGCTTCAGCTTTTTCTGTCTCCATGTCTATACCTTAGAAATTAGGAAAAAAATCCCAGGAATTCCACCACATCAATGACTTCTTCAGGCTTTCTGGTTAGTTAATTATGTATATGGATATATCTAATCTTTTTTATTCTTTCTGCAAACCTTGTCTTTCCTTATGACGTAGCTTGTGCAGCAAAATCCTTTCCCTATTTTCATAAAGGCTTCATTTTTTTATTTCTCTTAAACCTATTTAAGTTTCAAAATTTAAGATCTGCTTTACATTATCATCCTAAGAAATCAATACAAAAGTTTTCATGACTTAGGACACTGTATGCAGATCTCTGCTTGAGGGCTGAGAGGCAAAAT